GTCCTCGTTCGTCTCATCGATATAGGTCTGGAGGTGCTGGAGTGCTGTGCCCTTGACCAAGCCAGTGACGTAGGCGAATCGATGGTCTTCGGTAGGGAACCAGTCGGCGTTTCCGGAGAGCTTCCGGTTCATCTGGCCCCTCCAAACCCTAAGTGTCAGGTCGTCGTCCATCGTCAGAGGGTCCGGGTCCTTGATCTTTGCGCTCCGGTGCCGGGAGCCTTGAGTGTTGTGGTCGTCGTCTTCCACGCTGGCCTGGGGGTGATTCGGGTCGCTGCGTTGAGCTAGCTTCGACCGGAGCCCTCGGGCCTCCCTGCTAGCCGCAATTGCCTCCTCCTGGGCCTCGGCCAGCAGGGAGTTCAAGTGGTCGCGGGCCTCGATGAGGTCCAGGATCTGCTGTTCCTTTGCCGCGTCGGGGTTAGCCTCCAGCTCTCGAACCCGCTGTAAGGTCTGTCGGAACAGGAGCTGGTTATCGATCGATACCCGGTGGAGAGTCTGGGAAAGAGAGATCGCTGCATCCCGCTGTGCGAAGAGCCTATGGATTAGCAAGAGAGTACGGCCTAGGTCCAAGCGGACCCAGTGCTGGTTGATCTCGTCGAGTTCTCCGTCTGAATCGCAGAGCTGGAGAGGGGTCTGGTTAAGGAGGTTATCAGTCCTCTTAGCAAATTCCTTAACGATGTCCTCGCCTTCAAGGTCCTTCTGTGCGAGTCGGTTATAGAGGTCCGGGAGAGGGTAGCTGCCTATATGCCCGTCGACGTGGGCCATCGAATGCCTGCTGCTGAGAGTTAAACCAATCTGCCGGAAGAAAGCAATGGTGTCCGACTCATCGTCGGTTCGGTTATAGTTTCCCTCGAGGGGTTTAACCCGCTCCCGGACTACTGCCAGGGGGTTGCTGTCTGGATGCTCCTCGGAGCCGTTATCCTCAGGGTGCTTCCCCTTTGGATCCTTTGATGGGACTGCCATAGTCGAGTGTGCCTGAATAGGTCTTCTGTTGTGTTGCCCCGCGGGTCTTCTGTCGAGATCTTGATGGATGTTCTGTCGCCGTCGCCGGCCGGTGAAGTGACTTTTAGTTGTAGTGTCACGGCGTGCACAAATGAACTTAGGACGAGCCTGAAGGTTGTACCCAATAACGAAAATACAACTAAAAGTAAAGAACTAAACTAAGTGCGGTTCCAGGGGAGAAACAGCGGCCTTTTATAGACGAGGGGACGGTCGGTTCCGGTCGGTCGCTGTTGCTGTTGCTTTCACAGGTTCCTGGATAGTTCCCAGATACAGAGCCCCTGTATCTAATCAACAAGGGACCTGTCTTGGTATTCAGTGAATGAAAGTGGATGCTTCAGAACCAAGCGTGCTGATTGGCGGATGTGTCGAGAGTGGATGCGCCAAAGGTGGATCCCCCGGTGCCGAGGGTGGGGCAGTGTATAAGTGGCTCATTACGTAACCAACCTTGTTGTGACTGCGCCGGGCCGTCACAACTATTGCTTAGCTACCAGCAGTAATTACAGGGCCTAGGCCCTATAACAGTGGTTAATTTAGTAGGTAGACCACTATTGTTTTGGGAATGCCTCTATATTTGCTATCTTAACCACTGGAGTTGGATTTACTACTTCCTTCTCATATACCCACCGACCGGGGCACAGTGCCGAATTCGGCCCAGCGGTCTTAGTGGTAAAAAACTGAATCCCGCAAAACTCATTTGTATAGGTTTGACTAAAAATGGGCTCACCTGCTCGCAGCCGCACCCAGAAGTGCCCGGGCCCACTTGCACTACTACCTTAAAAACCGGTGCAGGGTAGGCCGGTTGGGGCCAAGCGGTGCAGGGTAGGCCGCTTGGGAGCCAACCACCGGTGCAGGGTAGGTCGCTTGGGATGCCAAGAGGTGCAGGGTAGGCCGGTTGGGAACAACCGGGTGCAGGGTAGCTCGCTTGGGAAACCCAGGTGCAGGGTAGGTGCAGGGTAGCTCGATTCGGGAGAAACTAACACTTAGTGAAAAGAAGAACCAACCTTCTTCAAACTAAGATAGCTAGCCACCCAGTAATCGTACCGCCACAACCAAGATACCAGTATATAGCTACAGGCCATACGAATTCAATTACAGTACTGTAGAGCCCCCCAGATGGCCACAGCACTAGTAATCTGAACTCTAGGGTTCAACATTAGCACTATCGAAAGGATAGTTATAGATAGACTCGATTATAGTTAAACACTATTATTAATCTTCAATATGGGTCGATCGAACCGCCTTCACCCTCTATAAACAGCCTTTCTTAACGGTCTTAGTTACCGGTTATAGGTTATCCGGCCCTTTATCCTTCCGGGGTTTCGAATCTTTACCCTCGATATAGGCAATGTTATAGTGTATTAGCTTCTTATTTAAGTTATAATTCGATATCCACTGTTTAAAAATGTAGAAGCCGAGATCTTTAGCAACAACATTTATATCGTTGAAGAGGGTATCGAACAAATCCTAGATATAGGATATAAACAAATATAACGGATCCTCTATAGTATTATCCGAATCGGAATACAGTGAATCTATAGGAGGCGAATCTATAGGAGGTAAATCTATAAGGGTCTAGGGATTAAACGTTATATTAATCCAACCTTCAAAGCTTTAAGGAATAGCTATAGTAAATAGCGATAATAATAGTTATAACTATTATTATCGGTAACGGTATATAGCTAGCTAGCTAGCTGAGAGGAATATAGGCTAAGTAGGTAGCTGGGTGGGCTGGGCTAGCGGTATTGCAAATTGAAATAAAATTGATTTTATTATGTTTTTAAACGTTTCAGCGAAGACTACATTTTCCAGCGATTTAATAACTATCAATAACTTCAAAGTTCGTCAAAGTTGTCGGGTGCGATTGATGCCCAGGCGCGTGGATGAAACGCCCTGCAAAGTTTTGGTGGGAGATGTATTGGGCTACCTGGCTAAGCCAAATGCGGCCGTGGGCCGCCAAGACAGTCGATTGTGTCCGAGAGAGACAGTCGATTTAACCGGTCCGCGCCCCTGACCCTGCGATTTCGGTGAGATTGCCATGAGAAACGCCTCTGGAAGTCTGACGTGTCTGTGATCGCCGGAGGCCCGGGAAAGTCAGGTACATTTGTTGGTGGCCATGATTGTTTGCTTAACCATTGTTCTTTGGGCTCGGTCAAAGCAACCGAAATGTCGTTGAGACATGCATGGCCACCTGGTACCTTGCCGCCCCCAACCCAACCAGCCGGAAGCGAAAGGCAGGTTCCCGAGGAGAACCTGCGTCTTTGACAATATGGGTGGGCACGACAACCGTGAACCGACTTGTAGGAATGGGTGACATCGTGTCGTGCAGAGCGTTGATATGCAGCTCCTCAACCGTCCCGGGAGGGGGGCGGGCGGGCGTTCAGGGGCTGGCCCAACCTGATTTGTGCACTAGTTCACTTCTGTCCTCCACCGAGCTCCCCGACGGGGGCCAAGCCAGGGCTCGCGGGAGAAGGGCAGGGGAAGGCAGACCGAAGATAGCCATTCTCTTTCTCGTACCAAGAGGCGAGAGCAGGTGATGTGTCATGTGCTGTTTTCCGAGGGCTTGAACAGGCAAGATCTCATCTCGACAGCAAACCACCCGAGGTCAAAAAAAGGTTCCAAAAGGGGGAGCATGCGCTACGCAAGCAGGGTCGCAGGGTCGCAGGGTCGCAGTGTCGCAGTGTCGCAGTGTCACTGTCTCACAGTGTCGTAGTCACAGTGCCACAATATCGAAGTGGTGTGCAACTGGTGCGCAACTGCCACTTGCGTGGAGCGGCGAACCTGCTTGGAGGGAGTTCCGACCAACTTGGGGCAGGTACGCCCGTTTGCGGGGTCCGGAGTTGACTCCAGCGTGAGTGCGTGTTCGGCAAGCACTGCCAGACCCTGCAACTCGGCCCGAGGACCAAGACCAACCCAGGCCCATGGTATCGTGAGAAATGGCACAGACACTGCGACAGTTGGTGTTCCGCTGTTGGACCGCTTCGGGAGAGCTGCATGGGGAGAGGGGGGCTGATCTATTTCGCCAATTGGATGTCTTGGAACTGCACCCGAGAACATCTTTGTACGACCAATCGCAACTGCTCTCGTCCAAAGCAGGCCAAACCAAGCCCGTCCGCCCAGACTCCCAGATTCTCGGGACCAGAGTCCTGCATTCTTGCGCAGGCCCCCACAAACGCTTCCCTTCCGCATTCCAACTCTCACAGTGTTCGCTTCTCGCTTCTCGTGGCACTGACAGCAGCCAAGCCGAGCTGCGGCGAGAGGGTTCCCAAAATCGGAAGTCCAAGACCTTCCCAAGACATTGTGCTCGTGGTACCGCTGTCGCCCAGGTGCCCGGCGCGCCAACCCCCCCTGATTGAGAGATCCATTCCTCTGCGATTGCCGTCGGCAAATGCAAATTGGAGAGGGCAATTGGGTCGCACTCTGTAGCGACCCGCCGTGCATCATTTCCCACGTTCGGCCTGCGCACGCTCAGCTGCGTCCGGGTTGGGTCTGTCGCTATGAGGCCCTGATTGGACAGGGGAACCGAACATGCACAAGGCAAAGTCGCAGCAAAAGCAGGAGCAGGACAGCAGAAGAACGACAGGCTTGGCATCCCTGGCTGGCTGACCAGGACCAACGCCTCCTGATCTGGCTCACTCGTGTGGTTTTTTTCTTTCTTTTTAATAAAAGTCCATTATCATGCCCGCCTTGTCTCGGACCAGGCTCCCGGAACAGCCCCTCCTTTCTTGTTTTCTGCCCTGCGTCTGACGCCCTGCATCTGCGAAACACATAAAGATCTCGGTATCTCTCTCGCATGCCAGATTGTTGGGACCCCACCATCCCGTTCTTAGCCCGTCTTGACTCGACTCGGAGCTTTACTAGTGCCTTATTTATTTAAAGGTCGCGCATCTCCACTGCTCAACGTTACACTTTCCCTCATTGCGTCTGCGAAACATTGTTTGGAGTTTAATCCCACTGCAAGTCTACAACAAATACACACACACACACACACACACATCGCCACCATGCACCCTCCAGCAAGACAGCCTACTACCCAGAAGGGTCCAGACAGTTCGGCAATGGATCTCGCGCTCCATGCCTCTGACCTCCTCCTCGCATCAACCCAACAACACCAAAACCAAAACCACGACCCACAATGCGACATGGACATGGAGCCAGCATCATGTGAAGAACCACAGGACACGCTCCCAGCCCCATCACCACTGATGCACTTCCCCCACTGCCGCCTCGAAATCACCACCTTCCCCACCCCCAACGGGCCCGGCAAGCTGGAACAAATCGCCCTCCCCGGCGCCCTGGTGCGCACCCTCCTCTCCCGCTTCGAGAGCGACCTCCAGCAACAAGAAGACCAATACCAACAACACCAACAACGCCACCACCACCACAACCACCAATCAACCCCCCACACCCCACCATCACCACCAACAACCTCATCATCATCCCCATCACCACCAACCACCAAAACCAAACCCCACCCCGCCCTCACCAGGGGGGCGGCAGAGCGCCGCCGGCCCGTGCGCATCCAGCCGCACTTCGACGACGCCGCCGACTGGGTCTTCTCGCGCTGCCTGCTCGCCGACTTCACCGGCTTCCGCGAGGACGAGGCCGACGCGCTGTCGACGGCGGCCGGCGCGGGCCGGCTGTGCTGCTGGGCGAGCGTGGTGTTGCTGCCGCCTAGGGGGAGGGGTAGGGGGTCTGGGAGGAGGGGGTGTGGGAATGGGAGTGGGCGGGGGAGTGTGGGGAGTTTTGATGGGGATGAGGATGAGGAGGATGAGGATTATGAAGGGGGGTATCAAGGGGAGGGGTTGCAGGGGCTGGAGGGAGAGGATGGTGATGATGAGGGGAGGTGGGAGTTGCAGTTCGTGGTGCAGCGGGTGGGCGTGCGCGATCCCGGGAGTGGGTGGTGTGAGTGTTTCTGACAGTAAGAGGTTTTGGAGGAGTTGAGTGCTTGTCTTGGGGTCATCTTTGTGGTTTCTCATTTTTCCCTTACGCTGGCTTTACTGTTGTACCTCTATGGTTGTATTTGGATACCAAGGTGTGCGCTGTTCCATGCATTTTCACCCGATCTTGGGAGATGGCGTTTTGGTGGTGTTGTTGGTGTTGTGTATGTACATATCATACCGGCTTTGAGCCCCTCCCCAGACTCTGTAACTATCAACAACATTTCTCTCACACGGTCGACGAGACGAACCCTCGGTCCCGACGGATGCTTCGGCGTCTCAGAACCCGCCGGCCGTCCTTGCATCCCCGCGGTGCTTATCCTGCTCGTTCGTCAGCACCGCTGCGGGAATGGAAGGAAATGCGCCGAGCCAGATCCGGTTCCGTGGTCGAGCCCCGCAGTTCCTATCGTGGCATCGGAACCCCCTGAAGTCTCCGACCAGGCGGTGAGGGTCTAGACGGGTACCTTACCCTCGCCTACCGCGAAGATCCATGCAGGTCCATCCATCGGTGCAACCCACGGACCCGGCCATCCAGTTCGAAGGGACCTGGCAGCTCCTTCGCACTCGTTTGGCGCCCAATCAAGCCGTGTTTCTTTCTGTGTCTCGCAAGCCCAGCATGGGCGGTGCATGACCCATACCTTAGCGTCGAGCCCGTTTGTCTCACCCGTTCCCGGATTTGATGCGGATTCACTGTCACGGTGAGCGCTAATTCACCGAGCCGAGTCCCCAAGACTCCCAACCCGCCGAAGGATAGGTGATTTATCTGAGACCCCAAGTCCCGCTGTGCCACCGTCACGCGTGGTGCTGGGTGCTTGGGGGCGCAGCAACTGACTATCTCATGCCGCTGGAATCCCGACCCCGCGGCACCGACACGGAAGGCAGTCAGCATGGATGTTTTCCCAGGGCGAAATTGCGTAATCCTTGGACAGCACGCCGCCAACATCTCAACGAAAAAGATCTGCGAATATCCCGGTTTAAATCCGACACAATCGAGCTGATTCGACCTGTAACATGGAAAAAGTACCCGCACGTCACTTCTCGATGCTTACCAATGCCGGCTGCTCACAAAGCAACCCGTCGGACCCAATCCCCGTTTTGCCCGGCGAGGTTGAACGTTGTATGCATGGTTGTCTCCTCTAGAACTTGGATACCTCGCTGCCAGATATCACCAGACACACATTCAACCAAGCTTCATTGTCAAATTGTGATGGTCTGCCCGTTACGGAAGGGGAAACGTATCTGTTGACCCCGGGTTGTTAATGGCTGATGGTGCTTGATGGTTAACGGGCGGTTGGCCATGTGTGGATGGCTAAAGGAGGGTATATGGGACATAGAGCACCAGGGTTCCAAGGATCCACGTTTGCATAGCATTGACCAGACTTGCTGATAGTCTGAGGTTTCAAACATGGCGTCGTGCATGATAGGGAGGGAGTCACCAATGCTGCCACCAAACAACCAAATGTGAGAACATATAATACGGTATGCTTAACAACCACTCGTAAGATGCGCATAGTGTGAAAAGTAGCTCCTTGTTACCCTGACTTACGGGGAGGGTAGCTCCCTGCGAGGCATGCCCGCGGGGACATGAGATGGCTCAACACATAGCCGTACGTGGCTTGCGTTAGCTTCGCAGACCTGTATCGAAACAGGGAAAGGCATTATTGGCGTGGGATTGGAGTCCCATGGTTCCTAACCATGCTATCGCCTGCGGGCGTCCCGACCAAGGGTTGTAGTAGCCTAGTTCTGCTGCATAGTCTACACTGAGTCAAGGGGCAGATGGGTCAAGGTCACGCTTTAGGCTATAGCACTCGATGCTCGCAAACATTTCCATTCCGTGATGGTGAACGTCTGTGATTAGGTTGCTGTTTTGGAACCTTGTCTCCTACTGGCCCCTTCATTTCTGCACGGATAGGGCCCCTAGAAGCTAGTGGTGATGGTGGCGAATGAGGCTTGAGCTCAATACTTGGTATGAGGTAAAAACAACATCAGGGTAAAAGAATTATGTTTCAGACAGGGGCACCGTGGCATATCTCCCCTCGTATTACTATCGCGTGGTGTTGCTAGACAGACACCTCGCGAAGACTTTTCGATGCCCTTTGTCTCGCACTCTTCGGCGCCATTGCTAGGCGTGTCGGCCGAGTTAACGAAGGAAGGGCGATCCCGTAACTTGTCTCACATGGCCGCGGAGAGCGTTGATGAAGGACGTGGCGATGATCCAGGGGAAGCGAGCGTCACGACCGGGCTTCCATGGCTGAACCCACCACTCGGTCAACGAAACGGGTTTGATACATTCTAGCTCCAGAACTTTGGGAAATGTCAGTGGTGACCTATCGGGCTGATTTTGACTCCGTTGTCTTAGGCGTGGAACGACGTGACGGGCCGAGTCCCTCTGAGTCCCTTCGTTTCTGAGACAATTAGGTAGTACCGACCAACCCTAGCACTTGGCCACGGAGTTAATATACTTGCATGTAGGAGGAACAGCCCGTTTTGTTCATATGCGTTTCTTTTCTTTTCATTTCTTTTGCTTTTTTCTGTCCCACTTCTCTTCTTCGCGAATTGTAGCGGGACCCGGTGTTCTCGCCCCCAAAGGCCGTCCAACGGGCGGTATTCCGCCCTCCAGTTGGCCGAAAGAAGTCCCAGAGGAATTGATCCTGTTGGACCGAAGGGAGGAAAGAACGCTAATGCACGGTAGCCGAGAGGGGCAGCTCGGGCCGGTCCCGCGGAAATCCGAGTCCTGTGACCGTTCACCGTTGCCGGCCGGGGACCTCGACTCAACCCCGGCACGCCGCTCGGCAGAGCTTCTTGTGTGTTCTCGTCTCACCGAAATGGCGGGCCGGTCTGCACTTGGTGGTCCGCAGGAATGCCCGTCTTCAGAAGATCCTCCTCGCTTGTTTGGGCCCGGGCTTCTCGCTTTCGGTAATCGGGACTTTTTCGCTCTTTTGGAAAAAACCACCAAGAAAATCATGGGGCTGTGGAATAGGCGTACACGGTATTTACAGCACAGTGAAGTAATCAAGACAATAACTATTCGGCCGGAACTTTTGACGAATTCCCTTGGGTGCTGATCTTCTGCGATCCTTCTCATGCAGACTGTCGGTTTCGCTCCTGGCTTTCCGGGACGTGGCCTGAACACAACCGAGAGACAAGCGACGAGCTCCTTTCCTTTTTTGGGCAGGAGGAGTACTGTGTATGTTACGAACACGAAATGGGCACAGCTTGCCTCGGGGAGGGTTAGGGTCTATTTTGAGTGTGAAAGTGGCACCCGGGCACCCCCGAGACTGCTGAGAAAAAGCAAAGGTTGTTTCAAGTAGAACAAGGGGTTACAGCTGAGAGGAAGGGGTGCCTATGCCTTGAATTGGTAATAGTCGGCGCTCATAGAGGGGTGGGAAAGAAATGTCATGGCTAGGTAAGAGAGCACAGGAAGTTCGGACGGCGGCAGCGCTGTGATGTCAAGCATGGAGAGGCAAAGTGTAAGATGTTCGTAAGGTCAGTTGTGTCTTTCAAAGACAAATGAAAGCCAGGCGCCACGAAGCGAGACGCGCCCGCCAAACCGCCGTTGTGTATGAAGTATATCCGGATATCCCATTACGTCCCAACACCTCTAGAACCAAGGATGATGCTCCCCTCCACAAGTTTGCCTTTTGGTAACGATGCCGCCTACCTCAAGCCCTTAACTCCATTCTACCCCCTTGAAGGCCCAACGAAAGCAAAGAATAACCTCCCATCCTTCCTCTCTCGTGACCCTTTTAACCTCTCTCCCGCACCCGCGCCATCCCCGCAAACGCCGCTTCCTTCTCCCTCCTCATCTCTTCCATCTCCCTCTTCATCCGCTCCGTATCCCCCTGTAGGAACTGAATCACCCTCTGCGCCTTGCTCAACACGTCCACCTTGCTCATCCGGCGGTTGTTCTTCCCCTTGACACCGCCGCCGCCCCCGGCGGTACACAGGCCACCGTCGCCCCCCGAGGGACCCTCATGGTGTTCCTCCTCGTCACCGAGAATACCGTCCGGTAGGACGTCCAGCAGCGCCTCGAACCGCGCGTGTAGCCGGTGCCGGTACTGTTGCTCGACTAGGTTGTGGTTGGTACGAGCACGTTGGTGTGCGGGGGACTCGCCCGGCTTGAGGGAGGGCGCAGGCCGTTTGACGCGGCGGGCGGCGGTGCGGAGGGTGGGGCCTTTTGCGGAAGTCGGACTCTGAGGATGTGTTGAAGGAAGTGGTTTGGTCCGGGGTTTTCTGTCCGTCGTCGTTGGCGGTGGTGAGTGGTTGTCGTCGTTAGAGGAAGGGGCCTTTGCTCTTTTGTGGGGTTGTGGCCGCTGTTGGGAGTGGGAAAGAGGGCGCTTGCAAAGGGGATATGGGTGCGGTTGTGGAGTGTTTTCTTGTTTGAAGATTTCGGTATTGCTTAGGGGAAGAATACGATTGGCGACTGTGGTTGAATTAGATGGAGGAGGGAATTCGAATGCTGGGATCAGGAGCTGCCCGCTCGACCTGCTCGGCCCCGGGGTCTGGCTAGGCCAAGGGGCGCTGAAGTCGGCGGATAGTCCATTTGGGACCGGTGGGGCTGTATGACCCCCGGGGTAGGTGTGGTCGAAGCTCAGCGGGAAGCCAGTGTTTCCAGCCCAGTCATGGAACCCGGTATCGAAGATAACTGACGCTGCAGTGTTGGGAGGGTAAAGGAATTGGCTATTGTACTCGAGAGCCACCGGTTCGCCAACAGCTGGGCTTATTGGACTGGTTGGGGCCCACGATCCGGCGACGGATGAGACATCGTGGTTCGGCCAGTGGGGTGGCGATGCTGCAGGAGCTGTCGGTGCTGGACTGGGCAGCCCACAGGCGTGAGTCGACCTCTGTTTCTGCGTCTGGACCAAAAGCCCAGTGAAGCGCGAGGGGGGGTCGGGCGCCTGACTGGATGTCCACGACCCGCGTTGACTATCGGCAAGCGGTCGAGTCATCAAAGCCGAGGGTGGCATACCGCCGGGTGACCCATCAAGTGCCTGAGAACTCGTCAGCCATCGCTTCGTTTCCATTCGACTCACCAGAGCGATGGGCGGGACTCTATCTTTGTTGCCCCTCCGGGGGAACCTAGCGACGAAGAAGCTTTTGTTGGTATCCGTACCTGGGATGGCCCGTTTCCAGTCCAAACGTAATCTTGATTCATCGCGTCCCCTCGTTTTTAAAGCAGGGTTGGGTGATTTGCCTCCTTGTTGGTTGCGGCCGTGGAAAGAGGGGATGTGGTATGGTATGGTGGCACTGGGTGGGATTTGTTGCAACCCGTCCCGACACTGAGGAACCGAGGGCCCGAGTCCGGCCTAAAGAGCGGCGGGATGCCGTCGGGATTTGCATTGGACGGCAACGCTGAGGTCGCACCGCCGGTACAGGTTGGCTTCCGCGGTCGACTAACGGGCGTGGGAAAGACGGGGCACGACTCGCAAGAGCATGCCCGGTCCCTGAGAAGCACCTCCGGTAGATAACGTGCTAATGCGGCTGAGCAGCTCTCTCTTTCTCGACCTTCATTGCCAACGTGTGTGACGGTATCTTTGTGGCACCACCAGGCCTGGTAGTAGCGGGATTCAGCCAGGTTCTGCACCTCCGCTTCGCTGGTTGGGCTTGGGCCGCTTGGCTACGGGTAGGGGGGGAACAGTCCACTATGTACATGCTGAACGCTCCCTGCGAGGAGCCAAGCACACTGGTACGCCGCACATCCCCTCCGTCTCCTCTGCACTGCAGAGGATGGATGCAATGCAGTGTCATTCAAGTGGTTCCCGCCCACTGCCATTGGTCTTGGATCACGGCGACCAACCCACCAATAAAAGCGGCCTTTGTCAAATGAGAAATGCTCGCCAATCCGAGTTCTGGCTTGGTTCTTGGGACCTTCGTGAGGCTCCCGGGTGGCATACCCAGCTGACGATGACCCCTGGCCTCTTAGTGTGAAGTTTATGACAGCGCCAACAGTCGGTGCAATGTGACATTGATCGAGATAAAGCTGCAAGCTTTGCACCTTTCCTCGGTCGATGGAGATCGTAATCCTGTGCCTCGAACGCGAAGGTCACTCGGGATCGACCTCGACTGCAACGTCCGACATGGCCGAGCTTCCCTGCACTGCGGGAATGGAGGCTTGGGGCCTTTGCCGGAAAAGGGCCTCCAGGCCAGCAAGGCTACCGGTCCCTCTGTCTGCATGGTTGGCCTGCTGTTTCTCGTGGTGGATGTTGGGTCTTGGATGTCGACCGGGAAGCTGCAGGAGAACGCTTCGTGTCGCCGTCTCAGAGCGGAAGAGGCAGGCGACGGTGATCTTCTCCTGGGCCAGACTGGTCTGTCCGGTTTGGGGCACATAACCGAGTTCCTCTGCAGCGTCCCCTCCCACGTCCCGGCTCAAAACGCGGGATTGCAGGCGTCCAGTGCGACATGCGGACCAGGGGGGCAACTGGGGGGGCGAGGGTAGCCAAGACCGCACCTGCGCGGCGCTGGACTGAGATGGATTCAGGACAGGAGTTTTCAGCGATCAATGGCAGGTCTGGATGGCTGGGTCCCTGAAGGACACGCTGAGACAGTGACCAGCCACGCACCGGATTTGTGTACCCTGTCAAACCGGCGAGATGGCGCTGCCTCGAATGTGGGAGCGACACCTGGACCAGGTGCATGTTGTCCCACCATCCCTCCCGCCCTTCTCGACGTGATTGCTCGGATTTTCTGGATTCAGGCGACGGTGGCGGTTGTATTCGGCAACCTTTTCAGTGCGCTGGCTTCCCCGACGGCCGAGCGGGTGGAATTCCGAGCGCATGAATCGCGAGCTGCTCCCTGGTTGCCGCATCTCCGGCAACCATCAACTGCGACTGCCGAGCACTGACGGCTGGCTGAGACCTAACAACCGTGCGAAGTTGGGACTCGACAGGTCTCAAGGGGGACCTCGCCGGGGACCACACAGCAGTGTGACGACGCGCCGAGGGAGGAAACCCCAACCGACGAAGACCTGCGTTTGAATTTCTCAAGCGAAGGACGATTCGCAAGGGTTGAAAGCGCCGATGAAGGGGTGCCGCCGAGAGCCGAGCCGGGATGTGCCACTTACTCAAACAGCTTGGATAACCTGGGAGGTTTCTGCTCTCGGAAAACTTTGAGGCTGGATCTGGAAAGAATTGAATTTTCAAGCCCCCGACGGCACACCCCAGGGTCCCAAAAAGAGAAAGAGCGACGGTACGAAGTACAAGTACGGACGGAGCGGTGGGACACGACCAGCACAAAACGGGTTCTCGCCAATGGGAGTTTTGGAGCAGACAAATAATTCTGCAAAACCCCCTCCTTCCGCTCCTTCCACCCCGGCCGCTCTTCTAGTCAGCCGCCACGCGATTGCAAGCCTGCAACTCCGGCGCCAGTCAACCGGTCCAAGGATGCCCCCGAAGTCCCCGTTTGCTTGAATGGGCGACGACTTTGATGGTGATCATGGCGATGCGCCGATGCCATGGCCCTTCTTGACGCTCAAGGCCTCAAGCTGCTTCATACTATGCGCATACAAGTTCTGGTGCCTCCATGTACACCAATTACCGACCTGTATGCCGCGTTTCCAAATTGGTGGATCCGTTAGTCTAGCGGCAATGGCGCTTCTGTTCCTGAGACAACGTGTCTGAGAGGAAGCCGACTTTTGACCGCCGTTCGGAGACCTCATGTCCCCACTGTGGAGCGGAGGAGTCCGCGAACCGCCTGGGGTGTCGTCGATCGCCAAGCGCCCGAGCACAAGCTCCGAGACTAATTCAACGTCGTTTGGAACCCTGCTGTCTTGGTTGTGTTCTTGCTTTGCAAACGGGAAAGGATGGCGTCCCAGGTCAATCGCGTTGCTGCGTTTCCGATGTCTGTTGAGGCGGCGTGTCAACGAATGCCGGCTCCCTCGCGATCTCCTGGTTCGCCAAATTCAACAAATAGGCAACCGTACCGATTTGTTGGCTCGGTTGCACTGCAGCCGGCCCGGCATGGTCCTGCACCCAAGACATACCGAGATCGGGGCTCGTTAACTCTCTTGCAACGTCCGGCTGGATTTTACTAGGGCAGCGAGGTTGTTTCGACCATTTCGTCCGCCAGACATCTCCCGTGTAGCTCTTCTAGAACGATTCAAGCCGCGATGAGACCTCTCGGGAGCTCCCGGCAGCTTCTACCCCAAATGTCTCGCTGGTTCGTTTGTCGATCCTCGGTTTGTGCCAGCCCCGCTCCCCAAAATGATCCCAAAACGGACGCTGGTGCCGGCATATCACAACACAGCACTGGCGCCAACCACCCGTGCCCCGAATGTTCGGGCGTTAGTCGGCGCGCTATACATAGTTAGCGACATTGCAGGCCAAGCATCGGACCGCACGGCCTTGAAAGAGAGTGAGCGAGGATCGCAATCTCCAACTTGCTCCCCGTAGTTACTAGCTGCACGCCCTTCATACAGCGTTCGATATCGCAGCTCGAAAATGTCAAGCCAACATGCGGAATGATAATTGCCCAACCCGGAGATGCATGCCACCGCTCTATTCTCCCATCCAGGCCTCCTCAGAATCTCGAATGGGAGGCGAACCCATCAACGGTACTGATTCCTAGCATGTGATGGGGATGGCTGAGACCTACATGCTCCAATGGGCTGAGCTGCTGATGAGCCGGTGGCGCCAATCACACTGTGATCATGAACGTACATGTACCAGCCATTACCAGTTAACACTGCCAGCGAAGCATGCTGAAGAGCGAAGCGGGGTAGGTTGCAACACCCCGCGGTCCAGCCTTCGCTTCCGATTCCTCAACAAGCACGAATAACGAAGCTGGCGTGGATCGAACGCCTCTACGAAGTAATCACCATGCTTTCGGCATCAGAACAGCCACACTAAGATAGATACAGGGCCTCAGAAGCGGACCGGAAGAGAAGATACCAAAATAATGGGCCGTGACCTGATCACCACCATCAATTACATATTGCGACGACCCCGGAGACCGAAGCCCGCCAACTCCCGTTCACGTCGGGCGGTAAGGCAGACTGCCGGGGTTATTTTCTTTTGTAGAGGGGGTTCGTTTTGTGCCACGTCCATCTGACAAGTGACGAATAAAGCAATAAAGTGACCAACGAGCGACCCATGGTCACCGTGACTGTGACCGTGACGGACGTCTCAAGGGAGGAAGACCGGCTCACAACAATTACTACCCGGAGTGTGCGCATCTCCTCAAGGACGTGTAAGGCCTCGCATGTGCAGGTACACTGTAAACCGGGACCGCTTTCTGATATACCGGAAACATTCCAGCACGGGCGCCTCCCAAGCGATCATCTTCGGCCACCAAATCCGCCGCGGCCCCGCCCACTAGCACAGTATCTCACAGAACAACACCAGCTCCCGGGGCCCACTCCGCCGAGCGCACGTCGACCAGTCATACAACAAGCGCCGTAATCCCACCGCGGGAGCAGTTCCCGAACGCGGCCAGAGGCTGAGGAGAGATGATGAAGCGCCGCTGGCAGATCATCAACGCAAATACCACCCACATCACTTCCCCTTCCTCCCCCCACCCCCTGCCCCAACACACCCCACCACACCCCCATAACACACCCCCATAACACACCAAACCAACCAACGCCCACCCACCACCCCAACCACAGCTCTGGCGACCCATCACTCACCACAATCCACCCCCCCCCCCCCCCCCCCCCCCCCCCCTCGCGCTCGCCGACGGCAGCACCGTCCCCGACCGACAGCGACCTCGTCGCAGCATCGATCGATCACGCACGTCAAGACAGGCCGGCAGGCGGCAGGCGGCAGGCGGCAGGGGGTCGTGGACGGTCATGGAAGCCCGGCAGCGCAGACACAGACACATAGCAGGCATAGGCAACAGGCACAGACACAAAAAGAGGAGCCGGGTGGCGAAAAGAAAAACAAGAAAAAAAAGAAAAGCCGGGGCTGGTGTGCAGCGTACCGACCGGCAGACACTGTGCGAGGTTGGTGCTCGCCAAGTGCTTTGACGGCGAGGTGGGGTGCGGGGGTGAGGCGGGCGCTGGATTGTGAGGTGGAGGTTCCTTGGGGGGGGGGGGGCTTCGTTGGGAATTGCGAGAGTGTGGAGGTGAGGTGTTTGGGTTTTATTAGGTGGGGGCTTTGGTGGGTGGTGGAAGGGGGGGTGGTTGCTTGTTGGGTTCGTTCCCTACTTGTCGGAGTGGGACATGGCCAAGGGGTTGCAGGCGACGTCGTCTGCCGTCGTTAGCCTGAGGAAGCATGAATGGGCTCGAAACACATCTGCGTGGAGACGACCATTGAGAACTTGATGCGAGGGGATGGTGGATTAGCAACTATAGACCGCCTTTTCGAAAAGAAGCCCTCCCATCCATTTCACGCCGAACTCCTAAAAAAATAGAGATTACAGTTTCGGAACCCCAATAGTATGGCAAAGGGAAGAGGATAAGCGGACCGATGTAACGAGATGGATCCTCCCATGGTTTACAATTGGAGGCCGACCTCACCGCACCGTTCAGCCGAGACGGTAAGCATCGTACACAATCTCGGCACCCCGGCGGCAACCGCTGCCGAGCCAGGTGCCCGTGTTTATCTCCTGGTAGCGCTCGTCACCCGTCTCGAGCTCCATGGTGACGCGGAGCCGGTACCGGTGGGCGGCGACATTATCGGCGGCGACAGGGTCTTGCAACCTCTCCATGACGTCCCGTTCACCGGTCAGCCATCCGGTGACCTTGCAGATGATCAGCGCGGGGTGCTCGTCGTTGGTCTGCATCAGGTACCGGGCGTCTATGCGCATGGCGGTGTCCTTGACAGTCGTTTGTATATCTTGTCCACTCGGCTATAGGATTGCTGGTGTTAGACTCGATGTGGAGGGTAGGACAGGGGGACATGCGCGACGACTACTCACCAAAAGCACGCCCTTCCCCCAGCTTCCGGCCCACAGCCCACCGGTACACGATATCCAGCTCTGCCGACCGGCCGGGCCGGGGCCCACATTGAGCTTTGGCTTGACTTTGATGCTCATTCGAAAGTCGAGATCGAGAGCGGGTGCGGGCAGTGCCAGCGAGCTCGCAACGTCATCCTCGTCGAACTGGTGGCGGAGGTTGTTGGCCGGGATCTTATCTTTCAGCACTGCCTGGTAGCCAAGGCACGTCGTCAGATGCTCTCGCTGCCTCGACGTGTTCTTAGCGCGGACTTGGTTGCAGTAGATGCATCTAGCGGACATGCACTTGTCATCCTCCTTGGCCCGGAACTCGACAAAGGCTGCGTGGACGTCGCGAAGGGGGATCTCCGGTAGGTTTGAAGCCGGAGACTGCTTCGTCTTTTGCTTTTTGGCTGCTGGTGTCCCCTCGACCCCGAGTGACGGGCGGCTATGGCTAGGTGAACCATTGATCCGGGGATTGGGCATGAAGCTCAAGTTGGTGTGATCGCTCGCGACCTCATCGTGACCGTACGAAGGGACAACGGGCGGGATGGGGGGGATGGGGGGCGGGTGCGGTGGATGTTGGGGGTGTTGTGGATGTTGTTGTGCATCGTGGGCTGCCGGGTGTGGAGGGGGCGGAGGAGGTGCATGTCCCTGTGGCCCGGGAGCGGGAGCTGCGGCTGCTGCTGCTGCTGCTGCCGCCGATGCGGCCGAAGCTTGGAGAGCGACGTCGGGGTGGGCTTGGAGGTAGGGAGCGCACTGGAGGAGGTGCTGCTTCTGGCGGGTCGTGTTCTTCGCTCTGACCTGCTGGCAAAAAAGGCACTGCACGGAAACGCATTTCTGGTCATCTATGCATGTGGGGACGAACAGAGGTCAGCCTCCAGGATACTCAGCGCGATGGGTAACATACTGTCAATACGGGAACGGGGTTACTACCTGGGAACAGGTAGATAGGAAGACTCACCAGCAGCGCGAAATTCAACGAAAGACGTATGCACGTCCTGGTCAACGTGGCGCGGCATGTTTCCGAGACGAGGCCGGTACCACGACTATCGACGGGATAAAGCTGATGTTGGCGGCAGACTTCGTATTGAGGTGACAGAACGACGCGTCGCGGCGGAACAGCTTTGGAAATACCGTAACCAAGAGTGAGTGTCACGTGTTGATAAGATACAATGGCGGGAGCCAAGGGCCTGGGCGCGCTCTCCACAGGCCGGGTGCGTTTCCCGTTTTCCTTTCCTCATTTCGGAGTAGCATACGGCGATCATTTTATCATCACGAGCCTCACTGACGTCGGGTCCAAGCAATATTAACTCCCTTGAGGTCACCATCATGTGTTAACGAATTGAGCCACAAGTATATTATTTACGGATGTACAGCGGAATGATCTCTCGGTTCCACGCGTCTGTTCCCCGAGGCCGCACAAATCAGTGGCTGTCAGCCGGTCAACACAGAAATTGGCAACGGCCATGAATCAAGCCTGTCATTTTTTTGTCCCAGTGACTCAAACTCGCTAAATTTCCGCCACTTACTGTGTAGGTAGAATATAGGATGACGACAAGGGCGAGGCCACTCGGCCGCAGCTTCCGACATCAGGACGATGACCCATCACGATGCTTGCAGCTTCCTTCACGTTTCCGATCATTCTTGCCTGACGTATATCCGAAGACAAACGTGCATAGATTTTTGAACGTAGAAATCGATGCGGCCTGCGTCTACGGCCGCAGGTTGCCTCTGTCCGTGAGGCGAAATGTGATCGATATGGGTAAGCATGTGTATAACGACCGGCAAGGGACGGATGTTTTACGGCATTGCGGTTGGGTTTGGCAAATGACGTGCGCTCCTTAACATACTAGTGCCGTCTGAACTATCTACATGATGATTGGGATGAAACGTCGACGCCCGGAGGTCTAACTGAGCCATAGCCGCTCTTGTGGCAAACAGCAAGTCGTTTGTTTGTTTACCTCCTTGAATGACGACTTTGTGGCGTAGGGAAGTCCAGCGGATGAACCTGAGTGATGTCCGAGTCAGGTGTCAGAGTTACGTTTTCCACTGCCTGCCTTGGGTAAGGTTGACGGAAGGTATGCCAGCAAGGCGAGTGTAAAGAGTGTGCACGCGCCTGCCCAGCTCGCCGAAATATGTGGAGAGCAGGAGGGATCTGAGCGTAATGACATTGACCCCAGACATGCCTATGCAAGAGCGCAGAGGCCTGACTTCCCAAGGTACGCATCGGGTCACATACGAGTCCTGTCCTCCACTTTCACCTTTCGAAAACCTGAGCAGCTAACTCTCTTCTAACATGGAAGCTACTCCACTGATCACCTAAAGACTCCATTGTCCGCTAGTATCAAATACTCCCCCTCCACAGCGATTTTGGAGAGTTTGCCAGCCACGACGACCTCCTCCTGACCCAACTTCTTCTCAACCCACCACCAGAGCGTACCTTCGTCTTATTCACGCCAACCCACACGACAACATCCGTCTCGGACAACAGGGACATGAACTTCACCTTCGAAAGCACGTCCGAGCAGGAGCCTCAGGAGCCCAGCAGCTACCCTGTTCCGGATTCCAGCGCAGTGAGTAGTATGCTAAGGAGGGCACACTTTTTTCGTAGCCCTGGAGGCCTATAACTGTCTGGTACTGACTTGCACAGTGGGACAGCCCGCAAGAAAGGCGCCTCATGCTCCAGCAGTTCCGGATCCAAGCCCTCCAGCGCGAAGTCCACGAACGCTACGCGCCGCTTCGGCCATCACCGCTCCGGAACGAGATAGACCCGGCGGACCTTCCGGACCCTGAGGTTCCCCACCCTCAGCTGATCGACGCGGGGCTTACCGACGCCGAGCTGATCGACCCCGGGCTGATCACCCCCGACCCAACCGACCCCGAGTCAACCGGCCCCGACTCGACCAACCCCAAGTCAACCGACTCCGAACCAACCGACCCCGGACCAACCGACTTCGAGCCAACCGACGACGCGGACATGGCCATCTCGTCTATGGCTGAGAGCGGCGATTCGGGCTTGGGCGGGTCTGACAGCCCGAGCAGCCCTAGCTCGAGCAGTGACGAACCAGACTACGACTCGGACGAGTCTGACAGTAACCGACATGGGTCACTTCGACGCATGGCTGGGGGCGCCATCATCTCGCCAGAACCGGAGTAGAGCTTCGGTCTGATATTGATGATGGATGACATGGCCGTGACGGGGGCACACAGGTGTACGGACTTGAACCGCGGGCGGTTCAAGGGGTGAGAAGGGGTGAGCGCGAGAAGGTGCAACTACCTTAGGTAGGTAGCTTAGAAGGATCTGGGCCCGTTTGAACAGCGCCCAATAGATTATAATGTTAATAATCGCCATGGATTAGTAGCTGCAGACCGTCAGTTAGGTACTTTACCAAACACGTTCAGACATGCCCATTTTCAAACCTCACGGCACTCTGGAGACCGGACCTGACCGACTGGAGGAGAGATGCTCCTGGGACACCCCGGTCAAACCACCTGCATAGGAGAAGAGGCTGGCTGCGGGCCGAAAGCTTAACACTCGCCAGGATGACCCTGCTCTGCTCCATTTGGCGAGTGCATGAGAACCCCACACAACCAGCTCGCCAAGTCAATTTCTTCACCAGCTGAGCAGACAAGCAGACGGTTTCGATCCAGGCCTAAAGGGATGCATATTCTTATTCCGTTTGCCCGTCTCGACACCTCGGTTTGCATTTGGGTCTTTACTATAGATTATGGCCTAGCGGAGGCCAAATCAGAGCTTCAAGGAGAAACCGAAGGCATGAGTGGCACCGATTATACCCGGGGGACAGGTCTGGTCCGCTATATAACTAGGTACGTCATAAGCGAGAATTCATCGTTGCGGTCGTTAACATTTCATTCTTCATGTCGGCACGGCCAAACGGAAGCTGTTCGGCAAGCCGGTAGACAACGTGGTTAGCGGAGACAGAAGCCCGAAACGATAGCAAAACGGGGCAAGCCCGGATGCGCAGGGGTATCGGCCCGCGTAGTTGCCTTTCCCTTGAGCGTGGGCCGACCTTTGGACGACGTTTACCGTGGGTGTACGTCAACACGACGAGGTGGAAACCGACGGGAGTTCTTATGGTTCGCGTTCTCAAGACTCGACATCAAAAGGCTTTCTTGCCGAGTGTGATACTCGAACTATTGAGGCATCGACTTGAAAGGCCAGCGTCTAGTGACCGACCGCGCGAAGACGGCCCCTCTCGCTTCATCTCGTTTGTCGAGAAGCTTGATCTCGGCTCGCGAGGCCAGCACGTGTATTTTATCGTCAACTTCCCATCAACGTCTCGCGCTTTCATGGACGGCGAGATGCCGAGCAGCACAGCCAACCAGCGACTCTGCCGCCCACTTATTCCTCGCGCCGATCCCAGGAATGGATCTGGAAGCTCTTGGCGCTGTCACGCTGCCAAGGTCGGGTACTCCCACTACCCCTGACGCGATCAGTCGATGTCAAGATTGTGCATGCAGAATGTTTCAGGGGCTCCACCGTTGCCACTGCCTGGACGGCGATGGGGTGATAACAGCTCACAGCTCCAGCTATTTGAGACGCGGATTGGTCAAACCGCAGCTTATAGCGGACCAGATAGATAGATCCCTGGGGCAAACATAGACCAGATTCGGCCTCGTTTTTCTCGCGACTGCTCGTGGTTAACTGAGTCCACTGTACTTCCATCCCAACCTGAGTGGTCCATTCCCCGACCGAGCCCGAACAATGTCCGCTTTTTCATGTTGGAGATGGACCATGGACTATAAATACTACACGGATCCCTAGATGGTCAAAAGAGAAGACGAGGTGTGGGATTCGGGGCTTGTATTGCATTCTGTCCTTATAGTTCATCATAACTAATCGACATCCTACTTCGTATTCTCCTTGCTTTCTTTTTGGGAGTTGGGACCCATCGAGATCTGCATACTTCAAGACAAGGCCGCACGACTGTCGATCATTTAGACCGCCCTTGAATCCGACCCTGAACGTTGTCGAATCGTTCTTCAAAAAAAGGAGGAGGGAGGACCTGGGAAAACAAATCGAACCACACGGAAGTCGACTGTTACATATCTCAACCAGCATGCAAAAGACGGACAAAGCCCCCGACGGGGAGACCCGACAAGATTACAAGCTGGTGGCCTTTGCGGATGGGGATCCGGAAAACCCCAAGAACTGGTCGAAAGCATGGAAGTGGTACATCACCATGGTCGTTGCCGTCACATGTTTCGTCGTCGCCTTCAATTCCAGTGTGATCACCTCGGATGTGCCAGGTGTCTCCGAATCTTTCAACGTCAGCCATGAGGCTGCTCTTGTGCCCATCTCCGTATTCGTCGTTGGCTTCGGTGTTGGTAAGTTCTGTTTACCTGCTTTTTCGTCATATCTGGCAGGTGAGCTGACATATCCGGTAGGTCCCATGATCTTCGCTCCTCTTTCTGAGGTTTTCGGGAGACGCATCATCTAGTAGGTCTCCTTACTCTCTTCCCCAACAACGGCCAGAGGGGCGAAATAGTTCTGGATAGCTGACATTGACCCTACCAGTGGGTCTACCCTCTTTATTGCCGTCGTTTTCATCATTCCCTGTGCAGTATCCAAGAACATCGGCACCCTCATCGTTTGTAGATTGATCGACGGCATCGCGTTTTCAGCACCCATGACGCTGGTTGGTGGCACCCTTGCCGATCTCTGGCGCAACGAGGAACGTGGTGTTCCCATGGCCGCCTTCTCTGCCGCTCCTTTCATTGGCCCTGCGAGTACGTCTCTACCACCAACTCTGGCATGGTAGCCTGGACGCTAACTTATGTAGTTGGTCCTCTCGTCGGCGGTTTCTTGTCCGACGCTGCTGGCTGGCGTTGGCTGTACTGGATCCAACTCATCCTCTCCTTCGTCGTCTGGGTGCTCATCACCTTCACCGTCCCCGAAACCTACGCGCCCACGATCCTCGCCCGCCGCGCCGCAAAACTGAGGAAGCAGACCGGCGACAACGGCCACGTCACCGAGGCCGAGCTCGACCAGCGCCCCTTCTCGCAGCGCATCGGCGTCTTCCTGATCCGCCCCTTCCAGCTCCTCTTCCGCGAGCTCATCGTCTTCCTCGTCAGCCTGTACATGTCGGTCCTCTACGGCCTGCTGTACATGTTCTTCGTCGCCTACCCCATCATCTTCGAGGCCCGCAAGGGCTACTCCTCCGGCACCACCGGCCTCATGTTCATCCCCATCGCCGTCGGCGTCATCCTCTCGGCCACGTGCGCCCCGATGGTCAACAAGCACTACCTCACCCTCGTCGCCAAGCACAACGGCCGCCCCCCAGCCGAGACCCGCCTGATCCCCATGATGATCAGCTGCTGGTTCATCCCCGCGGGGCTCTTCATCTTCGCGTGGACGTCGTACGAGCGGCTGATCTGGGTGGGCCCCTGCCTGGCGGGCCTGCCCGTCGGGTTCGGCTTCATCTTCCTGTACAACTCGGCCAACAACTACCTGGTGGACTCGTACCAGCACCAGGCGGCGTCGGCGCTGGCGGCCAAGACCTTCATCCGCTCCTTCTGGGGCGCCGCCGTCGTGCTCTTCACCGAGCAGATGTACGACCGCATGGGCGACCAGTGGGCGTCGAGCTTCCTGGCCTTTCTCAGCCTCGCCTGCTGCGCTATTCCGTTTCTGTTTTGGCGGTATGGCGCCGCGATCCGCAGGCGCAGCAAGTACGCGTTTGGCGGGGATGAGGAGGAGCAGGAGACGTCCGACTCGGACGTGGAGAAGGCGAGGAAGCCGGTCGATCCTACCGCCCCGTTGCATGAGGACTTGGAGGACCTGGAGAGGGCGAGGAGTTATGTCGCTAACCCGTAAGGGGCGGGGGATGATGGTGTGGTTGCTTTTTGTATTGGACAGGCAGTCATCTTGTAATCCGGCTGGCTGGGGACCGGTGGTGTATGGTCTTCCTATCCACGTTTAGAGAAGAGGGTAATATTATGGGGAGAAAGGGGAGTTCCACCCCCGAACTCAGGGCTAGAGTTGTATGACATTTACGTTGGTGTTTCTTTTCTCTCTCTCTTCTTTCATTGGGGTTCAAAATCGGGGGTCACGGATAGGAATGGATAGGATCTAGACAATGAGGCTTATTTTTGATGGGTTTGTGTTAGGTGAAGGGAGGCGCTTCTGGAGATAAACGGCACTGGACGCCAGAGTTTGATACTGATGGTATTAAGAAATAGTCAAGACCCAATATTCACCTGGAAAATCTAGCAAAGGACCCATATATCACAACGGTGAGTGTCAGCTCGTCCCTCAATCGGTAGACCCTTTAGGACAAGTAGCGAGGGGCGCACACACTTCGCCTCGTTCATTATTTGGGTACTCGGGGAGGGACTTGTGTCTTCTGGGGTTGTGGAGACCGCAGAGCAACACTAGACTGTCTCGAGATCGAGCGGACCGTATTCGTAAGAGAGACGATCATGGATACCGAATCCTATGATCGAAGGGTTAATGGCATGTTATGTTCGGCGTCTGAATATAGAGCCGGGGGAATGGAGACGCAGTGTGTGAGGGGTGAGTGTTAAGGGTATACGGTGACTGCCAGGTACTTCGGCAGACGGCCTGAAGGCGGCTGGTTGATTCTTTCTTTTTTTTGCGTTAGTTATCCAATTAAAAGGGTTCGAAACGGACAGGACGGTTGGCCGCGCGTTCACGCCCGTTTTGGGTGACAACCTGTCCGGATGTTGTTACAATTCTGGCCCGGGCGCGATACCTTCGAACCAACAGCCCCTTTGAGAGTCGGTTCGCGCAAGCTGTGCCAACCGGAGCTTCTCGTCAGGTAAGATGAGCGACGAGCCGTCCCCTGGGGGCCAATTTTACGTGTTCTTCGCTGTGATTGGGGAAGCATCTCAGCTCTGTGGCGTTGTTTTGAGACGATTTAAGACAACTAAGCTCCTTGGCCTCCTTGGCGGGCTAACCCTCAACGAAACATCAGTACCGAGTCAATCAACACTTCAACAGCCATCTTGCCACACTACCGACCGTCGTGTGCGTGAGCCATATGTCCGTCCGTCGGAGTTTCTAGTCGGATAGTTGTAAGATGGAACCATGTGTAACAAGCCCACTCCATCAAGATTCGAATCGCGACATGGCAGCACCACTTGCTGCCCAGCCGGCGCTTCCGACGCTTCCGACAGCTCCCTGCCAGGCGGTGCCCAGGGACCCGACAGCTCGGAGCGGAGTGGCGTTCCTCCGCCACCTCACCTTGCGTCCGCGCCGAGTCTTCCTCCGCATCGGGAAGGCTAGATTTTCCGTTGCTGTCCTTCTCCTGTTCACATCCGCCTACCTCGTCTACCGCTTGTACTTCTACGACGACTTCTACCTCCCGGCGCGCGCCCCGAGTCTCCACTCCGGCAACCATGCGCCGCCTAGCGAGTGGTGGGTAGAGTTCTTCGCCCGCCTCGAGAGTACGCGCATAACGGCCCCCAGTATAAAAATAAAAGACTGGGATCCTGCCATCAACTGGAAGCCCAACACCCACGCCAAGCGCCCAGACCTGGTCAAGCTGGGCAGCGATGATGAAGCCAAGTACCGGGAATCACATACGGCATTTGTCGACCAGCTCGCTCAGTTCGCCAGCCATCTTCCCTACGACGCCAATACCGCCGGCATCGTAACCACGGCTGGCGTGGCCAACTTCGGGCAGGCCATCTCGCTAGTACTAACGACACGCCGGGCGGGCTCGCGGTTGCCAATACAGATCTACCTCGACTCAACCGCGCCGTGGGTAGATTCAATGTGCTCCAGGACACTGCCTCAATACAATGCGACCTGCCTGTCCATACATGATACATGGGCTGGTATACAGGTGCCGGAGTTCACACGCTTTCAATGGAAGGTGCTCTCGATTGTTGTTTCCTCCTTCCAAAACGTCCTCTTCCTCGATGCCGACTGCCTCCCTGTTCTCAACCCAGACCGGATCTTCAACCAGGGGTCCGAGCCGTTCACCTCGGCCGGCCTGATTACTTGGCCTGACTTCTGGACCTCGACCGCTTCGCCGCTCTTCTACAAGGTTGCTGGCGATATGGACATCCCACCAGTCACCTCGCGTGCTAGCTCGGAGAGCGGGATAATAGTGTATGACAAGTCCCGCCACGCCGACACCCTCCTCCTTGCCGCCTACTACAACTACAACGGGCCCAACCACTATTATCCCTTGCTCAGCCAGCATAGCGCGGGGGAAGGTGACAAGGAGACCTTTCTCCATGCCGCACTGGTGCTGGAAGCGCTACGGCAGAAGGGGGTGTATAAGCAGCCAACAGCCTGGATGAAGCCGGGGGTTGGTGTTAAGAAGGGGTATTATGACGTCAAGAAGCCACTGTCTGGACATGGGCGGACGGCTAGGGGCAAGTGGACGGGTATGTTCCTACTACAGATGGATCCTATAGAGGATTACCGTGCGGTGAGAGCCGCCATCCAGAAGGCCAACCTACCCCACGAGAAGCGAGACGAGGCAGACGCTACCGTTGTAGAGGATTTTCTTACCAACTCGACATTCCTCGACACCCTCGGGGACCTAAAGCTAGAACACCACGGCCACACCATGTTCTTCCACCATAGCGGCGTCAAGCCCGACTTCACGCACATCGTGGACGAGAAATGGGGCCTCGTCCAGACGAACGAAGCGGGCAAGTATGTACGGATGTGGGGACCCGTCGGCTGGGTCATCGATGCGTTTGGCAGAGACGTCGAGAAACTACTGTGGGAGGACTCGATGCACATCTACTGCCAGGAGGAACTGGCCCAGTTTCAGCGTTTACAGGACGTGTGCGCCAAGATGCGTGAGATTTACGTCCAACTATACGCCTAGAAGGGTGTCTTGTGTATTTGGGTTTTTTCTTTGGCATGTCATCGGGGTACTAGAGGGCTGAAGAATACCTAGGGAACGGGTTCTGGCGTACCTGGAGAGAAATAGCCTGAGAGTTTTGTTCTGTCCTGGGCGGATGCCTTCATCTTTGCCTACATTCCATGGCAATGAGATCACATTGCAGTTCCATTCAACAACCTCCCCACTCGCCTGTCAACTGAGCCAACTTTTACCGCTCGTTTGTCACCCCTTGCTACGTACCTTCTAACCCGAAAAAGGTTGGGTTTGGGCGAGACGTATGCCAAGCAACCCATGGGTTGATTTGGGTGACATCGACCTATAGGACCTTGATGTGTTCGCCCGTATTTCGTTCCCACGGGTAATTCCCGGGGCTAGAATGGTATCTTAATGCGAGGCAAGGCTCGGATGTTGATTCTCGCTCTCCTCTCTTTTCCCTTCGTCTCATCGAACCCGTCGACCGCTACCTAAACCTCGATATTTGATACAGGTACATATTGTTCTTCATCATTCATCATGATGTACCTCGGGCAAGGCATCAAGGCATGCCTCCTCCTCCTGCTCCCCTCCTCCATCCCAGTCCTCGCTCTGTCCACTCCCACAACCGTCTTCACCCTCCCCGGCCCCATCGCGCCAGCGTCATGGTTTGAGAGCCTCGCCGTCCGCCCCAACGGGCTCATCCTCGCCACCCGCGGCGACGCCCCCGAAATCTGGCAAATCGACCCCGCCACAGGCGAAGGCGTCCTCCTGGTCTCCGTCACGGGCGCCTTCAACCTAACCGGCATCGCCCAGGTAACAATGGCCTCCCACCACCAGCAACGCCCACACGCCCAAACGGCCGGCGAAACCTACGTCTTTGGCAGCGCCCACATCCCCTCCCCCAACCAAGTCGAACCGGGCAGCGCCAAAGTCTGGACCCTCCAATTCCCCGCCTCCACCACCACCACCAACAACAACAAAAACACCCCCAACGACACCCCTCCCATAGTCTCCCTCCTAACCGCCCTCCCCACAGCAGGCTTCATCAACGGCATCGCCTCCTGGGGCGCCAACCGCATCCTCCTCAGCGACACGCTAGCCGCCGCCATCTACCTGATGGACGTGCGCACCGGCGCCTACACCACCCCCCTGACCAACCTAACCGGCGTGAACGGCATCCAGACAGCCCCCGGGTATGTCTACCGCGCGGACCACGCCGCGTCGGCGCTGAGCCGCATCCCGGTCGATTCCGACGCCGTCGCTACCGGTCCGGCCGAGGTGCTGGCTTCGGAGCAGCCGGTGGATGATTTCGCGCTGGTGGTGGATGGGGACGGGAGCGGGGCGGGGAGGGCGTATGTGGCGGCGTTGTATGAGAATCGGGTCGTGGAGGTGGTGTTTGGGCCGGCGGGTTCTCCGGGGACGGGGACGAAGAGGGTGGTGGTGGAGGATGTGAGTGGCACGGGGACCGGGTTTGTGTCGGTTGCTGTGCTGGGGAGGAGGGCAGAGGATGCGGGGCTGTTGTATGTGGCGGTTGGGCAGGGGGGTGGGAGTGCGGGCCGTTGTGAGGGTTGATCCGAGTGAATAGGGGGATGTGATGTGGTGGATGCATGGGATGGGGGGGGAGATGGGGAGGGAAATGAAGATCATGCTCCGCTCATTTGACCATTCGGGTGCTCGACTGCTCCGCTCCAAGTGTAGGTCGTGAACATGTCGGTGGTTCATGTCTGCTGAAATGGGTGCAGAGGCCACAAGACAAGGGAGCCCTGTAGCCCTGTCGCTGCTACTGGATAATGCAAGCAACCTTCCGCATACCGTGTTTCTCAGCAGGTCCAATAAAGATCTCAGAACAACTTGGATTGTCTCAGGATCAACTGCCGGTGAAACATCGCAGAATGGTTGGATGGAGCAGTGCGTGTTGGATCACGTGGAGACTGGACTGGGTCACTGAGAGCAGCAAGAGGTGTTGTTAAATGCTGCTTGGCGGTTGCCTCCGGGCATACATGCTGAAGGGAAAAGGAAAAACACAACTCGCACTCACACAGCACCCACAGCACCCACAGCCTACCTAACCTTCCCCGCCCGCCCCATCGGAACACCGTCGAATTCCCAATGCTCGCAGCCCCTTCAAGGTTACCTCCTCGTTACTAGACCTACCCAAGTTGGCAACAACGCATTATTGAGTGACCATGTTCACCGCTGAGGGGTTGGAGACCCTGCCAACGGAACTCTTCATTCGTATCATCAAGCAGGTCCGTTTACAATCCAGTCTCGGTCCTCATATCTTATGACGCACGCTCTGCTAACACGTACACAACCGACAGCTGAAAAAGGCCGATCTAAAATCCCTTTCTTTGGTGTCCAAGAAGTGTTATTTTGTCGTTGCTGAACCACTCTGGGAGTCAGCCATCATCAAGCCATTGTCCGAGCGCCAACTCCATCAGATCAACGCTGGAGACCTGCCGCAAGCGCGTTTCCAGCTTGCCCGGCAGCTGCACTTCCGCTCAGATTTCCGACTCGTCCTGAAGGACCGATGCCCCCATCACAAGGATGCAAAGGGTGATGACGGCCCGACTCCGTCCAAGATAGATGACGAGGACGAGTTGCACGTCGGTAGTCGTCCGGAAGCTGGGGAGGACGGCGATAAGCACCCACAGCGCTTCCACCATCTTGCTCAGCAGGCAAAGCTTGCCCTTGAGCGGTTGCAACATGACCAGTTGCTCGGCTTTAGGTACCTAGGCACTACCACCCTCATCCTTCAGCACGGAGCCCACTAACCTGGACACTCATAGTTGGGATCTGGGTGCTTGCGTGCCCTCTGACGTTCTCGGGCCGCGTGGAACAATCTCGCTGAATAATCCTTCGCTGCGATCCTTGACCCTTACCACCGACCCGGGGTGCCAAACCCCCGGTGCCCCGGATTCCGACATCGATTTGTCCGCATTGTGTAAGCTCCAGAGTTTGCGTTGGAGAGGCCCCGGAGTCCGTCACCTCGATACTTTGTCCCTCGCTATTGAGAACAACTCGGGGCGGCTACAACGTCTCGAGTTGGACTTCATCCGCTGGGGATCTCTCGAGCGAGACATGATGGAGCTCAAGAAAACGAACTTGCTCGAAGCCCGCGAGTGGTGTGCCAATAACATCTTCGGGTTGGCAAGGCAATCCCCGCAGCCTATCCTTTCAGCGATCCGCGAATTGTCCCTTGCGGGAATGCCCCTTAGTGATGGGATGGCACGGACGATCAATCTCGACACGCTCGTGTCCCTTAAACTACGGGAATGCAAGAACTGGGTCGGATTTCTCGAAGGAATCATCCATCTCGGCGTCCCTATAAGGCTGAAAGCACTCGAGCTCCGGGACTCACGCGCCGTGACCCAGCGCGACGCCCCCGTGACTTTGAATCGCTTTCTCAACGCTTTCGACGGCCTCGAGGAACTATTCGTAAGCTACTGGAATTCCTCGAGAAGGACCTATGTCGGATACTGGCACCATGCCAGCCTCGGGATTTGGAGCGGCGCCAACCATCACCGGGCAACCCTCAAGAGATTGGGGTATCATAGGCGATGGACAGAGTGGGCCTGTCCTGAGGGCGATGTGCTGGACCTGGATCTGCGTATGTGGGGAATCAGCCAAATTGGATATGAGGATCCCTCGCAGCATCAACTCGCTGAGTTGGATCTCGACTTCATCGGACTGTCCTGTCCCCCGGATCAATTGGTACGTACGCAAAGTTCCACCCTGAACCCGCGGTATTATGGCTAATCTTCATAATTGAAGGAAGAAATCCTGCTGCCCTTTTCCTTCAATGCTTCGTTAAAGGTGCTCCACATCCGCCAATCCGGTTATGGTTGGTCCTTGGTTCTGGAAGAGGATGAAATCAATAAGGGCTTCTTCCGGATGTCGTCTGAAGAACAACAGAAGCTGGCGTTGGAGCAGGAGAGCGAAGAGTCGGAACGGGGTGTGGAGGGCGGCCATGACACCACAGCTGATGAGTATGATGCCGGCCTCCGTGCTAGGATCCGGCCAGAGTTCAAAGACTTTGCCGAGTGGGCTTTTGGCCCCCAGGGGATTCGCTCGCTCCAGGCTATTGCGTACGGGGACTTTTCCTGCAGCGGACGCGTGGGGAGACCGCGGCGGATGGAGCAGCTGCTCTTGTGCAGAAACGCACATGTCGGCGACGGGGAAAACACTAACTTTCGAATCGTACGCAAGGACGATCCCGGGGTGCGGGTTCTCGACGAGTATCACGACGCGCTGCAGGCCTTGCCCATGGAGCCGCTTTTGGAGTATTCTCGATAAGTCGCAAAGTAGAGCGCTTTGGTGTTGTTGCGCAGAAACTATCAAAACGCCGCATAACGGTGTAAACCAGCCACACTTTGTTCGTCACCACCGCAGCCGTTGATATGGTCAGTTGCAAGTGAAGTGGCAGAGCAGTTGATGGATGGCTGGAGCCAGAACACGAAACCCTTCAGGTTCGCACACAGCGGCAAGCCATCGTAGCAAGCCAGAGAACAAGAACAAAAGTTTGGAATTACGAAACCAGAAAAATATACAAAGATACCCAACCCGACCTTTTCCAACCTCTAGTCCGTTTTGGAGCTCGCCCCCTTTCTTCAAAACACAAGAGAGAAAGAACTGAAGTCCCGCTTCGAGTCAGCAAGCCACTCCTCTACCCTTCACACCACCACCCTTCACACCACCACATCACCCACCCCTCACACCACACACACACACACACACACAACACTCAGCACCGCCTCCACTCGAGATCCCACTGCTCCGTGTCGGCCACGAAGTGCGCCTTGCCGTCGCCCGCCAGCGCGCCGCGGAAGTTGATGTTCATGATGCCCGTGTAGCCGTCGCTGCCGGTGCAAGGGGACCACACCTTGCCGCCGTCGGCGTTGGCCACGAGGGTCACGCCGTGGTTGACCGTGTCGCCGCCGCTGTTGGAGACCGTGCCCGAGATGGTGTCCTGTTTTTGGGCTTTGGTTAGTATAATACAATACAAAGAATGTTGGAGTAGGGAGGTTTGGGGGGATGAACTCACGGAGCGCCCGGCGTCCTGGCTGAAGAAGACGGTCGTGTAGTGGGTGAGGGTGGTGCCCGGGCTGAGGAGGACGCGGCCCTTGACGACGTTGGTCTTGAGGGCGACCTGCCACCCGGGGCTCGCGCCGTTGGCCTGGAGGTGCACCTGGCAGTTGAGTGTCTGGGAGCCCGGGAGCGAGGCGGCGAAGTTGTTGAAGGTCACGGTCGGGTCGTTGAAGCTCCCCGAGAACTTGGGGTCCCGGGCGCACCCGTTCCCGGAGAAGGTGATGCTGGTGATCTTGGGCGTGGCGGGGGCGGCGGTCTCAGCCACGGCGGCCGAGGCTGCTGTGAGGAGGAGGATGTTGGAGAGGAGGCCCATTGTGGTGGTGGTGATGGTGGTTGGTTTGGTGTTGTTGAACTGGGGGGGTTGGTGAAGGCGAAGGCTGTGTGCAACGTCAAGGTTGTGAGATTGTATGGGTTTGGATGTGGATGCTGGAGGTATGTATTATGACGAACACCATCTTTGGCGGGTCGTAACGCCTTCTTTATATCTCCAACTTACCTTACTTAGCTCACTTAGCCTAGACCTCGGGGGCGAGGGTCACGATCCAGATGGATGGCGATACTTCCTCTCTCGCCGCCACCCATGCCATCGGGCGGTTTCTCAGGTCGTCGAGAAGTCTGGGTGCGGAGCTTTCCAATTTACCCAGATTGCAGCCCGTGAATCCGGGTGCCAGGATTGGCAAGAACCAAACTCTAAATTAAGATCCAAAAATAGGTTCCAAAAACCTTTGGCCTTTTTACGCCAAGACGACCTGGGGATTGGGTCAAATGGTTTGGTACCGGGCGAGAACACGGAGCACTGACCGGGAGTGGAACATGTCAACCTGGGAATACCAGGGACGCCGAGGTGCATCAATCTCGCCCGATATTATGGAAGCACGCCCACGACGCCGCCGTCACACCACATGTTGCTCCGTGCTCCTCTCCCCCGTTAGCCCACTGCCCCCTGGGGTAGTGCCGTACCTGGTTGTCGCCCCTGGAGCTGGGCTGCATCATGGGGTGAACCAGTGAACGAACAACGCCACGTTGCGGCACATGCACTGGAAAAACAACTGCGGAGCTCATTTCCGCACTCTTATTGTTTGGATGCGACGTCATGGTTATGTCTGGCCTTTCCACTGAGCTCCCTGTCCCGGTACAGCCGTCGAGAACTCCCGCTTCCAGATCAGCCCAGCAGTTGATTCGCCCTAGGTACTGTAAGCTTAAACATCCTCCCAGGAAACGGTCGGCCATTGCGCGGGCAATATTTCTCCAACCGTCTGGGTGCGTCTTGACAGATATTTCCCCTTGATGCAGAGTGTGATTGCATGCGACAAGTTGATCAATGTCTATAGCAATGTTCCTATTTATGGCAGCTCAATATCCTCGCGGCGCTGGAGTCGGGAGCCAGATGCCTGCCGATGATACATGGTTGCGCGTTGAGCATGTTGTCGCAGCCGGGCGCTTGCGAGCGGTTTCATGGTTGGCCCCCATCACCGTGATCGATCCTACGGCAACGGAAACCAAGCATCAAAAACCATTCGCCGCGATTGTGGTTATTCGGGGATCCTCTCACAACACACATCACAAATTCTTCAAGGGGATCTGCTGAAATGTGTCACGAATTTATGCATGATCGGCCGAGGAATCGAAGGATTGACCACAGCGGCATCCGGTTGGTGGTTGTTGTCGTTGGGGGTTGGAACTTTGATCACTTCCCAAGGAAACGCACCGAACGGCGTCCAACAACGAACCTCCTGAGTCGGCGTGTTGCTTGTGAAAAGTAATGCCGTGCCCGGTGCCGTGTTGTGTCGGTCCCGGGCGGCTTCAGTTGGAGGCTAATCAACCATTCAGGGGAAGTCTTTTTCGCTACTCGGGCTTGGTGTTGCCGTTGTTCCCTGCCAAGTCCCCGGAGGAGCTGGTGTCCCTGTCACCGACGGCTTCGACGGCAACCGTCGGGCTCCGCGATTCAAACAGGGTGCCTTCCTCTAACCGCTGATGGTAAATGCCGTCGACGCAGATATCCGGCTCATCGAAGATGTAGAGCCAGTAGTAAAACGCGCCACAGAAGACTGCGCCCCCGAGGATGTTGCCGAGAGCGGTCGGTATAATTCCTACCCGGCGAACGACAGTGAGCAATCACTGCAGCTAACATCATGCCATGGTGGCCTTTTGGGACCTACCTTTCCAGATGTACAGCCCCACGGTTAATTCCGGCGTACCCAGAAACAAGCCGATGGGAATGAAGAACATGTTCGCCACGACGTGTTCTAGCCCCAGGGCGACGAAGGCGAAAACCGGCCACCACATGCCAACGACCTTGGACGTCAGGTCCTTAGCCTGTAGTCCAAGGTAGAGTGACAGGCACACAAGCCAGTTGCAGCCAATGGCGCGGAGAAAGATCTGGTGGAAATGCAGGTCAACCTGCTTCTGCTTCGCATTGGCGATCGCTTGGTCCCGGTAGGGGTTGTGGTCAAAGACGCCACCGTCTGTGTTGTGTGTGTGTCAGGGTTGCAGTGCTAAATCAACTCCGGCTGCGGCTGGACTTACAACCAAGAATGACGGCCATGACGAAGAGGACGCCAGCCAGGTTTCCCCAGAAGCAGAGGAACCAGTGCAGCAGCATGTTCCGGATCGGCAGGCGTCGGTGGTAGACCGCCACAGCCGTGATCTGGGTGGGTTAGTTGAACGTGACTGGTATGTACCCAAGACGGACAGAAGTTCCCTACCATGTTTGTGCCGGTGAAGAGCTCCCCTCCTGACAGCCTAGACTTTCCACATGAGTTGGGCCGTACATCTTGCTCGCAGTGTGTTGTATACGGACATGATCATGACAATGCCAGCAGGGAATACCAGCGCACTGATGATTCTAACAAGGCCGGGCGTGTTTTCCTGAAGCCACGGCGATGCAGTAGCGACCAGCGACGCAGCGGACGCAAAACAGAGGAGGCATCCAGACGAGACAGCCGAGAAAAAGATCTTGTCGGGTCGCATCCTCCCTCTCCTGGAACCCATGCGGGATATTATCTCTATGGTTTCCGTCGGCGTATACGATGCCAGGTTGGCGACATGGACAGTCTGGATTGCCATGGTTGGCATGGTTGGCTCTGGGGCTGATCCGAAGTTGTTCAGTCAATGATGATACTCAGGTTGACGTCTGAGAGGTTTCAAGACGGGAAGAAATCTTCAGCTGTCAAGGGCGCCATCGCGATGGATAAGCCTGTGGAGTTTTGAATCCATGTTTGCTTGGCGAAGTGGAAGCCATTGCGAGTGAAGGGGTTGCGATTTCGGACCGAGAAATCCTTGGTTTGCGGAGGATGGCGGACATTTCCTGTCCATCATGATGCCTCTCATTCATTCTGAACCACGATAAAAGAGGGAAAAGAAATGTGCAAACTTTGTTCCGGACTATGAGGAAACTGCTGCCGAGCGAAGGTTGCATTACCCTGCTTGCGGCAGGAGCCACTTTGTTTTCTGAATTCAGGGGTATCGATATAGGGTTAGGGTTGGTTGCCCATCCGCCACCATCTTCCCTCCCCCGTCACTCCCACACTGTTTCTGGACTTCATCATCGCCCCTCGCGTATGCAAAAGAAAAGGACGAGAATGGTATCATGCGTATCCGTGTCCCATTACTGTTTTTGTAACCCGCCCCCGCCCCCCCCCGAGCGCCAAAGACAGCAGTGGTAAAGACCGTAACAGTAACCCCTTTTCGAGACCAGAACATCATCACCCAGGGTATCAGGCAGAAAGATCCTCGCCCAGACCAGACAAAACAAGAAAAAGAAACAAAAACAAATGCACAGCAACCCCCCCCTAACTCCCAGATTATGCACAGCCCCAACCCATCACCCCCCCGCATCATCACCTTCCCCCCGGCCCAGACCCAAGCCCCCTCAACCTCCCCCCCCTCACCTCCCTCTCCACCATCTCCCCCCCAAACCCACCACCGCTGCGCGCAACCGGCGACCCCCACCCTCCACTCCGCCTCCTTCCCGACGCTGACGCCGACCCCAACCCCACCGCCGACCCAGAGGCCCCCCCTCCCAACCCCAACCCGGATCCCGGACTCGACTCCGAGCTCCGCTCCCACGCCTCCCCCGCCACGGCGCGCGCCACGCGTATATCCAAGCGCAGATGGGCGCGCGGCGGCGCCCGCAGGGGCCGGCTGTCGTCGGCGTCGTCGTCGTTGGGCCGCCCGCCACTTGTGGTGCTGCCGCTGTTGGTGCTGGCGTAGGGGTGGGTTTCGTTGTTGTTGCTGTCGTCGGGGGCGGTGGAGGAGAGGCTGCAGGCGCGCTGGGCTTCGAGGTCGAGGTCGTGGTCGAGGTTGTATTCTGTCGGGGAGGTTGTGGTGGTGGTGGAGGATGTTGGGTTGGTGATGGTGTGTTCGGGTCGGCTGGGTTTCATGGTTGTGAAGCTGTGGTAGTAGTGGGACTTTTCGATGGTCTCTTCGTGGTCGGGGTTGTGGTGGTGGCGGACGGGCGAGGGTTCGTAGAGGTTGGGCAGGGCGCTGCCGCTGTTGGTGTTGGTGTTGCTGAGGCTCGGGCCTTCGCAGCTGCAGCCGCAGCAGTGGTGGGGGGATGCGTTGCTTATGCGTCGTGTGATGGGGTGGACCGGCGCGGGGGTGGAGTTGCGGTGGTGGCTCGTCTCGTGTATGCTGTCGTTGTTGACCGGCGTGATCCATTGCAGGGACGGCTCGCGGATGCCTTTGCTTGGAGATAGGAGGCGGGGGAAGACCCGCTGGATGAGGGGTTTGAGGGTCATGATGCAGGCGCAGGCGATGGCCGCGTTGACTTCGACTGTCGTCCAGTAGATCATGTTGGCGCTGGCGTAGAACCCATCCCACGAGGGATGTTGGGTGATATTGATGAGTGCGATGAGGCGGACAATGGAGATGATGCAAACGCTAGGTGGAGATTAGTCGTGGTCGGTCATAAAGACGGGGGTGGTGGGACGAACAAAAAACCGAGAGCGAAGACCCCGACGATGGCGTATTTTTGCCTTCGCGGTAGATTCAGGGACGAGAGGACGGGCATCTATCAAGGTCAGTGGGGTTCTGCACCCAAGCAACTAAGTTCAAGGTCTGGAACGACGTACCGGTAGTGCCATGACGACTATGTCGCTGCTGATATGGAGACCCGCATTTGCCCACCACAGGTTCGCTGGTTGGCAGTATACCGGCCCTTTGAAGAACAGAGACCAATCCCAGAAGGCTTCTAGCGGCATGCAGGCAGTGCAGACGGATACGATGAACCAGATCCCAATGGCGCTGACGAGGATCAAGACGATCTGGATGGCTCTCTTGATCCAGCTGTAGGTAAAGATGCGCTTGTAAAGGAGGAGGATCGATATCCTGCTGAGGGTGAGGCTGAGGTTGTAAAACAACATGCCGTACCAGGCCGCCTGCGATCCCCTGTTAGTCCCTCTTGAGTTGGCAAGTGGCAAAGGGGTAACCTACCCGTTCAAAAGCTGGCACTCCGAACATGTCGATCTCCCACACGTGCTTTCCTGCACCATGGGCCATCTCTGGGATGAAGTTAGCTTCTCGAACTCAAGCAACGGCCAGCTTGTACCTACGCTCAAGTGAACTCGCTGTGACACCAGCCGCGCAAAGCTGCAACACGGTTAGCCTAGGATCTTAAAAGGGGGGAAAAGAATGCCTTACGAGAGCCGGCAAGATGCACCAATCCGAAGCCCCGAGTACATGGTTGACCCAGCCCCTGGTGTAGAACCGGAGGCCAACAAAAATCGTCGCAATCAGGAACGTGATGACGGAGCAAGCGATGATATCTGGCTGAAGCGACCTCCCGGCATCTGGAGGAATGGGGAAGAAAAATGTCGTGTTTGGCGGCGGAAAGGTCTCGTTGCTCGGGAACGTCGAGTTCGGCCCCGGCCCGGCCGTGTCCCACACCATCTTACCCGACTCCCTCACCCGGGGAGGCGAGGATGGCGCTGGCAACCAGTGCTCTGCGTCCGCGTTGGAAGGGTTGTGGATGGTTCCTCGAGGGAGGAGGCCAAGCTGAGCCCCAGAATCCGGAGAAGCGGGCCAGGAATGGCATGAACATATACCGGCCGTTCCCCGCAGTTTCTGTCAACAGGAGCGCTCATCTCCCGGTAACGCAGGCGGGTCCAATAAACCGTTGATCGGCGCTGGTGACGGTATCCCCCGTCACGGTGCAACCTGCAGAATCTGGGGAAGGAAACGTCGGCTCCTTGTCGTTAATCGGCCGGATGGCACGTGAAAGAGATAGCCATTGAGCAACACCATCTTTGCTCTGGGTCGGACGTGTGTGCGACACGAAAGGCAGTTCGTTTGAGATGGGGGAAAAAAGGAGCCAACGGACCTGCTGGCATCCCCCTGCTTGAGCACGAGCCTCGTTCGCCAGCCAATTTCCCTAGCTGCGATACGACCCAGGGTCGCAGCTCAGGCTCGGAGCTCTGGAACTTGGTTCAAGCTCGGAGTGCGGGGAAGCGAAATGGCGGGCTGGTTGCGTTTTCAAGGTTTTCTTCAGGTGGCCCGTCTCCCATTCAGATTGGCCGGAGGTGAGGCAGAGTTTGGTTCTGTTATACCAAGAGCTCCGTCGTTAATGCTTGACATTGCTTGGGCGCCATTGGACCCGGTCGACGAGGTCTTGAAGTCACATGGCTTTGGGGTAGAACCAAAAATTGACGTCGTCGTCGGCCAGGGGCAGGGAGAAGAACTTCGTACGATTAACTACTTGTTTTGTGAAGATTTGCTGTTTCTTCAATGCTTGCAAGTTGGAAACACAGCCCATGCTGTTCCCTGGCTTCCACGTTCGGAGACCGGCAAAAAGAGAGACAAGGTCAAGGCAGCGCGGACCCGGGATTCCGGAGGCGAGTGCAACACAAGATGAGGGTGGCCAGAACGGGGTGGACGCTAAACTGGAATGGGCACCGGCCCCCTTCCGACCGCCTCTCTTTCGCTCTCTTGGGGAGGGAGCAGCCCTCGAATTCTGCCGGATGCACAGACTTGGCAATCTGAATTGATTGACAACAGCGGACAACAGGGTCACCCGTGTAATCTCCAAAATGCCGCGGCAGTTGTGAGGAGGGAAGGCGACGTTGGGCCAGTCATCTTATATCAATCATGGAGTCCGACGTGGAGGATAAAGAGGGAATTTTGACTCCCCGACTTCGAGATGCGGTTTTGGGAATTCCTGGCTCCGGACCCGGGGCTTGCCATGGTTGCGGTGACACACAGCAACACCCCAACACCCCGGCCCTATATCTGAGCCCGAATGCGTTAGTTCGCCTTCTTCCGTGGAGAAATGTCCCCCAGCCGGGATCCCTCGTCTCACGAAGCCACAAGAAGACAAGTTCGGACCAAAGCCTCTTGAACGAATTTGACAAACTTGTTTTCCAATGGGAGGCCGGTCTAAGTTTTGGGACGCCGGTCTCAGGTGACCGGACTCGCCGTGGCTCCACACCGGTGGAAGAAAGGGGAAAGAGCAGCTTTGGATCCAGATGATCTCAACAATTTGGTTGAAGTAAATATATACTCGAAAAAGGAGACCTGCACCATCTGCGTGCGCAGTCTCCAAGAAGGGGAAGGTTAAAATATGTACAACGAATTTTCGGTCGGAGCAGCATGGCAGTGCCGTCAGTGGACCCCAACTTCTTCTTTCTCGCCGGCGTTCACTCTCACGATGAGGGTTGTATTCTGCGAATTTCCGCTGCCGCCCCACCTCATTGCTTTGGATTTGGATTCAGCTGAGGTGAAGACCCGCAGCCTACAGGCCCCACTCATCGTCCCTCAGAATACTTGTACCCCCTTAAGGAGTGTACTTCTTCAGGATCGAGTTGTAGTTGGTGTACCCGGTGCCCGTAGGAGGCTCTGTAAGCTGCGTTAGAAAGTGTCTTCCACGAGGCGACTGCCTGCTCAAAGTTGTTGGGGAAAAGTTGTTGGGGGGTGGGATGCCACATTCTCCCAAGGTCGTCGTTTGGGATGACCGAACCTCCGGGATTCAGGAGGCTACCTAAAATCGCCCAACGGCTGGGTTGACCAAAAGAAAGAAAAAGAAAAGAAAAAAAAATACTAACCAAACGAGTACATGTACTCGGCCCACCAGGGACCGGCAGCCCACCAGAGCGCGCCCATCCAGACGTCGCTGTTGGCCTTGAGGTGGTCGAGGAGGCCGGTGACGGCGCTCTGGCAGACGGCGTTGGGCCCGCCGGCGAACTCGCCGATGATGCCGACCTTGCCGTTGGCGCGGAGCCAGCTGGTGGCGCCGACGACGCGCTGGACGCCGATCTGGGCGCTGACGCAGTCCGGGCTGGTGCCGGAGCTGTCGGCGTCCAGGTACTGGTGCATCTCGTACACGAGCTTGCCCTCCGGGTCCGTCAGCGCCGCCATGTTGGTGTTGGTCGTGTTCCAGCTCCACGCCCCCGACCACGCGTTGCCCTCGACGAAGATGTGCTGCTTGGCCCCCGCCGCGCGGATGCCGTCGATGGCCGCCTGGTTGAGGTTGAGCACCAGCGTCTGGTCCATCGTGTTGTACTCGTTGTTGGTGTCGAAGATGACGCGCGAGTTGGACGCAAACTTGGTCGCGAGGTTGGTCCAGAAGGTGCTGAAGGCGTTGGTGTTGGTAATGATGTTGCCGTAGTACCGGCCATAGTTGTGCGGGTCCAGGACCGCGTACGCGCCCGCGTTGGTGATGAAGTCGACCGTCTCCGTCAGGTTGCGGAGGTAGCCGGCGTCGAAGGCCGAGGTCATGTCGTCGTGCACGAGGCGCTCCATGGAGAAGGCCACGCGGAAGGTGTTGTATCCGTCATTGATGAGCGTCTAGGAAATTGTCAGCGTCCAACCCGTCCCAATACCCTCCCTTCTTCGACTTGTCATACCTGGATCGTCGTAGACGACGGGAAAGTGAAGTGCTTGCCCCAGATGCCGGGGAGAGTGTCGTGGCCGAACTCGGCGCAGGACTGGTTGATACCGAACCACTTGAACTTGCCCGTGTTTGGCGACGTGCTGGTAGAAGGAGGCGCAGAGGTGGTGGCGCTGGGTTTGGCCGTGGTCGACGTCTTCAACGTTGTCGACGCACCACCACCGGGCAGGCACTGGCTGTACCAGTCGTTTTGGTAAGCGCAGTGATAGCCAGACACGCACGTAGTCGACCCTTGCCATCCATTACCACCGCATTGCCCCCAGGCTCCGCTCTGGGCAACGGCGCCCGTGGCGAAGATGCCGGCGAGGATTGAGGACTTCATCTTGTTTGTTGGCTGGAATAGATGCTGGACTCCGGTCGAACAGAAACCAAGAAAACGAGTGACTCGAGATCATCTCGCCTTTATACTGGTCAAGTCCGGATACGTGGTGCCGTTGGGAGACACTGCGAGGGCGCCTGCGGCATCATGTTTCCGGTTAGGAGCTCTTCAAGTCAGGGTTCCTCCAGTCTAAACATCCCCATTTCCGGGTAAGCCTGCGATTTCTGTGGAGCAATGTCGCATTCCAAACGCTTGATCGTGGGCGAGACCGGCATCCCGACGCTGTTGTGAAGACCACAACGTGGAGTTGGGGTCGCCGAGCTTCCCAGATCGGCCAAGAAAATGCGGCGGCGATCAAGCCGGGATTCCAGAATCGTACTGAACCCGAGCCCGCCGGGCCGCGAGACGAAGATAGTTGCGCTGCAAGTGGGATCCAGTGGTAATGGCGCAGGAATGAGCTGATTTGGTTGCCCACCCTGCCCTCGGAGCCGACACCACAGCGGACCACGAGCTGGGTCGGCGGTCCGAGCCTCGAGGAGGGGCCAACTGGGAGCAACCTGGATGCGGATGGAGATGCTCCGAAACATCAACGTCCAGACTCGCCGCTCGCCAAGACAAGCAGCCCGAGCGGAGGTAGTCGTGTGTTCAGCGGCCAACCTGACGATGAGCTTGTCGGTTTTCTGTCACGGAGAATCCCGGAATTCTTGCTCTCCGCTCAGCGCCCGGAGGCTGCCGCTTAACCGAACGACATGCCGAGAGAAGAGTGCTGGTTACCCGTCAACCTCCTAGACAAGTCTTCTAGAAGGGCGAGAGAAATTGTTGTGAAATATGGGTAAGGAACCGCGAACGCCGTTGTTCAACCGGAGATCCTCCATGAAGATAAGGCCTCGAGAGGATCGTGGATGCGGCGTAGAGGCTCCCTGGAGACAAGACAACGGTAGAAATAATAGACGTTCTGCGATGGATCAGGATCAGATTTTCAACTACCACGCGTCGCTTTCAAGACACCTACAATGACTGGCCATTACCACGATCATTTTAAACGATCTTGATGCTCGCTTCCACCGCTTGAAAAGACTGGAAGTTTTGAAGTCACGGCTGATAACCCCTGATGGCTGGTCCAGGTATTGGTGGATGACTTGAATGCCAGACAGAAAGAAATAGTAAAACTTATGACACTCTGCAGAGGAGAAGACACCTCCATTGTAACTAAACAAGAGCTGGGATAGAAGTTAAGAGGTTCAAAGCCGAGATGGATGTGCGGATCAAGTTTGAGTGGACAGCGGTATCGAGCCAACATCACTTGGTCTTTGATTTGGCAAATTCCCCAGCAAACGTGATAAGAAAGGTAGGTAGCTACCTACCTATAGACTAGAATCGCATAGACTACCTACCCCTCAAAATCGAACTTTAATAGGAAACTGATCGAGGTGACCCCGTTGCTAACCAGGAATGCAAGAGGAAAGGATTTCGCAAAGCAAGAGGATGGTAAATAGAGTAGCGTTGAACACGAGCCGCAGGATGTTGCAACCGGAGTCCCGAATGGACGGCAATAAAAATCAATCTCAACTCGTTTCATTTTCTATATCTGGCGATTTATTGTTTCGTGCAGAAGGATTTTGGACGCTGCTGTCGGCGCAGGTCAGGTGACAACAGCGAAGATTTCTCGCCAATATTCCGGAGCTTCTGCCGGGGCATCGTGAATGGCACGAATGGAAGACAGAGACAGCTGAGATTGCCACTGTGGGAACACCTGCACAGATTGAGGTCGACACCTCAAGGTGCTGCGCCCAATCAGAAGGCTCGGGAATGATCCCAGGCGCCGCGACTGCAGGGAATGCCGGGGTACCCGTCCTGTCGCCACGCAAGGTACCGCTCGGCTCTGCCATGCTTTTCAGCGGGCTGTGCAAAGATGCAAAATTACACCTTTCCCATCTTTGCGAAAGAGCCAACATAAAAGGGGGGAGCCGAGGACTGCTTCTTCGCGGGGTGGTGATCCTGGATGTTTATGTTCCAGCAGATTCAGGTTGCTCGCCCGTCTCCGATCGCTGCTCTGCAGGAGGCGCTGCGTCATCAGCCAGGATCGCACCACTTGGCAGGGTACTGCCCACCTTATCACGTCACGAGGTCGCCTCGACGACTGCAGGAGCAGCACGAAACATCGAACACTCCTCGATCGAGTCTCTCCATCAACTTTGAGGCGTGGTGAACCATGGCCGCAGGCATGACTCAGGCTCCCTTTCCATCGGATCAAGAAGGGTCTCTTTTGGATGAGCAGGTGAGTGTTTTTGAGTGTTTGGTCCCGACGTACCGTACCCAGCCGGACCTGCTGTGCCTGCCCACTGCTGCTGTACCCGCCGCTGCTGTACACTCCCCCGCCGCTGCCCCTTGCGGCATTCATGAGAAACACGATGCACACATTGACCGGTCAAAACAACCTATCTCTAACTCTCCGTCTTTTGCAGGGCTCCATCCACCCTAATTACACCCAGAATGAATGGGGATATATAGTAGCCGGCGGCCAACCGCTTCCGCCCTCGAACGCTCTTTGGCAAGGAGAAGCAACATCGACCTCCTGCGCCGACAACACGAATGTTTTTGCTGCTCCGCCGTTGGATGGCGCCTATTTGGCGGATTACGGGCCTGCCGCCGCCGACGACGGCGCATGGGTTTCTCCAGCTGACGCCACAAATGCTGGTCTTGGCTGGCCGGGTTGGCAATTATCCCCGACCGACACCCTCTCCCACAACCCGTGGGGTCCGGTCGACGGGCAGCCATTCCCATCTCCGATGTCCGAGGCGCCGGGTTACGATTTCACTGTGCCTTCGTTCTCCCACCCTAATCGATCCCCCCAAAACGGAACGAACTCGCCCGCCACGACAGCCAACTCAACCCTGCCTACCCCGCTCCTCCAACCGGGGGAGCTGAACCCAACAACAACAACAACAACCAAAAAGAACCCCCACTTCCCGCCCCCGAACCCGAGCAGCAAACGACCAGCCGAATCGGCGCCCCGACCGCCGCGGCCGCGCACGCTCAAGCGGCACCGGTCCGACACGCCCTCGATCGCGTCGATCGCGTCCATCTCGACGACGGGCAGCGCGTCGACGCTGGGCTCCGCGGCGACGACGCTGGGCGGGGTGCTGCCCGCCAACGTGGACCCGCGCGTGGCGTCGGAGCAGATCTGCCGCGAGGCGCGCGAGCGCAGCCGCGCCGAGGCCCTCGAGATGTCGCAGCGCCGCATGATGCTGCTCGACCACGAGCAGGGCGCCCTCGAGCGCGAGACCCAGCGCCTGCAGGTCAACTTGAGCCTGATGCGCGAGGCCGCGCGCAGGGAGAAGGCGGGCCTGGAGGAGGAGGAGGCCAGGGCGGGCAGGGCCGAGAAGTGGGTTGATGGGGGTTGATGTTGTTGCCGCCCGGGTTGGGTTGGGTTGGGTTCTTCGTTTCTTTTTCACGATATGATGATCCGGGTACTGGTAATCCGCGGGTGATATTCACATATATTAATGGGCCATTTAACTTGGAGTCGACTGATGCAGCTATGCATTCGCGGTCTTTGGTCCGTTCTTTCTTATGGAGTTCGGGACGGTTCAAGTTAGTGCTTCGAAGGCTAGCATCTAGCATTTGAACTGGCGTCAAATTGATTTTGGTTTCACGTCCTCGAGCTCTTGAAGCGACTACTACGTGCAACGATTACTAGCCTGGCTGGTGGTGCTCTCGCACCCACCGAGTCCGGAACTCCTCGAGATGTTGGATTGCAACACACTCGGTTGAGCCCGGACCCTACCCCTGTAGGTACGCACCGGACCGCCCATGCGGACTATGCAGCAATATCACATCTGGAGTCGAATTATTTCTTCCTGTTGTGACACGTGGTGGCGACGAAAGTACGGTACTTGTGCAGCGCGGAAAGCATGTCCCCAGCATGTCGCCCGCAACGCCTCTTTTCTGCGTCCCAGCTGACCGGAAGCGAGAACAGCCGGCGCAGCCGTCGCCAATCGCAGACCGCTTTCAGCGCCCTCGGTCCCGACAGGTTGGAGCTGAAAGCCACACCCGGATCAGCAGTCACTCGATGCCACGTGGCAAAACATCTTCCCCGTGTCCGGACTCAGCCGCCCAGGGCCCAGGTTTTGCGATGCGGTCTCTTTGAGCTTGGTGGTCAAACTATGGCATGATCGGGCTCCGATAGTCCTTTTATTGGCAGTTTAAGCCGCCATTGACGAGCACACACCCCTAGCAAGACGGGACCTGGTGTAAAATCCGGCAGATCTCGCCCGCGCTCACAGACAGGCGAACACGACACATATCTAGGTACCCACTCCCGTATCATAGATTCAGCTAGCAACAGTAACTAGCGGGTGGTAGGATCAAGAGCGTAAACTGCCAGCGCTGAACAGAACGCTTCCGACCCAGGGCAGCAGGGGGCCTGCAGTGCACACCCCCTTTCCCTGCACCAAAAAGTCATCAGCGTGGTTACTTTGGGCTGGGCGTGTGGATGTTGGGCAGGAATGCAGCCAGATTCGGCCGCGGAGCTGACGTTGAATGGTTCTGGAATTTCTGGTCATCAAACATTAACTCGTGTGCCTGGTGACTTCCTGAACACAGCACATAGATGCAGCAACTGTGAGACTGTGGCAGATAATGGAGGGCTACCTAGTCAACTTATATCGTACCCCGTCTTTACATCAATGACAGGAATCATGGTCTACCTTTTCTGCTGAACAGCTTGACCCTGACCCGCCCCCGCGCTCGTATTGCCGTTACTAGTAGCGCCGCCGCTTGCCTTCACAGCCGGCCTCTTCAGCCCGATGGAGAAGAAAACCGGCTCTTGTTTCTCGTTGGCAGCAAAAAAGGCATCGAGAAAGGCCGGGGTGGCGTGCTTCATATCTTCCCTCTCCTTCCTCGCGATATAGTCGGCCAGGAAGATAATATCCGCATTCGCCCCCTTCTTCTTCCAGTTCTCAATGCCGCGCAAATGGTGGTCCATCCACTCATAGATGGCCATATTAAGCAGTAGCGCCGGCTTCAACACGCGCGCCGAGAAGAGCGTAACCACACCGTCGTCGGAGTCGGGGAACGCCTGGTGGACGGCCTGGGGCTCGCAGATGTGCACCACGGAGACGACGCCGTCCCTCTCGAGGTATACCTTGCGGGTCATCGCCTTATCCTTTTTGAAGCAGCCGCTACTGGCAGCCGCCAGCTGGTCGATAACGCGCGCCGTGTGGCCGGTCGGCACAAACACGTGGTAGTCGGAGCAGAGGCGTTTGGATCCCATGAGCTGGAGCGCGAAGACGCCGATCAGGGCGTAGGGGGTGCCCCGCAGGGCTTGACCGAATAACCTGGCGTGGGCTTGCTTCGACCTTGATACCGCGTTCTCGGCGGGAGGGTTGGTGTTGGCTTGGACATTGCTAGTCGTGGTTGCGGTAGGTGGGTTTGAAACTCGAGGATTGGCGACGGCTGCCTTTGGCCTCTCGGCGACTTTCCGCGTGGTGGGGTTGCTCATGTCTTTTTTATAAGTAATCGGTCAACTCCCAAATAGTGGCTGATGGAAGTAGAATAGATTCGATGTGGAGTAAGATCTCTTGTGCTGTAGGTTTCCTTCTAGAAGTAGGAATTGAGGACTTTGCTACCTAGGTACTTACCTATCCAGGAAAGAGAAAAAATAATGAAGGAGCAACAACCTTAGTTCGAGTCCCGAGCCAACGCTTACTGTGTTTGCACCCGCAATTCCGAGTAAGATTTGTCGAGATGGCCGCCGCTGGTCGCTGGAATCCATCGGCAGGCGTCCGCTTACGCCGACCCTTTGGCGAGCATAAGGTTTCTCGCGTCAGCCAACCAACCACCTTGGCAACAGCAGTATACCCGCCTATGGGTAAACAATGACCACAGGTGTGTTTAGGCCTCGTTATTTGGCTGTCTCATAACCACCGATGCTTACAAGACAATAATAGTAAGGCACGGAGGTACCTCAACATTTCGGATGTTTACATCTCCTCTATCCGGCCGTGCACTCTCCCGTTGTTCTGCGGGGAGATCCTGGGAGCTTCCCGCCCCATGCAGGAATAGTCGGGCCTTTGACGAATCTTATCTCGCACCTGACGGAGCGAGGGGGAAAACAATCAAGGGTGTTGCGGGATAGCGGCTTCTGTGCCGGAGTGGGGAAGAAGAAGTGACTGGATGTGGCTTTGCAACTGAGTGTGGTGTAATTAGAACGAGAACTGAAGCGTAGCATGATTGGGGGTAATGTCAAAGGCAAGCCCAACGAGGATCGCTCCAGGAGGCTCTGGGCGTACTAGACGTTGAAGATACTGATGATAAACGTGGTGGTGGTTCTTCAAAGCCTACTATCACCAACACAAGGAACTGTGTGATGGGTTGAGCTTGAATTTGAGTTTGGATCGACAAGTCGCGGTGCCGATAACCTGGCTAGAGTCTGGCTGTTGGGCGATCGCAGCGGGGATGATAGCCCGGAACCCGGCACCACTGCCGAAAACAACCATGAATGCTACCCTAAAGGAAGCGGGCGGCAGTCCCGGCGTCAGAGGGTCCGGGGTGCTCTTGTCTTGGACCGGGTTCTGCTCTTCCAGGCTCCCCGGCCACACCCACCAGGAGGCGTCTTTCATGGTGTTTCACCAAAATACCCTCGATGGGTTGGTCAACAGAAGATGAATCGGCCCGCGTGATTTTTTGATTCCAGTTCACTTGACCCTTGTTGGGCACGCCATGGCTGCGCACCAAAGCGCCGTCAAGATTGCAACACCATCTTCGGCTCCTGCCCCCGTCCTCATGCCTAATATGGACGACGACGCCACAGCCCTCGAGTGCATGCACGGTCTAGTTTAATTAATGCAAAATACCTTGCCGGCCTGGTCCACCAGTCCCAAGGCGAAAAATAGAATCCTCGGGGCTAAAGGCGCCGCAATCCCACCATCTGTTGACATTACCCGGCAAACCGTACCGTCAAAGCCCCGGCACTGGAAAACCTGGGGAAGCTGCTTAGTGTATGCCGGCACCGCCTTGGGCGTGGGGAGGAGGGTAGGACAAAGTCCGTGTTGATTAATGTTGGCAGTTGGGTGCCCTGCTCAAGGTCTTAGTGGTGCAGCGGCAACCCGAGGGACTTCCTGACAACTTATAAGCCACCGCACCCTCTGTCTCACAGGCTCGTCTTTCTTTCCTTTAGCCTTCTCACTAGCTATCAATACCCAACAGATACTACACGATGCATCTTCCATCCGTCTTCGGCTCGGTCGCCCTGCTCGCAGGGGGGGCTGCTGCCCATGGTGCTGTGACGAGCTACGTGATCGCTGGCAAGGACTATCCTGGGTGAGTCTTGTTCTCCCTTAAGAGGTTTCACGATGTAGTTTCTTAAGGTGGTTACTAACAACAGATAAGATACCAGGGGTTCTCTCCGGGCAACTCTCCGAACGTCATCCAGCGCCAGTGGCGTGACTACAACCCCGTCACATCCTGCAGCGACTCCATGCTTCGCTGCAACGGCGGGACCTCGGCGTCCCTGGCGGCCACGGCTGCGCCCGGCGACACCATCACCGCCATCTGGCAGCAGTGGACACACAGCCAGGGCCCCATCATCGTCTGGATGTACAAGTGCCCGGGCGCCTTCAGCTCCTGCGACGGCTCCGGCTCCGGCTGGTTCAAGATCGACGAGGCCGGCTTCCACGGAGACGGCACCTCGGTCTTCCTCGACACGGAGCGCCCGTCCGGCTGGGACATCGCCAAGCTCGTCGGCGGCAACAAGCCGTGGAGCAGCAAGATCCCGCAGAACCTCGCCCCGGGCAACTACCCTCGTCCGCCACGAGCTGATCGCCCTCCACCAGGCCAACAGCCCGCAGTTCTACCCCGAGTGCGCCCAAGTCACCATCACCGGCTCCGGCTCGGCCCAGCCCGACTCCTCCTACAAGGCTGCCATCCCAGGCTACTGCAACCAGAACGATGCCAACATCAAGGTAAGGCCATCTTCCGAGCACCGAGGAGAGGAGAAGAGAATGCGAGGAGCTGACGTGCTGACCTTTTCCTTCCCAGGTCCCCATCAACGACCACTCCAGGCCCCAGACCTACAAGGTCCCCGGCCCCCCCGTGTGGACTGGTGCCTAAGCGCCAGGAGGCAAAGTCTTTCCGCTTGGAAGCGATGGACGAACGGAACAACGGTGGACTGCGAAATGGGATCTGGAGTCGCGGACTCGACGCTAGGGATAGAGGATTCGAGCACCGCAACCACGTTCTTGCATTGTAGCAGTTTTCATAATTTTCCAATTTCGCAATGCGCCCAGTACATAGGTACATTATCAATACATGAACCGAACGCCTCCCCCAAACCTATAGGGGATCAACTTGTCCGTCATTCATCCATGATCCCCACCAAACTTAAATAATTCCGTATTGTTTAATCCTCCGCCTTGCCCTTGGCTTGCTGAGCCGGCGACGCACGCCCAACCGGCACAAAGGCAGTGCGCTCGCCAGCACCCAGCTTAACCGTAATACTCTTAAAACCAAACGTCTCGGACAGGGTGGCGTAGGTGGCGGCGCTGACGAGGCCGACCATCACGTTACCGAGGTCCTTGCCGGGCTCGGCGTCCTCGTCGAGCCCCGGCACGCGGTGCACGGCGGCCGTCTTGATGTTGGGCCCGACGAGGCGCTTGAGCTCGGTCGTGACGGGCGCGGGCGACTTGTCGAAGACGACCGGGTACGTGCGGTCCGTGTTGGCGATGCCCGACCACTTCAGCCAGTGCTCCTGCATGCGCGCGTCCTTGGCCGCCTGCTCGATGTGGATCTGGTTGTTGCCGTTGCTGTTGCTGCTGTTGCCGTTGCCGTTGCCGTTGCCGTTGCCGTTGCTGCTGCTGCTCGAGGACTTCTGCTGCTGCTGCGCAGGGCGGGGTGCTGCTCCAGACATGGTGATGGTTTTTGAGGAGGGTTGAGGTGTTGTTTAGATTGGAGGGAGTATGGCGAGGAGTGAGGAATAAACGATGAACCGAGTTAAGTAGGTATTTGACACTGGAACGAAGGCTGGTGAAGCTGTAGTTTAAGTTTGGGAAGGGACTGAGACGGATGCTTCCTTATACAATGGCGCTCGGTAGGTTTGGCAGTACCGTTCTCCCAGCAATGCCTAGGGGAGTGGGGGTATCTGCCTAGTATAGTAAGGTAGGTAACCACGCTAGGCGTGGCCCGTAAGCATGGAAAGAGGCGGGCGCTTGGTATGGTGGAATTTGGCCTCATGTCATGTTGGGTGTGCGATCCTTCGAGTCCCCGCGCCGGCCATCTTTGCGGCGCAGGCTCGCTAGACACAACCTACTACCTACATAAATGAAACCGGGCTCGCCGCACGTTATTGGAGCCGTTTCAGAGGTCTGAGTAAGCGCGCCACATCACCAACGTCTAGTGCGACTTTCTACCTACGTTAGGTATGGTACGCCTGTTTCTTTTTGATCCCACTTCTGATTCCGAATGATGGATTCCGGGGAAGGCCACCCTAGAAATAATACGGACTTGGAGGGTTCTACTAATCCCGGTCTCGCTTATATCGGCTTTGGTGAGTTGTGGCCCAACTTGTGGTCGACAACTTACTACTCTCCAGTCTCTACCTGGTCTACTTCTCCCGGAGAACGCCTCTTGACGGCAGGGATGGTGTTTCATCAGAATCTCTACCTAGGTAGGTTAGGTACCTCGGTAGGTTTCAGCATAATGCGCGTGTTTCTTTTGATCTCACCCCTGATCCGAACGCCGAAGTCCAGGGAAGGCCACCCTAGCAAGACTCCAGACTTAGAAGCTTGTATCGACCCCCAGGTTTGCTTACATCGGCTCTCGTAAGTGGCTTAATTCGCGGTCTACCCTCCCGTCTATACCTTCTTGGCCTACTTCATCTGGAGACATTTTACCTCCAAACCCCGCTTGACCGCAGGGATGGTGTTTCGCAACAAGCCGCAAGCGGCCCGCCCTCTTAGTTTGTAAACCATCCGACAATGCAGTGGAAGTAATATAGTTACCAATCCTGGCCTCGCATGTGGTGTAGCCTTGTATTCGGTGGCCCGCGGGGTTGCCGTTTCACACCTCAACTCTGTGGGCGTCCCGATGGTCTAGGTGTGACGAGATGCGGCTTGATCGCGGGAGGTTCTGGCGAAGGCTGGCCTCCTAGTAGACGACTCGGGACGAGGGTAGCCCGAGCTTGACATTGGTTCCCTGGACAAGGACCGCGCGGATTGTGTTGCTCTGGCACGGCCTTGGTAAGCCCGGAATTGGACTGATCTTTCTCAGCACAGCTCTTCATCGACGGGCTTGTTGCTTGCGGACCTAGCCCAATGCACGGTCGCGACGCTTTACCAAACGCCGGCAACCACCCCAAGTGACGGTGTCCCCGGCACCCCAGACCCGTGGTAATGGCCCATTTCTGCCGTTGACCGGGTCGCATACTTTGTATTTCCTTATGGCTAGTGTCTCCGAGTCATGGAAGTCACCATTATAAACGTGCTGTCCGCCGTGAAGGATGGTAGTCGACTAATGACACAGATCTGACTGACAACTTCTAAAACTCGCCCCCCTTTATTCAACACTGGTTGTTGTGGAAGGGATATTGCTGGCAGTATACCTTACCACCCCACGCCGCGGATAATACAGATAATACCAGGCTTTAGTCCTCATTCGACCCGAACCCTTCGCCTTCCTACTTACGCCCTTCATTTTCCACACGACAATGGCCAGTAGCAGCAGGACGAAGACGGCGCCGCCTGCACCGAAGCCCCTCTTTGGTGTCGAGATCGAGATCTACGTCAAGATCAAGTCATCCCTCGCAGACAGGATCAGGGAAAGGAGATACAGAGACAGGGCCACCATACAGAAATACTGGCTCGACTGGGAGTTCGACCTTGAGAATGGCCAGGGCAACCTGGAAAGAAAGGCCAAGCAGCGTGAATGTGTTGGCCAAGCCATCAGGGAAATCATCGACATTACCCTGGGCGACAATCATGGCTGGACGTGCGAGTCCGACGCCAGTCTGAAGGAATGGGCTCTCACAGCGCCCCCTAACCCGCGCAAGTGGTGTAAGTACATACGCGTTGCTTGCGGGCATTGGAGTCCCTGGACGAGAGAGCAGATATGCTAACGACTAGTACCTAATTATAGGGGGAATTGAGATTATTTCGCCGCCCATGTCAGTCACGAAGCACTGGCAGGAAGAGATAGAGCTGATCTTTTCGGCCGTTGGCAAGCACTTCGACTTTTGGACAAACGAATGCTGTGCCTGTCACGTTCACGTATCGCCCGGTCCGACGAAGAGGACCAAGTATACAACGGCCCAGCTCGTCAAGATGGCAAAGGGGGCATACTTCTGGGAAGATGCCTTCTATGATCTCCTGCCGCCCGAGCGTCGGAACAATAGGTATGCGTTGGCCAACCATTCCATCTTCGCGGGTTCCGAATACGCGAATGTCAGGAGTAACGGGTGGGGACCGGTATGGGCAAAGCTCTCGGGGGCAGCAGCAAGAAGCCAAGAAAACTTTATCTATGAGATGAAGGGGGGGCGAACCGAGACCCGATACGTATCAACCAGCTTCCACCCCTTTGACAGGTTGGGCACGGTCGAGCTCCGGCGGCAAGCCGGCGTCGCCTCGGCCATGACCGCCATCCACCGCATCCTGTTCGCCCTCACCCTCCACATCAGCGCCTTCCGCTACGACTTTGACGGGGTCAGGACACGGAAGACCCGCCCAGACTCCGCCGAACTCATCCGCGAGCTCGCGGGCTGCATCAAGAAGCTCCCCTCGGACACCTGCCACGGCAGCCGGTTCGTCGGCTTCCTGAACTGGTGCCAGGAGAGCTACGCGAACAACTGCTGCTTTACCGAGGAGCAGATCAACGCGCGCGAGAGGGCCCTGCGCAACGGGACCACGCCGCCCAACCAGCGGTCGTCGCGCGCGCCGGCGGCGTCCTCCAGCACCACCGCGTCGCGGCCCTCGACGCCCGCCGCCACCACGACCCTGCCGTCGCGCCCCGCCCCGCGCCGTGCCGACCCGCCCCGGAGCGGCTCGCGGACGCGTCTGCCGTCGCAGCAGATCCCCGGGTCGTCGGCCCCTACCGCACACTTGGTCTCCAGCTCCGGCGGCACGACCCGGTACGAGGTCCGAGAGCCGCCGTACAGAGAGCCGCCGTACGGGGGGTCGGCGCAGTACGGGGGCACGCCGCAGTACGGGACGCCCCAGTACGGGACGCCCCAGTACGGGGGGTCGGGGTACGGGACGCCGGGGTACGGGTCGTCGGGGTACGGGGCGCCGGGGTACGGGGGGAGGTATTAGACGTAAGTGAATGGCATAGACTCTTACAATCACTTGGCATGGACTGACCGCTGGTGTGAAGAGTACCTAGGTAGTCTTTGTTTGGCGTGAGCAACGAGGTTTGGCTTCCCTGGTGGACCAGTGACAAGTTGTTGCTCTCCGACGCAAGCACATATACTGCGGATCCCTTCCCGAGTAGATTTACCTATAGTAACCCCAATGAAGACTGTTTAACACCTTATATCTTGGCTTCAGTACGTGGCTGACTGTGATGTATAGCATTCTGATGATACTAGAAGGAGCATGTATGGGTGCGAGTGTTTATTTGGGGTTGAACCTTGGTTTGGAGTGCATGTGGTCAACCCGTTCGAGTCTCCGAAGGCTACGTATTATTGCGGGTGTAGCCCTCGCCGACTCGTGATTATCATGACTAGCCCCAAATGAAAGTAACTAGGTGATGACGGGATTAAACAAACGCTTATCGAAGCAACGGACCGTGTGTCCCAACACCGTGACCGGACTTCCGGGCTCCTCTGGCCTGCTACACATGCTGAGCCATCCATCCCACAGCCGGTACTATGCCACTTATTCCTCGCTGACCTCGGCGCCAACAAGCCGGGACCTCTTGGTGAGAGACTTGCTAGCCACCGGGTCGTCACACACGACGGCCGTCCTCTTCCGGGGATCACGCCCCCGAAAGTGGTTCCATCCCAGGGCAATCTGTGTATCCCGTAGGATGTCTAAACGGCCAAGCTCCACAAAGCCGACCTCCCGGAATGTGTCCGCCGTTGAGGCACTGACACTGGATGCGATCGTCTGGATGTCCCAACCGTAGTGATTGGCCCGTAGCATGCCCCATTTCAAAAGGCGGCGGTCGATACCGTCATCCCAGCGGGCTGTGCTGATAACAAGAGAGCGTAAAACTGACGGGGGTTTGGGCGCCATGTTAGTGGTGTCTGGTAAGTAGAGGACAGAAGTGGACCGATGGAGGCGGACCACTGGGGAACATACCCAGGTGTCGTCCGTGTACGTCGCCGTGTTTCCCAAGGCAGTTCGGAAGAAGTTCCTCAGACCAGCGCTTCCAGTCATCCGGCCGATTGGCGGCGGCCTCGTCAAAAGACCCGAGCGTGTCGGGCAAACTCACCGCCAACCCGTTGGGCGGAACGAGGAGCTCCTGGTTCCCATGCACAAGCCTGATCTCCTTGAGAATTGATGCGAGTTGGCCGAGTGCACCACCAACCTTTCCCTGCCATTCACCAGCATTCTGCTCGCTATGGTCCGAGTCCGAGAGGCTGTCGCTAAGACCGGGCTCTGCGGCAGCCATGCGGCCAGGATCCTGCCACTCGGCCCAGCCCAGAATCTCCTCTCTCGGCTGCCCGTCGTGGAGGCTCGTCATATAGGCCGCGGGCTGCTTGAAGTACGTGGCAACAAAGAAATGGCGGCCCGGGTTGTGCCGGTTCCTGCGCATGTCGGCAAGCCGCCAGTCGGTCTCGGCCGCGAGCAGCCTGTCGGCCACCATGGCCTCGTCCTCGTATCCCATCTTCACGCTGCGGTGTCTGTCAAAGTAGTCGATGTCCCGCTCGTGCTGGAAGATCTCGTTGGCCATGCGGGCCATGAGCGGGAAGTCGTATGACTGGGCAGGGCGCACGCGGAGTCCTGGGAACCGTCGTTGTTTGTGCCCTGGCAGTGGCGGCGGCATCTTCTGGGCGGTCATGGTCAAGTCGGCTGCGGATGTCCTTGATGAGATGATGGCAACAACAAACCACTGCACCGACGGACTGACTTTATTAGTGAGGGGTGGTGGCGCGGTAATGAACGCTGTTTATGGGCGTGCCGAAGCAACTTACCTAGAAAACGAGTGAATACCGGGCGGTGGTGATCTGTGGAATGTCCGGGACGTAGGCAGCGGGATAGATCAGACAGAGAGGCAGCGGGATACCACCTGATTGCAGAGGCCGTGGGTTGCAAGCTACACGCACCACTGCACGTACTTGCAGGTACCACTTATTATTGTGTGGTCATTTTTGGCAGGCGGCACGCGCAAGTACACAGTTCGTTGGTGCTTGGTAGCTTCCATTGTGAAGCAGTAACCACCGATGAACAGTCTTGTTGTTCTTGGAACAGTTGGAAAGCACAACCCTCGAGGTTCTGTTTACTTCATCCACCGCCGCCACCAGCTTCCATCCATCACCAGACGGTGGTCTCAGTTGCTTGATCAACCCCAAACGCCACGATTTGGCGAGACGCGTTCTCTTGCAGTAGTGTCTAAGGTAGGTAGATACTAGTTTGGTTCACTGACAACCTGTGTCGACTTGATCTAATAGGCACTTTACGCGAAGCAGATCCCGGTCTTCAGGGACACACAGTCCAGGCTAGGGGCCAGAAGATGGCAGCCCTTTGCTCTTTGAGACAAACGGAATTTTCTTGGCCAAGTCGTTGAATTAAACATTCGCCACCATTCAGTGTACCTAGGTACTGTAAATTCGTGTTGTTGCCCACACATTTTGATTTTATTTGTCAAACTTTGGCGATTCTTGTCGAGAGGACCCGGGACCGCGTCGAGAAATGGCAGCCGGGCCCCCCAAGAAACTGGCTGCAGGATTTGACACAATATAGGTAGGTACTACACCCACATTCGTTTCATCATAATGGGAGGCAGTGATACTACAGGGTAACACACACACACACACACACACACACAAAGCCACAAGTCAAAAATTATTAATATAATAAAAGAAATGTCAGCCCATCCGCTATGCCTGGAGCCCATTGTAAGGGGCTCTAAGCGGATACGATGGGCTTGTTGATCTCCGCGCTGCTCCTGGGGAAAACGGAAGGCCATTTGCCCTGGTCAGCTCGCGGTGTGGTCTTCGAACGAATTATTGAAACTGATTTGAAACGTGAAATGTCAGCCCAACAAACTTGCCTTGAAGCTCACGGCAAGAGTGGCCAGCTTCAGGTGGTGAGTTGTGGGCTGTGTTACTGTCCGCGCGGCTTTGACGGGAGGCAACAGATGGCAATGCTGAAGCCTCGGGGGTCTCGCCGCGCGATGTTGTCTTGGAACTGTTGGAACTTTTTGAAACGGAGGAAATGTCAGGCGCGGTTCTGGCCCGCTGCCCCGGGGATGGGGACAATGGGAGCCAAGTGGTCGCGTGGCTGTAGAAGTTCCATGTTCGCCCTCGTGATTAGAGAGCATGGGTTGAAGTCCCATGCCCTCCTCTTTCGGAGCGGTGATGTTTTCCCTGAGGAAGAGGAAGATGAGGAAGAGGAAGAGGAAGATGAGGAAGATGAGGAAGAGGAAGATGAGGAAGAGGAAGAGGAAGGGAATGAAAAAAAGAATGGGAAAGGAAAGCAGCTGTCCCAGCTTCTATGGAACCAACCACTTACTAGGGGGAATCCCCGAAAGTGGTCAGGGGGTCAGAAGCGGTTTTGCTCTCCAGCTCAAGAGGCAAGAACCAGGAAGGCCAGGCTTGCACTCTTTGCTGTATGAGAAAAAGAAAGGAAAAGGAGGAGGAAGAGGGCAGAGAACTGAATAATTTATAGACAGCCAGGCCCGGTCTGTGCACACCTGCAATCTGCGTAAACCCACTTCTGTGACTTCCTGGAGGTTTGCTTAGTCGCTTTTCCTTGCTTAGACGTATAGATTCACACTGGGAAGCACTGTGGTGGTGATGGTGGTGTGCTGAAGGGTGCACGTTGATCCGCGGGCCGGGTAGGCTCCGTGGGAACATCCTGCACACCCCTTGCATTTTCCTCCGACCAAGAGATATTCCATGATAAAAGTTGGATACGGACGATTTGAAACATATCCAAACTCAAATAAGCAGATGGAAGCTGAGGAGGCAGAGAACATCCAACCGTGAGCCACTCTAGCCACCCAGCCCTCCCAGGGACTGACCTCCTGGGTGTTTTGGATGTAACGGCTGACACTGGTGGCAGGTCATCACACAGCAGTCAGTAGCTGAACCACGAACCTCCACCTCCAGTCACAGGATTGCCATACTTAGGAATGACTGTGATACACAAGGTGGGAAAGGGGACGACACAAAAAGGCGCCGAGGGCACCAAGCACAATCACTTTCAGAGACCGAACAGTATTCAACATTTCAAACAAGGAATCAGTGTGGACGATGAATACAAAGGAGGCGAGATTTATAGGTACTGGTACTACCCCGGTTCCGTTGCTATTACCTACTTTGAAGAAACCCCAAACATGCTTGTTGTGGTATTCAAACTCATCACAGGAAGCCACCTAGCCATCATGATCGCACTGACTAATAACAACAGTGATCTACCGCTCCAAGCCAAGGAATTGCCCCAGAGAAGACCCGAGGGGCCCATGACAGCTCATCAGAGAAACAACAATTCGCCCGCCGGGTCGACAGCGGCTCCAAAGAAGATGCTGGCGAGTCAGGGCAAGCAAGGAGGGCAGTCGGCCAACCCCGAGGAACGTGCAGCCAGGCTGTCGGGTCCTCCAAGGGGGGTTAAGCAGCGCAAGACGCCAGAGAGTGGTATGGACGCCAACTGGGAGTTGCTTGACAACCCGAACGACCCGGTTCTTGCAGAGAAAAGGAGGAAGGAGAACGAAGCGATGAACAAGCTTATCGATGATCTAGACGATCAGTTTGCGATGGATGCGGCCGGCAGGTGGAAACGGTAACTGCGAGGAGCCGATGATTTCGATGTACGCCGTGTTTGTCTGGCACGGGCGAGAGGAGGAGGTCGTCACGGTCTCGGTGACCCTTTCAGGTTACGGTCTCTCTCCCAATTCAATACAAGTCTGAGACAATCGCCCTCAATTTCAAAAACGCCTTCTAACTAACTATTATGGTTGGTGCTTCCTGCCATGGTAGCAGGAAGCGTGTTATGTTGTTGTTTTGACCTCCTTTTCATGAACCTGCCCGCTAATACCCACCGACCGCCCCCCGGCCAGGACCCCCAGAGACCCAGCACCCCATGCCAAACCCCGATACCGCCATACCTAGACCCCAGAGATAGAGAACCTGAAACCAACAACCCAGACCCGAGACCCCATTCCCATTTTGTGACAAGATTATCCGCTCATCCAGCGAGCACGCCCCAGCCTGCGCCGAAAGGACGAAGTCTTGATCCAGAACCGTTTCATACATGCGCCCATGTTCCCGAATTTTATTATACCGACATTCAATATTCATACCGTGACGACGATTGTCTGCGAGCTCTTGCTCGACTGCGTTGCTGGTCCAGTGTAGAAGTGCCGGCCATGGGTGTACCAGAAGCCGCCCGAGAAGAGCAGGACAGACACAAAGACGACGATGGCGTAGTTCATCTATCAGCGATGTCAGTAAAGGCAAGCCTTGCAACTCTTCGGAGGAATAACTCACATTCTCGCTCGTCACCGGGAGGTTAGTCGGCAAGAAGAAGATGACGATCATAAACACATTCCACACCACGGCGAAAAGGTTCACCGGAAAACTCCACCTGCCCAGATGCCAGGGCCCCCTCTCAAACCGCCCATACACCATCTTGCAGATGATGGGCAGCATGTACGACAGGTTCAACGCCACCGTGCACACATTGAACACGGCACTAATCGCCGTATGGCTGACCAAGCCCAGCAAATTCACCGCCACCCCAAGCCCGGCATACAGCCAGACCGCGGCAACCGGCGTCTGCGAGCGGGGCGAGATACGGCGCCACAGGCGCGACAGCGGGATGAGGTCGTCGCGGGCGAAGGCGTAGATGGTGCGGCTGCCGCCCTGCAGACCGGGGATCGCGACCAGGTTCATGACGGCGAACCCCGCCAGCGTGAAGAAGACGGCGGGCGCGCGGCCCAGCGCGTTGTAGAAGAGCTGCGCGACGGGTTGGCCGCTGGCTGAGTTGACGAGCGCGACGGGGTCGCCCATGCAGATGACCAGGACCAGGTTGAAGGCGAAGCCGATCAGGTAGGTGAAGGTGGTCGCGTGCGCGATGGCGCGGGGCACGACGCGGGCCGGGTCCTTGGCTTCTTCGGCGATGCTGAGACATGGAGAGTTAGCAGGGTAGGAGGGTAGGAGGTGTCAGGGATGAGGGACTGGAGCTTACCGGGCGGTGCTGTCGGCGTTGGTCAAGGTCCACGCTGGGGAGAGACAGCCAAAGAGCATGGCGAAGGCCGGAGGCGTCCAGCCGGAAGTGGGTTGGAAGTCGGTAAACGCGTACGCGATGCTGTGCTTCTCCTTGGTCTTTACCAACAGGCAGACGGCGGCGCCGACTAAGATGCTCATGTGAAACACCACATAACCGCTCGTCAACCGCGTCAACCAGCGCGTGGGGAGGCTGTTGATCGACGCGTGGAGTACGGAGAGGAGGACCATGACTCCAAAAACATGAACCGTGGTGGGGACGTATGAGAAATCAGTCGCGATAGACACAGCGGCGAGCAGCATCTGGCTTGACGCATACTCGGTGCTGGCGGTTCCTGCGATGACACCAGCAAGGGTAATGTAGCCTTTGATGTGCGCATGTCAGTACTGCTAAACGGTGGTATCGTCGGCTTCTAGAAAACAACATACCTGACATCCAGCACAGGATAGGTCCTCGCCCCTCAGGCGCCACATGCTTCAACGCGAAGTACATGGCCCCAGCGCTGGGGTAAGCTGACGACAGCTCGGCGAGACTGACGGCCAGGGCCAAGCCACCGGCACCGCCAATGATCCAACTCCACATGATGGCGCCGGCACCACCGGCTTGCAGGCCGTAGATCCATGTGGACATGAGCGAGCTGTAGATGCCGCAGATGCTCATGGCGAAACTGAAGCTGGACCATGTCGAGAACTCGCGCTTGAAGACCTTGTAGTAAGCAAGCCTCCGTCAGCATGGCGCAACAACTCCAAAAGGTGGACATGAGAAGCGCACTGGCTTGTATCCCATGGCTTCGAGTGTTTTGTCGGCGTCGTCCAGCGTCACGTCGCCGCTGGAGGGGCATGTCGGCGTGGCATCGCCGCTGGCGGTTCCTAGAGATGTTATCTGGATGGCGAGCTCCTTCTTCTCTGCTTCGGCGGACCCCATGATTTCTTCACTGGTGCTTCGGAAGAGTGATAATAATGGACACAGATGAGTATGAGCTCGGTTCCCTTTGTGACACGCTCGGAGGCGGTCCTTTGTATTTGGGAGCTGGCTTCTGACTTCCCGGTCTCACCGCCGCCCTCCAAGGACGAGCGAGGGGCTGCCCGCGCGAGCCGCTAGAATTTTCGGGGCCGCATCGTGTTTGCCCAAGCGTGGCCACCGAAACCTGGTGCTCGCCGGCCTACCGGCGAGCCCGTCGACTATCGACAGGGTCGGCGTCGCCCGGACTTGCCATCTTCGTCAACTGACGCCGTGCATGGCTGCAGCAGTTCTTCCATGGTCATGGTCCTTCCTCTTGCAGCACATGACGTGTTCGCGATCTGATGCATCAGAGTTGAGAAAGTACCGTCCATCCTTCGCGGTCTAGAATGCGCAATGTGTCATTCCCCAACGATCCACAAGTGGTCACGGTGGTACCGTCCATCTGGTGGAGAGGAAATATCCGTTATCGGAGATCAGGGGTGTGATAACCCTGCGGCGAGCGCGCCTCCTCGGGGAGTCGAGGGCTGGAACACGTGCAGAGGAAGACTGCTTCGGCAGAAATCCGATTGCTCCCACCTCGGGTGAAACACGAGAATCCGGAAGTGAGGAGAACGGCTCCCCTCGGGCCCCTCGCCGTCTGGACCGGTCTGTCGGATCCTGACCGCATTTTCGACAATTCCAGAACCATCAGTCAGGCACCAACTCGGGATTCAGGCCGTGGCACACAGAGATAAGCCTGGACCTCGGTGGCATCATTCGCGGCCAAGGTGTAGGAGCACATCGTACGCAGCCCACGGCGGTTCACCACATGTCTCGGTAATAGAGGCGGTCGGACAAAACAAGGTTCAGGCATCGGGTCCTGGTTACCAAGATGATGGGAGGGGAGCAGTTGGTGTGACTTGGCGGGCGAGATGAGACGGGGGGGTCATGGTGGTGGAAGATATCAGACCTGGCATGCCCTCGAGAATTTGAAAAAAGAGAAATATTGGTGTGAGGTTGAAACTAGTTTCCATCCGGGGAAGGTCAGCCGACTCCGTCAGGGGCGGACCGGGCGGTTGTTGGTCCCCTGATCTCTCGAGCGAATCACTGACCTGGAAATGGTTGGCATCTGGCCCCATCGAGATCGGCCGGTCTAGGCCCGCGTCTTTGGGCATGCCCAGACGGCCATTTCCAAACTTGTGTTTGTCGCCATCCGTCGCAACTGGCCGTTCTCGGGAGGTTGGGTCGGCTGAGGTCGGGAAGCCCCCCGCCGCTCTGCACCCCAGGACGGATCGGCACTTCAGCTGATGGCAGGGAGAAGAAGAAAATTGTGATGTCCCCGTGATGTCAGACTTGTCCTCGTCATCGCTCGCCATATTTTCCCACGAATTGGTCAGATCGGGCAGGAAAGTGCGAGAGTTGTGTGTCGTGGTTGGTCCCTTCGGTGTTCTCATCGTGGGCAACGGATGTGGAAGCCCACTTCAAACACGAACCCCGGCTGTGACCGTCGCCTGGCCCGGTCCCAAGACGAGATCGGTCGCCTTTGGGACAGTGTCCAGACCCTTGGCGATAAAAAAAAGTTGTGTCCCTCTCTCCCTTGCCTCCGTGCCTCCGTATCCAACTTGGAAACCGTCATGGATCTATAAAAGGACCGGGTTTCCACTTTTGGGGACTCGAGTTGCACTGTTGCACGTATATGCACGCTTGCTTGGACGACGTCAAAGCTTGCTACACGTCCGAGGTTGTACTCGCGAGCTCTATCGGCAGGTTCCGGAAACCTTCAACACCGGGATCATCAAACATCCCTTCCCTTTCGGTCCGTTTTGCGGCGTTGTTATCAGTTCGCGGTTGTATCATGCATGAGGTGAGATCCATCATCCATCACTTGTATGCCGGCACTCTTTTGGTCGCCGTGTTACCGAGATTCTCCGGCCTTCCATGATGGGTGGTGGTGACACATGTGGGTTGCCATGATGGAGGGATGCGAAGGTCTCGGAGCAAGACTGGGTAAGAAGGTGGTTGTCGTGTTCGATCTTGGCGATATCAATCTCCGTGCTTTTCCATGGCACGGCATGGTTGGTTGATCGGCATTAAGGTCACAAACCCCCCGAAAGTGTGGGGAAGCTGAACACGGAACGGACGGCCAACAAGCCGATGGAATGATGAGAAGCGTCACTCTTATGCAGGCATGAGTTGGGGCGTGTAAGCAAGCCCGGCCGTCGGGATGCATCATGATTCATGACATAACTGCACTTTTATATCTCTTCATCCGTCTGTGAACTTTCCAACATTGCAGCTTCCCCGATGCGGCTCAGATGTCTCAAATCTCAAAAACAAGTTCAGCACGCCAAGGCGGGCAGGCTGACCACGAGCAAATATTTCTTTCAATAGAGTAATTCAAACCCCAGCATCCTTCACCCATGCATACCTAACAACCTTTAAAAATTCGAGTTCATCCTCCCATATATCCCAAGCCCATAGTCAACCCTCCCACCGCCATCCCCTGCCCAGTCCCCTCATAACCCAACCCCCAACCCCAACCCCCACTCACCCCATCACTTCTTCACTTCTTCCCCGTCTTCCACTCCCCCGCATCCTTCACCCCCTGCGCCACAGAAGCCACACCGCCCTCGACGCCTGTGCCGATGTTGGCGATGCCGTCGCCGAGCGGCCGGCCGACGCCACCCGTCGCGCCGCTGACCGTCTCCCCCACGCCGCGCGACGCGGCCCCCAACACGCCGCCGACCGTGTTGGCCAGCCCGCCGACCGTGTTGCCGAGGGTGGAGGTCACGGCTTTGCCCGCGCCGGTGAGGCCCGAGTTGTTCTTGTTGTTGTTGGTGTTCATTTTTGTGGGTAGAAAAGGGGGGTGTGTTGTTGTTGGTTTGATGTGTAAGTGATAGTTATACTGAGGATGAACGGGTTTGCTTTGCTTTGGGTTGAACCTTCCCTTCCCATGGGTTCTTCATGGTAGTTTATATCCACTGGTCCCCGACTTCTTCGGCCAAGATTGCGGGATGCGACCCCTGTTACGGGCTGTCAGCTGTCCTGCGCTACGTCATTCTCTCTGTTTTTGCCCCTTGTTCCCTGGGAGGTCCCTGACTTGCTGAGCGACACCAACATGCATAGTCGGGAGGACATCGAATCACGTCGCAGAAGCGGAAGAATAACCTTTAGTGCCATGGAAGACCTTGAATGCATTGGCGCAACGCCTGGGATGACGTCAATCCGTGTATTAGTGCAAGGTAGGTCGTAAACTTACCGGATACAGATTCGGACTACACGCGCCGGAAATGGCTAACACAGCAAGGAAAAGAAGTACGGAAGGCTCATGTTAATTGTGCTGAAATCGGGCACCCATTCCCTTCCCTACCTTAGGTACCTAGGTAGGAAGGAGAAGAAAAAGCTTAATGCGTCCTCCACAATCCGAAACCCAACCCTAGTCGCGGCCATCAATCGCAATCATCCGATGCCGTTTAACGAGAAAAGTTGGTAGTCCGCGGGTGCCGGCAAGAGCGAAAGTCCGAGGATGAGGTCGAAACCTGGATCGATACTTTACCGACTGCAGGCTGCAGTCGCCGCTGACTCCGAGAGCCTGCTTACTCGGTCTCGTTCTTGGTACCCTTTGACAATTCGTACACCTTCGACTCAAGGGCGTTGCGAGTTCGGTCTTGGAATTGTGGGATTTCTCTCTGAAATCAGACGTCAAGGTTAGCCAAACCCAAAGTGAGACAGATGATAGAATGGAGCGAGAACGTGGCACCGAACAACCAGGTGGTTATTACTTACAATCATTCTCTGGTACGTCCAAACCTTCTTGCCCCTCGCATCCTTCTCGGCGTAACGGTCCAAGAGGAGCTGCATGTCCTCTTGGGACCAAATCCTTCCGCGCTTCCACTTCTGGGGCGCGCTCGAAGGGCCGGCTTGGTTACCAACGGCGGGCTGGTCGTCGCCGAGGGATTGATTTCCCTCCTCCAGATGAGCAACAGGATAGTTGCCGTCACCCAGTTGTTTCGCGCCGTCGAAGGGGGCTTGGTCGTCACCAAACACATGGTTGGCGGTGTGGTCTTCCTCAGCGGCGGGGTCCGGGTACGCCATGGCCCATTCCGCTTGGGGTTCTTGGTTGGTGTAGACCCCATCGAGGCTGGGGCCCTCCTCACCGAACTCGCTCGCCATGACGGTGTCCCTCGCACAGACGCGCCGGCAGGCAATGAGATTGTTAGCGAGAAAATCGGTGTCTGCTTGCGACCAGGCAGTAAGCGACGGCCAAGCCATCAACGCACCGCCCTGGGCGAGCACACCCTGCGCAGCATGGCGCAAGAAGAATCTCAGCTGGGTAGGCGGCGCCATATCCGCAACGACCAGCCCGTTGGTGCAACTGCACGAGGAGGTCGGAGAAAGAAAGACAGCAGGGAGTGGGTTCGAGCACCCCTGGTGACCGTTGTTGTCGATGTCGGCGAGCCCGAGTGTCCAAGAGCCAAGCTGGGCCGCCCTGTGATTGCAGGGCTTGGTGAAGGACAGTGAGGGGTTGGGCTGCCCAAAACGCGTGCACCCGTCCAGGATGGCGATGTTCAAGCACATCTTGGCTGTTGGGGAGTGACGGCGAGGGCGATTGTAGGAGAAACAACAGGGCGGCGAGTGTTAAAGACCAGCGATGTGGTTTAAAGAATGGCGACGGGGTTGAGGAAGAAAGGGAAAGACGAGGGTGGATGATGCAACGAGATAACCACCATAGGAAATGGGCAGGATTGGTGTTGAGTGCAAAGAAAAATAAAGGGTCCTCAATAAAGTCTGTAAACACTCGTGTGAGAATGAATGGGGAATAAATGTGTGTGTGAGGGGGGGGGATGCAAAGCACAATCTGTGCACCCGAAGCCTCTAAGTTACCAAAGCTAGGTCAGGTGTCAATTTGAGGGTAGTTCAGATGGAAGGCCCAGCACAATATTGAACCCATTGCCGTATGATGATTGCAAGAGGGATGCTTGCCGCCTGCATTTCTCTACTCTAGAAGAAGTTGGTCATGCTATTACAGGCCTGTGTGCCATGCGGGCTCTCCTTTCGTTAAACTGGACCATCTCTGCTTGACTCCTTGCCAACTGAGTGTCCTTGCGACTTCTACTCATGGAGTGATATATGTTTATCATTCCAGCGGCGGCGAGAATGATGAAACTTGCGTGGATGATGCTGTAGTCGGGACAAGGTCAGTAAAAGTCCCGCTTCTCCGATCCGGGTTTCTGTAATCTGACTGCTGCACTCACCAAAACACAATCATAAAAATCATGGCATTCGTCATGTCCGCGGCCCAGCGAGCCCGTAGGTCTCCGGTCCCTTCGTCGACCATGCCGAGAATGAGGAAGCAGAAGATGCCCGCCCCAATCAGGACAATATCGAAAGCTATCGCGAGTGGGTTGATGGCCCGTTTGCGCTTCAACAAGAGCAGCGAACCGATCTCGTACGCATCCGCCACGATGCCAAACGTGAGCTGTAAACCCGATCAGCATCCTGAGAGTCTAGTTGTTGGGCCTGGTCCTGACATACCGGAAAGAAAGACGGCATCAGGACATCCACCCTTGTTATCGGCTCCGACCTCCAATGGCTGTACAGCCACGAGACGAAGGCAAGCGCGCCGAGCTCTAACAATATCGACAAAAACCGCCCAACAACCTGAGTCCAGTTAAACGCTACCCCTAGGCGTCCGATGGCCCGGACACGTGGGACGCATCTCCCCCTCTCGACATCTTCGGCTGGGGCAGCGGGCATGGCAGGCGGTGCGAGGGCGCTTGGCGCGTTGCCGGTCGATTCCTGCGCCATTGACATCACCTCCTGACCTCGGGTCCACCGGGCGGTCCGAGAGATACCTATGCTTAGGCTTGGTGCAAACCGAGGTGAGGGATACTTGAGAAGCCGCCGGAGGGCGTTAGCGACACGCGAGAACGCGTTTCATCGGTGAGGACTGGAGTTTTCGGGGCGTAGCAAATGAGTGAAGTGGAGAGGACGTCGTCGAGGCTGTGGGGACCTGACGGTACTTATTTCAGGCGACCAACCCGTAGCGGGCGCGCTTGCGGCACAGCGCTAACTGCTTCAGGTGGGCATTGCTCGCTGCTCGCTGCAGGGCTGCATCCTCCTGCATGTTGGATGGCGGCAGGGTTGTGAGCCTGTTGGCGATGCGCCCTGTCTTGGCTCCGCCACGTTCGATGGCATCTCCGGCTCATCCCTCTGGCTGGAAAAGGGCGTCTTCCTTCACCTAGGTAATTTTGGTGCAATGGCCCACATATATGAAGGATTCGAGTCCCCTCCGAATATCAAAGCTGAATTTCTTGCGAGGTCCATTATCCATCACATCGGAGTGAACTTGTCTTGAGGCGCCGCGGCTCGCCCTGGGCCGATATCAAAACAATGGCCCCCATCATGAACGGCAAACACTTCAACCTCAACAAGAGAAAGGGTACCTACATAATTTGAACAGAAGCTGGGCGAGAAACGCCGGGATCACGACAAGAGCGCACCCAGCTAGCAAAAACCATCCATAAATTGACAGGGAGTCGGGCTCGGGGCTCCTCCTCGACGCACTGCCGCGCTACCCGAAATCAGCCCCAGTCTGCTCCCGTTACACATGAAATAAGTCGCAGGGGAGCATAAAAGCCTGGCCCCCAACTTTAACGGCAGAACCAGTTCCTTCCAAAAGACCGAACGTTTCATGTCTGCAATCATATGTCCATTGTGAAGCATGCTCTCGATCGCGGTGACTGGCTAAGTTCCATGCTATGGTATTAATTGCCAATAATGCAAGATGCAAACTCGGGTCGATCGCCTGCACTTGAAGGAGGTCAATGTACCTAAGAGGCAATAGGGATGTGTTCTGATGGAGCGGCGGGAGATAATATGAAGCCGAGCGGGTCAGGTTGCAAAAGAACGAAGCAATAGAGAAGGCTATAAGGGGATAACACAATCACCATGTCAGCCCGGTCCGAGGTGTGGCAAAAGAATATAGTTTATTTCTGCCAAACCGACTTCTCGTTAAACTTACAAAACGGGTTTCAGGTGGGGGATAAGCCTGGCAATGTGTTTGCCCGAACGAATCGAGCTCGCTGCCTTTCAGGTTCTTGTTCTCTGAGCGCTTCTACTCCCTTTACGAGTTTTGAGAATTTACCTACCTACCCAACTTGCTGCGGCACCAAGACCGTGATCTATTTTTCCCTCTCGCGCTTTCCACCACCCAACTCAACTCCACGATTCGAGTTTGTCCTCCCACCACCCGAACCGCGAACCCAACTTCAACAAACCCTTCCACAACCCTCAACCCAGCCGCAAGTCGACCTCCAAGCCGATCTCCAAGCCCACATCCAACCCGTCCAACAACCCGCACCACAACCCACCCACCCCCCCAAAAAGAAACCCCAAACGGAAAAATGGAAGACCCCCTCGACCTCCCCTCCCCCACAACCACGATCCTCACCCTCACCAAATTCCACGCCACCCTCGCCACCCTCCTCCTCGCCACCACCACCACCGCCGACGGCCACCTCACCCTCGTCAGCGCGCTGGCCTACGCCCACTGCTGGAGCGCCACCCTCGGCTTCGCCTGGTGGTATGCCGCCCACACGTCCGCCCCGGGCCCCCGCCGCTGCGTGCGCGCCGCCTAGAGGCCGGTGTTTCACGTGCTGTGCGTGGGGCTGGTGCTGGCGCTGGTGGGGGACATGCTGCTGGTCGGGGTGAGGGCGGTGGAGGGGCGTGCTGCTGAGCGTGGTGCTGCGGAGCGGGGTGGTGGTGGGAATGGCTGGGGGATGGATCAGTTGGTGGGGATTGGTAAGTCGCTCTCTCTAAGGGTTGGGGTGTTTTTGTGGTTTGGAGTGCTGACTTGTTTTGGTTGGGGCTAGCGGCTATGGTTGTGGTCGGCGGACCGCTCGGGCTGTTGGTCGTCATCGCCTGCCCCGGTGTGGGTTGGTATTTGCGTCGTGCGGGCGAGATTCTCAAGTGGATCTTCCCGTATACTGCCTCTGCGCTTGGGTTCATTCTGAAGTGGCTGCTCCGGAGTCTGCGGGTGGTACTGGCGTGGTTCTTCTGGGCGACTCGGCTGGCATTCCGGACTTTCCGGGGCACGGACTGAACGGGGAGAAAGCTCGACTACCACCACGGCAGAGTCGAGGAAACGGATATGAGTGTCGGGTGAGGAAAGCAATGGGTATCTGAGGATCGGTTGGGAGTCGGGCCTTGGCTTCTAGATGTGGCCGAGACGTGGAACGGTCTTCATAGCAACAGCTCGTATACTACGTTGCCTCAATGTGTCATCTCTCCTTTACGATCGCTGATTTTGGCCCCGGGCATTTACTCTGCCGACGTCTCCTTAAATCCTGCCAGTGATATGTAACCTTCAGCACCCATGAACAAAGGCACCTTCGCCCACGTGCACCCTCAGAAGAAAACCTCAGTACCTATGGTCGGCATGAGATGGGGGGAAGGCGGAGCAAACATGGTTGAGTCCCCCTTTCTATTAGAAGGCAGTGTGCATTACATAGGCGCTGCTGATGTACCACCTTAACCTCCTGGTAGCCTCTTTGTCCCTGGGTTCACATCATAGCGTCCTGTTGCTGCCTACAAGTCGTTCACAGTGGTCGCAGTCAACCCGAACCCTCACTCATTCTTCGTGCACGTCCCAACTGTTGACTTACCCCTGAGTTCACGGTCACTGGGGTCAGACGTCACTATCCTAAACAAGTTCATTCATCTTTCTTGGTTATAGAGCAATGGATGTTCTCGGTTAGCTTCTTGGTTGACTGGACACTCTCCGTGTTGACCTCCTTGAGATGTTCGCCTTCAAACTCCAGCCGCAATCGGGCAGTGCATCCTCGTTGGCTCAGATGAATGCTAGTTGCAATAGTATAGCAGGTACCGAGGTGGTTCCTGCCGCTAGCCGTCGAAGAAGGCTGGCATTGGGCAGCTTCTATTCAACTCTTATCGGGCACCGGGAACCCGCATTGGCAACCTTTGTAGCACCCATGTCTTAACGCATGCATGTGCCCCTCAAAAATGCTTGTCTGTAGTTCGTCCACCATCTTCACAGCCAGGTTGATGTTCGCATCATCTCAGGGCTCCTCATCCTTGGAGCTGTGGGCGTCGAGAACACTGCTGGGGCATAAGGGGGTCCCCTGAGGCCGGACTTGAGCCCTGAGCCCCCATAGGTACCTACCGAGGACACCATTTTCTGTGGCATTGCGAGCGACTCACACGCCTGTGGCACATGAAAGGGCCCCACAGGGGCAATACACAGACGGCCAATAGGTAGGTTGTCTTGGCCTCCTTAATCCTTTCTCTAGGTACCTACCCTCGTTTGCAAGTGAAGCAGCCAGGTCTCAGCAGTATTCTTTCAGGCGGTGAACCTTCCCACATCCAGCCGCAGCCCAAACCCTTCTTTGGTCGAGCGAAAACTTACCTATTTGCCTCCACTTTTGTCCTCGAGACCGGTGCCCCCCCAGCTCGCCTACATTGAGAACGCCGACCCAGCGGTACCCCGACCTTCCCATCTCAAGCGAGGATACTCCAAGATTAACCACCTGACGGTGTGATGACCTTTGGTGAGTGAAACAGCATCCTCACCCGCGACAGCGACAAACCAACCTGCTTCCCCCTATCATCATACCCACCACCACCACCACCACCATCACTCAACCTTCTCGCCCTCCCCACCCCACACAAAAACCCACCACACCCCCTCCCCCTCCTTCTCGCCTCCACCCACTCCTCCCTCAGGATATGCCAGCTCATCGCCACCGGCCGCTTCCTGCGGCAATTTGGCTCGCCCCTCTGCGTTATCCTGCCCTTCATTTGAGCTGCGTTGATCCTCACTTTAAGCATTCTAGACTCAGTGTGCGAACGTCAAGGACGACTTCAATCAAAGCTAAAGAGCTACCAGGGCCTCATCCATCATTATGGCACCGTGCCCGATACAGCCCTCAAGATGAGTACTCCGTCATCGGGCGATGAAAAGGTATGGGAACTTGGTGGCCGCCGATACTTGTCTTGTCCAAGAAGCAGCTCCGCTACTTGAGAGCGACGGTGCTATGAAACTCCTCATCGGCTTCACCATCGCTTTGCAAAGCTGCACAGTCTGCTAATACCCGTTTTCGTTATAATAGCAAGGCCGAGCTTATGCTACCGCGACTCCATTCCGAAAAAACGTTGAGGATTCAAGGCCAGCACCTTTAGATGAGAAGCGCATAACCATGGCGGAACATATTATAAGAGCTGGCTACACTGAGGAAAGCAGGATACTGGTCAAACGGATATGTAAGAGATGGGAACACACACAGGAGAGGGGAATATGTCCTACAGGGAAGATGCAAGAGGCGGACACACACAAGAGGAACTCAACAAAAGAGACACTACAAGACGCACGCAACAAAAAAGGCACGACAAGAGACACACACAAGAGGTATGCACAGAAAGGGAGGGCACGTGGACCAAGGCAAGGAAAAACACATACAAAACGGGGGCGCACACAAGAGGGGGCCACATACAAGGGGAAAGAGCAAGGATATACATACACGAGACGGAGAACAGGAGGAGGATATACGAGAAGGGGCCGCCGATACAATAAGAGAAGAACACAGAGGGCGATTAAGGTCAGCCGCATGCGCGATTCACTCAAGAGAGCCGACATATACGAGAGCAAGAAGCCAAGCATCCAAGGAAAGCGTGTACATCAAGAGAGTCGACGTATCCAAGAGGGAAAGTGTGGAATGCAGACAAGATGCCGGACAAGTACAAGGGCGAAGAGGAGGAATATGCACAAGCGGAAGGACATACACAAGAGGAGAGGAATATGCACCAAGAGGGCACAAATACAAGCGGAGGGATACATAAGAGAAGGGAAACAAAAAATGAGCGACACAAAAAAGCGAAAGGTACAAGTTCCGGAGGGAACCGAAAGGAGAAAGGCCACGGAGGAAGAATGACTATATACAAGAGTTGGGATATACAAGAGGCGGGACATACAATAAGGGTCACCAGCGAGGGGGTGGGTATAACACACTAAGAACCTATACGACCATCACAAGATGGACGAGGACCCGAGGTACGCAAGCGATGATATTAGGGACCACCGAGAGAAGCACGAGGAGATAACAGTTTGGGAAACGTGCCACACCAAGAGGAGGACACACTTACAAGGGGAGGGGCAAAAGGAGGATACAAGGCGAAGGAAAAGAGGAGGACACACATTTAGGAGCAGGGCGCACATCCTTACAAGCGGGAAAAGGACTACAAGAGGGGGAACACACGCATACACACATGAGAAGGGCGCAGACAGTCAGCGACAGGCAATAGGGCAATGCATTATCAAGGGTTCGGAAACGTCCAAGCAGGACAAGTGCGAAGAGAGGCGATCGCATTTCACAACGGGCGGGCAATGGACGCAGCCTCGGGCAACCTAGAGATACCGACTGAAAGACTCGAGCATCGACAGAGTCACGCCACGACACTCTCCCAACGGCAAAAGCCAAGAACCTATCAAGCACCGACGAAGACCAAGCTACAAACATCGGCGATCAAAAGGATCTGGAGGACACACGGCGGGTTGGATTCGATACCACGGAGAGAGGAACAAGAGAAGGACATACCGAGATACAAGGCGAGGCGCGCTATAAGAAGAGATACATATTGCAGGAGGAGGAGACACTTGAAGAGGGTAACCATCACAGGGTATACAAGCCGGGGGTATTTCAAAAGGTGGACCTTAAGGGGGAGATCGCGATACAATGTTAAGAGGAGGAGTGCGAGTGCTTGAGTATAAACAGTCAAGAGGAGGAAACAAAGGTTTCGTATTGGATACAAAATAGGGAACTAATAAGAGCGGGATGCAGTCCGCACATGAAGTCAAATTCATGGCGGGGAGCTCAAGGCTCAAGCACCGACGAGATGACCGTCCGCAGGGCGCATGGCCAACAAGACTATCACGACATTCCGGAAGAACAAGGTGCCTCTGAGAATCAAGACAGGATCGCCCAAGAGTGCAGGTGATGCACTCTCGGCGGGGGGAGGAAGGGGGGTGGTTACGCGCAACGATGCAGCGGCATGCCGTCAGAACGGCCAGGATCTGCCAGGTCCGAATCTCAAGACGATATTTTAGCGTAGCGGGCGGGGGCATCTGTTCAACGGGCGGCAGTTTCGGAATTCAAAAAGAGCAACCTCGAACCTCGAACCGCCATAACAAGCCCGAAAGGGTGACCAGGCGCTGAGAAGACGGGGCCGAGCAGGAAGCTCAGAACTTAATGTCAGGATTAGGGGGCGGGGGACAAGTAAGTACTCGCTACAGGAAATTAAAATATACCATCAAGAGAATAAATGTACTGACTGGTAACTAGGATAACGACCCAGAGCACAATTCTGAAGGGCCTTATACTCCGCTTCATCGCCCTCCTCCTTTCCCTTCGAAATGATTACCACCGGCTCAGCTCCACGGCCGCTCGAAGTTCCGCTTCGGGCTTGGCTAAATCAACTGCGCCAACTCGCGGTGACCCGTATACTGGTCAAGCTCCACTGCCATGTCCTCGGAATGGAAGACGCGGGACGCACGCGTGCCGATGACAATGTAGTCGTCCCGTTTATCCTGGTCGAGGCCGGTCTCGTTGACGTGCCCGGCATACCGCAACAGCACGCTGTCCAGAACGATCCTTGCCACGCGTACGTTTCCGTCGTCAAAGAAGTGGACGTTCACGGACTGGTGGTGGGATCGCGCCACCAAGGTTCACGGTTTAAGCCCGCAGAAAAGGAGTGTGTGATGGTCAACAAATAAATTCAGGTACCTCTGGTCCCTCCCACCAGTCCTCCTTCCTAACACACCACCCGCCATCGCTGCTCTCCCCATTCGCGATGCCCTCGTTAAGGTGCCACACCATGTTCGTCATGCACCTGGAGATCGCCCGCCCGCGCACGCAGAGGCGGAGAGGCCGGACAGGCTTTCGCCCCCGGGGGCTTCTCATATTCCACCACCACCTCGCACGCTCGTACCCGCCCGAACTTGAGCTCGTCATCGAGACACTGGTGAAAGATCGGGCGGGTGGTAGCCAGACGGTCACATGAAGCATGTGTGCGCACGGCAAACTCCACCATGTATTAGCCCACCAGATGTATGCTTATCTCGACTCCGTTTCAGCCTCGCCGCCTTATCCAGCTGTCTCCAGACGCCATTACCACATGATAGCGAGACCCTTTATAAAACGCCGCACAGAAGGAAGAAAAAAAAGTAAAAAACAGCAAAAAAGGTGTCGGGGATAATGCAAAGTACATGAAGTCGAAAAGTACAGAGTGATGCTCTCCCACATGTCTCAGAGCCTGGAACTCGATCCGACATTAGGTGTCGATGTTGACAAAGCTGCTGCGCTTGCGTTGATCGATGCTGTGAGCTCGGCAAGTCGATCGGCTGCTGTTTTTTGCATCGGTTGCAACAACCTTTCTTGTACAGACGAGGTGTCGTAGATGTATCTCGACAGAACTGATGATGCTTGCGGCGCACTGATGGAAGATTAGTCTCTGCGTAGGTATCACAGGGTCGGGAACGGGGTGCGTCTTACCTGACGTTGGTTGAGCTGGTGAGTCTGTCCATGTTTGGTGCCCGGATTCAGGTTTCTGGTGTCCTCTGCAATTGACGTGTACGATTGTATATGCGTCTGACGGTGTGGCTCGGCCAAACAGCACAAGACAAGAAGAGTGGACTGCAAGTCTTCCGCGGAAAGAAGTGGAAGAAGTGGTGTTGATATTGCTTTGAGGATGGCAGTATCAATCATTCCGGCGCGAGGGGGGATTGCGTTTTTGTAGCCAGGAATAACCGGCAGTGACCAGCAGTGACTGAGTGCAGTGACTGGCGCCGGCCAGATTTCGAGATTCCGATCCTGAGACCCGGCCCCGGGGTGGGCCCCAAGCCCCGACCTCCGGTGAACGCCCGGCTTCCGATTCCGGATCCCGGAGCCCAGAGGAAGGCGGCCGGATCTTGAATTCTGGAATCCAAGACCTAAACCAATCACATTGGATTTCTTCGGCTTGGGTGCCTTGGAAGCGACATGACAGACCATGGCGTTGCCTTTCAACCAACCAGATCCGTCCTCGAGGCAGTCCATGCAGGGGTTCAGCTCCTCCCCTGGACCCCCCCCTGAGCGTGCCGCACGCCTACTGCGAGAGCCTCGCGAGGCCTCGGTCCGCAGTTTGCGACCCATTCTCGCTGACTTCCCCCCCATTTTGCGATGTGACGTACGTTAGCGCCGTCCTTTTCGATTCCTCTCCTCCACGGCGGTTTCCATTTTCTCTTTCTTGTCTGTCGTCGTTTTGCTGGCCACGTTCACTACCTAGGCACGTTCGCATTCCTTACCCTTACTGTCTTTAATCGTTGCTTCAAGCAACACCCACACTCATTTTAATGGATACTTTGAACCATGTTACCGGGATTCGCCCAGGCCGATCCTGTTCCCTCGGTTCCCGCTCACTGCAGTGGATTCCGGAAAAAGGCAGACATCATGACGAACCACATCATGCTGGGTTCATGCAGGCGTCCGCTGGACGGCGCCATGCCGACGCAAGCATCAATGCATATAACGACCAATCTCGGCCGTACCTGTTGGGGTCAAAACCCCCACCACTCAGTCCACGATGCTTTAGTCCCGTGCCCTCACAGGTCAGCACCCCGACGGCCTCTTCTTTTGGACCCCTCTCGTCCCGCAGTCATCCGTCAACGGTACAAACGTCACCTCCCCCGACTGCAACGTTCTGTCATAGCAGAGAATCAACATTGGACCTAGACGCTGGACCACCGGCACAGATGCACGAGCTCAGGGCCCTCAGTGCCTTGCTGGAGGAGACTTCGATTTCCTCCCCTTCGGCTGGTGGGCAACATCGACGCGGGTCTGCCAGTCTCGACGTGTCCAAGCTTAATCGTCACCGGCGTGTCTACTCGAAGGACCTTTCTCGTTGGCATCGCAATGCCTCATGGATCCAAGATGTATCCCAGCCTTCGGAGTTTAGCTCAGCGGAGGACGAGGATGAAGACCTCCGTCAATACCGGCAAGACGCTGAGGTCATGCTGCCAGACGTCGAGGTCACGCTGCCAGGCGCGGTCAAGGCAAGGGCACTTACAACAACAGGTCCCTCAATCACCACCGGCACGGATGAAGTTGATCCCACTGCGCCCCTGTCAGAAGCCCATGACGCCCCTGAGCTCGATTCCGATGGGGATAGCAATCTGCAAGCTGATAGAGTTGCCAAAGACCTTCTCAACACCGAGTTTGACGTCTTCCTCGGTTCTTCAGAGCCACCGCGGGAGGTAGTCCAGGCCGTGTGCAAGTGCCTGGAAGAAATATCGCTCTCGATTCGGTCCGCTCGCAGCATAGGTGTACTTCCACCAGTCACAACGGCAACACAATCAACCGAGTCGGCTAGCCCCGGGTCGTTTGGTTACCCCTCCCAGCAGAAAGGGAGGAGATCAGGGGGCAACCAAAAGAAACGCCCCATGGGGTACCAAGGGGATGATGACGAAGAGTTTCAGGACGACGAAGGCGAAGATGGATTCGGTGTGGCCGGCCGCAACGATGCAGGCCATCGAAAGAGGCCAAAGGTCGAACAATACCCATGCCCTTTTCGTAAGAGGAGCCCGTACAAATTCAACTGCCGCGAGTGGGAATTCTGTGCGAAAGCCCCGTTCAAGACCATGTCGGAACTCAAGTAAGTACCTTTTACCCAACTCCAAGTTACACCGCCGCTAACAGACACCCAGAAAGCACATCATCAAGTACCACCAGCAGCAACACGAGGCACTGGCCTATGTTTGCCCGAGATGTCACATGGGTTTTATTCGAGCCGAAGAGTTTAAGGCTCATCTGATGGCCCCGCGTGACGACGTTTGTGACGTGAAAGAGGGCCCGACTCCCCCCTCAGAGGTCGTTGGCATCGCTCCCAGCATGATAGAGAAGCTCCGCAGCCGAATGGAACATTTCGACTGGGACAAGCTGTGGCGTGCGTTATTCCCTGACGACCTCGACGTCCCCGACCCAGACTTTGAACCGGTCGTGGAACTCCATGAAGTCAACCACGAATACGGCGCCCTCTTACCAGAGTTCCGCAACAGCCTCTTTTCTATCCTCACCACCTTGCTACCGGGCACTGATGTGGCCCATCGCGATCTCCGTCAACGTCTCAACGACAACCTGGACCGTCTTTTCAGCGAGTTCTTCGCAACGACTTTCAACAGAGCACGAACACACGCAGCGGGGAGCCCAACAAGCCCACAGGTTCAGCGGGCTGGAACCGACACCCCAAGCCCAGCACCGTCACAGGCCGCCTCCGTCTCCAACTCACGACCTCCGTCCCTAGCCAAGACCACCAACCCGCGTCGCACCATCCTCCCTAACCCGGCCCACCGCCTCAGCACCTGGTCCTCCACCGACACCTCATCCTCCTCGGCGCGATACTCAACTAGTACCGCCACCACCAGCTTAGGCCAGTCCAACCGCGAGTCCATGGTCTCCGACATCTCCAGCCAAGGCAGCCTAAACAACAACATCCCCCAACTCCCACCGACCCCCATCCACCACCACCACCGTCTCCAACACTCCTTCCCCAGCATGCACGCCCAAATCCCCCTTCGCGAACCCTCGCACTCCACCGGCCCAACAAACCCGCCCCACCGCCGACCCCGACCCACTACCCAATCCCCGCTCCTCCAAGAACTCACCCTCACAACGACAACCACCACCAACCCCCCACACAAACGCCACGCGGAGCCGAGCCCGGCACAGCCCATGGTCATGACCACGACCTCCGGTGCGGGTGTGAGGGATCCGCATGACTCAGCCGTGAGTGATCTCGACTTGGAAGGATGCTGCTTCAAGTGCCTCGGCGTCGGCGACGGGCTGTGCCGGTGCGCGGTTGGCGGTGGGGAGCTGCCGTTTGTAGGCGGTGCGGCGGCCGGTTATGGGCTGGGTGATGGTGCTCGTGGTGGGCATGAGGTGTATGGTCGGGATTTGCAGGGGGGTGAGGGGTATGTGTTCGATTTGGAGGGGTTGGGGCCGGATGGGTTGGGGGAGGTTATGTTGGGGGGGCGGTTTTAATGGGTGTATGGGGGGTGTGGGATGGGGTTTGCTTCCGGTCGTGGGTGGGGGTTTAATATCTGTTTTGTTGTTTTGTTTATTTATCTCTTGTTGCTCTCGCCTTGCTCTTCTAGGAAGAGAGGGCAGAGAGATACGGCCCTCGACATGGCGCTGGCTCGCTCTGGAAGGGTTTAATTGTTGGATGATGTACGATGACAGGACGATGGGATGTTTAGGGTGTAATGCAGAATATACTGTCACTGTATCCGGAAACGGCGGCCTTCCGAATCGGGTATGGTACTCCGTCAGATTCGCGGCTTTCTAAGCAGTATTCTTGTTGGATAGAGTGGCGGACCTGTTTGTGGGCGGGTCGAGGAATCAGAAAACGGTATAAGTACCACCTACTTCGTATACTCCGTACCTACCTCTCTCTCCCCGAACCATGCTTTTCATTCCCTAGTACTCCAACCTCGTGCAATCCGGTCAAGAATAACAACCATAAAAGAATAACGCAGCAACACGACCACAGAGGATATAGCCCATTCTCGCAACCTCCCTACCCCCAATTCACAAAAATGACCTCCCTAACAAACAACCCCCCCCAACCCCCCTACCCCACCCACGCCGCCCTCGAAGCAGCCAAACAATTCGTCTCCCACACCCCCAACGGCCTCAAACTCCTCTTCTGGCCGCTCAACGCCGACACCAGCCCAGCCCTCGAAACCAGCGGCCTGGCGGTCATGGCCGCGGGGCCAAAACACCCGGACCCGGACGTGCGCACCCCTTACTACGACGCGGCCGCGGGCGCGTGGCACCCCGTTTCCCAGCGGCCCATCAGCGAGCCGCGCGTGTCCGAGATTGTGGTGAGGAGTTGGGACGTGAGTGACTGGGCGAGGAGCTGGAGCGAGTTGCATCGGGAGTGTGCGGATGGGGGGTTTGAGGTTGCGGCGGCGGAGAGGGGGGAGGGGTGGGTGGAAGGGGGGTGTCGTGGTTGTGGTGCGGTGAGGCCGCCGGTGCCCGAGGGGGATGTTAGTGTTGTGGTGAGGGGGACGGGTGGGGTCGGTGAGGGTGAGGGTGAGGGTGGTGGTTATGTCACGGTCCACGACTACGTTTCGACGGTGCACCCTTGGCTCGTGGGCCTGCGGGGGGGCATCCTCGGCGCGGTGGGAACGACGAGCGGCAATAACGCCCCCCTGCCCGCGCAGACGGAGTTGATGGTTAGCTGCAGATTGATGGACAAGCTGAGGGTGGAGGAGCGGGAGGATTGGTTCCGGAACGCTGGGAAGAAGCCCTCGCCGGGTTCGAGTCTAGGCGAGCTGTCGGGGCCGAGAGTGGAGGCCCATCTTGGTTCCTTTGCCGGGCTGCCTTCATTTATGCTGCAGCCGAAAGGACCCAGGAGGGAATGAATGATAGTATAGGTACCTACATACAGTACATCCATTAGCTGCCGTTTACGGTTTATCCAAGCCACTCTCTCTACTACCTCTAGTATTACTACATCAGTAACATGACTACATCTTGGCCGTCGCCGTTGCCGACGCGCAATACGCGCTCCCATACGCAATGACAGTGCTAGCAACCGCCGTCCCGCACGCGCCGTTGGAGCAGTCGCGCAATCCATACCCAAAATTGGCATTCTCGCACAGGCACGCCGCGTCCTGCTCGCTAGCGCACCCAAGCTCCGAGTACTGCGCCAGCATGTTGTTGAAGCACAACTGGCCGCACGAGGGGAGAGCGCTGAAGGCGGAAGAGATGCTGGTCGTGCACTCTGTGCTTGTGGTTTATGTCGGTTTGGTTGTGGTCTGCGACGTGGACGTGGACGTCGGGCGGGCGGAGCTCGTGGTCGTGCTTGTCGTGCTGGCCGTCGTCACATGGGCAGAGGATGAACTGGAAGACGAGCTCGTCGACGAGGAGGAGGTAGCTGACGTGCCAATAGCGCTGCATGTCCCAAATAGCGGTTGGCTGTATACATATAAGCTCATGTATCAGCTACTCGAACCCCTCATGGACACGGCGTAAGGGCTCAAGTAGCCCGGTGGTATAGTTAGCGATGCTGGTCGCCGTATCTCTGTCGTATTTCGCCCGGATATAGGCCACGTTCCCGGCCGGCATCTGGTCCCGGGGGTAGGTAATGGTGTCGTCGAGTAGAGTGATCTCCGTTACGGTGTTGATGCGGAAACTGACGGTGAGGATCTGCCGGACAATCTGAAAACCCTTGACGCCGGTGGGATCCTCCTTGGAGCGGTCGGCGTCCCATGTATGCAGGGAGGCTGGAGAAGCTGCCCCTTAACCCCTGATTTGAATATCTATTTCAGCAAGGTAGCGCGGTCGGGGCGGCTTAACCCATCCAGGTACCAAAGGATGTATTCGGTCATAATGTGATTGTTCTGCGCCACCACGGCTAAGGGGGAGAGGGAGTTTGGAGTCCCACGGGCAAGATCCCTTCTAGTCCCGGCCGTATCAACTAAGAAAGGGATGGTGGTTGCTGTCCCTTTACAGACGACAAGGTGAGCTGGTTGCAGGGGGGTGCTTGTCAGCGTCGCCTCTAAAAACAGCCTTCACCTAGTAAGGGGATCGGAAGCCTCGTAGGGGAACTTCATAGGGGCGATATGTACCGCAGACGGGGTAAACAATGGAGCTATCCTCGAGTCCACCGAGGCTTCCTTGAACCGCGCCGCCCACCCACTTACGAATCATCAGAGAACACAGCGCCGGAAACAAGAGTTTCTAGAGATAAGTTGGATATCCTATTTTAAGTGATTATTTACGGTTAAAGAACGTCATGAAGCCAATCCGCAACACACCGCTTTTGATCTAACGGAGCGGTACATAATACCAAAAAGGCAGAGGGAGCTCGGAGAACAATGAATGAGGGCCCCCGTCGGCGGTAAAGCACAGTGACTTTGCCCAAAACAAACAACAACATCCAACTCTGCCTCCTCGCCGGGGTGGGGACTCACCCAACTCGACGAGGATGGCCAAGCATAACATTACCCAAGTCCCCACGATCCCTTGAATCACGCCTGATACCCAGTCGGAAGCAGTCACCCCCCCGCAGACAGACAGGATCATGGTGTAACCCAGAACCCGAAACCGCGCAATAGACACGGAGACTCTAGACAGACCCGTGGTGTTCGACGTGCCAAGAGCCAAAATATTGCAAGCAAGCGAAGTGGTGGTGTAGCCAATGCACGCGTACATACCATGCCCAAGCCGCTCCACGGTCAAGCCATTGGATATCACACCAGAGCTTTTCCATGACCAAGTATTCGTTGATAATACGCCAAAGCCGCTCCGCTCCGCTCCATAACCAAGCATTGATGCCACCTCAAGCCAGGCGTGCAGGCCCGCGAGTGAGGAGCGAAGCAGCCCCCTTGGGGTACCGCACGACCCAAGATAGCACGCACTAGAATAAAACTATCGGTAAGCGTTGTATTGCGTCAGCAAAGCACTCAACACATAACCCACCCATATTTCAGGTGGTTGACAGAGCGCGGCATAAACCAAAGCGACAGGAACAGGCATAGCACAAGCAAGAACACGCAAAAACTTAATGATAGAATAGCATTGCGCCAAAAGTAATAAGCGCCCCCCAAATACTGGCCATAAATGAAGTCGCCTCAGGACCGACGAGGACCGAAGGGCCGCACAAGGCAGGAAAAGTCCAAGCAAGCATGTCCAGATACCCCCGGGAAAAGAATCTTTGAAGATATCTCTCCTCGCCAGAGTTCCGAGCCAAATGGGTCAAAGACGCCGAGATCCTTTACCCGCCGGCTGTTCCCCCTTGATTTCCCGCCGGGCTGACCCCGGCACTGTAAACTGGCCATGTAGACCGCGGGGACGAACGAAACGAAAGTGACGCCTGCTGTTGCTACGCGAGCGGCAGCGGGCAGATGAAAAAGAAAAAAAGAAAAAGGAAACTCAATGAAAACGAGAAACGATTTGCTCAGCCAGCCATCATCCTATCCGTTCCTCATGTGACTCGTCATGAGAGAGCATGCCGCCGAGAAAGCCAAGTAGACGACTAGCGGTACCGGAAAACGCCGAGCAATGCCCCAGAAAGACAAAGCAAGAGATGGTGAAAACCAGACGAGGTCCAGGACAGGGAAGAAGAGCAGCCAAGTTTGAAACTGTCAACCCCTCGATGATGCTTTTCCGAGACCGTTACACCTTTACCTTTCCCCCCGAACTCCGTGCGCAGAACGACTTAATGATGAGCTCAGAACGAAAGTTACTGCCGATGGTCGTTAGCACATTACTCTCATTGGGTTCGAACGGGAGAGCGGCAACTTACGGCCATGGGGCCAGGAGGGGGGCCCTGGGTGGGGTTGCCGCCAAAGGGAGGAGGACCGCCGTAGGGGCCACCAGGACCAGGAGGACCGCCGTGGGGAGGCATGCCGCCGCCCATGTAATGGGGAGGGGGCGGAGCCGGGCGGTAGGGGGTGCCGACACCCGAGTTGTTCTGGGAACGACCCCAGGAGAGGCGGACGCGCGAGTTTCCGATGGGGTAACCCTGCATCTGATTGATGGCCATCTCGGCGGCATGGCGATGGACGAACTGCACGAAACCGCAGCCTTTGCCGGGAGGGATTTTGACGTAGGTAATCTCCCCAAATCCATGGAAGAACGAGCGAAGCTCATCCTCAGTGACGTAGCCAGATAGGCCACCAACGAACACGGTGGTGTTGTTGGGGTCCGTGAACTGGTTCATGGGCTGCATGGGGTTGAACGGAGCGCCTTGCCCGTAGAAGGCGGGATTTCCCCACATGGGGGCAGGATGACCAGGGACGGCCGGCATCATTTGATTACCGCCTTGGGCTTGGCCTTGGGCGTGGCCGCCATACTGATGCGAGCTGGGAAGTGTTAGTTTTTATCTTCTACCTAATAGCGGTCAACATACCGAGTCTTCGGGGTGGCCGTCGAGATGCGCATCGGGCGGTTGCCGCAGTAAACACCCTGCATCTCAACCAGCGCACGCTGCTGGTCCGATTCCTCGCCGAACCGGACGAACCCGTACCCACGGGATTGACCAGTCATCGCGTCGGTCATGATCTTCGCGGACTTGCACGACGGGAACCGAGTTTGAAAGAGGGAGACTAAAACAAACTCGTTTACCTCGGGGCCGAGGTCGCCAACAAAGATGCTAAATTCTGGCCCTCGGTCGTCGCTATAAGTTTCGTTAGCAGGAGCCCAAGACAATATTAGGAGTACAAGTCATACCGTCTATCCACAAGACCGCCGCCAGACGCCCAGTTAAGCTTGAAAACCCGGGTGGAGTTGGGCACCGGTGTTCCATTGAGATTCAAAGCCTTGTGGGCCGCCTCGGGGGTCGCAAATTCGACGAAACAATATCCGGCATTGCTAACAGGGTGTCAGGTTAGCAGGTAAAGAATGGCGATGGGTTTGTAGGGCGCCGTCAGGTGATGTGATGCCCAATGAGAAGATAGACATACCCGGAGTTGCGATCACGGATAACCTTGACTTGCACATCCTCGTTGAGAACGGTCTGGCAAACGTTCTTGATGAAAGTTTCATCCATCCAGCCCTCCATCTCACCCATCCTAGCATGGTTGTTAGCCGGTTGATGTATCGGACAAACGGGATAGCAATTCTGACATACCACAAAGTCTTGGCTGCTTCGTTCGAAGCGGGCATGGGCGCCGGAGGGGCGAAGTTAGCATCGCCATTGCCGTTCATGTTTGAGCCGTTGGTGGCAGCGCCCGGGGGGCCGGTAGCGGTATAATCAGCCATGATTGCTACCAATAGTATTAGCTTAATCCAACGATCGCGGTTGGACAAGGACAAAAGCGTGAGGATGACCGGGGTTCCGAGGGCGAACCAAGCGTGCTTCACGTAGATTATGTTGGGAAACTCGAGGATAAAACAGAGCGATCCCAGGAACTGACGATGCGCGCCGTGAAAGATTTGGAGAAAGCAGAGAAAATCAAGAAGCGATACAGATGCGTATGAAAAGCGAGAACTTACTCGTAGTTGTTGGAGAAACGATCGTCGAGTTAACGAAATGGTGCTTGAAAGGCTGTAGGAGCCGGTAATGGTTAATGGAATCGCTCGCGCGAAGGCAGAGGAAGATTGAAGTGGGAAACGCAGAGAACTCGAAGAACGATGGTGGAGGGGAGGAAGAAGGAAGGTGGGCAGAGAGCACAGGATGGGGAGGTTAAATAGATCGAGAGGCGAGGCCCTGAGGGCAGGTGATAGGATAGAGGTAGGATGGTAGTTGAGATGGTTTCACGTGACCTCGGCCGGAGTACTCGCCGAACAACAATGAATCATTGTAATAGTTCGGATGGGTGTTCCATAGGCTGCCACGTCAAACCTCGATGCAAGTTATGCTGCGCCTATTGCCCCCCAAAAACGAGACGACCAGGGTAAGTAGAAAAGAGGTTGGAAGATGTCATGTGAACTTCCACAGAATCATCCCTCTATTATTGTGCACCTGATCGCTGACGGTCCCCTCCATCTCATTCTGCATTTAATCCCTGACTGTGCTCAAAGGATAATGCGGAAACGAGGCAGGAGTTGAGGAGGCGATCGCTGACCCTTGCCCCAAGCCCTGAGGCACCAAGTGAGGCATATGGGGAATTTGAGAGAATGTGATGGAGAGAAAGACGAGAATCATATTTTTCAGTGTGCAGGTTTAACAGAAATGGAAACTGAGACTTACCTAGCAACGTTCCACTAGAAAGAGATCAACGTCGATTAATATGCCTATCAACACGTCAGGATTCGGAACAAACAGTAGCCAAGGAGGAACGACAGCCAGGCTTTGGAATCTGGACGGCCACCCTCTGAAATGTGCAAGGCGGGGCAACTTTTCCCCCCAACCCAGGTGGCAAAACAGCCCTCGACAAGGATGATGCATGCTTGAATTCTCCCCACTCAAGGCGAGAGAGGTGCTGGGGCAAACGGGTTGGGAAGGCCACTTGCAAACCCAGGAGGTGAAATGGAAGGGGTAGTCGGGCAGATCGAGACAGTGACAAGAGAGGCAACGTACGGCGGAGTTTATCACGACTCGTGGCTTGGTAAAGCACAGAAAGAGGAGAATGGCGATCGGTTGAAATGTTCGCTGCAAACCTAGGATATCCGTACCCGTTAGCAACTATTGTGACGAGCTTCGACATGAACTGCGGAAGAACACAAGGAAACCCAGGCTGCGTTAGATGACGGCGGCTTCTCGACTGCTGAACAGCCGAAGCCTCGCGGCCGTAGCTTAGGGTTGCCAAGCTCAGCTGTGAAGGCTACCGTCTGAGCGAGTAGTCGGAGCGCTGCTCTAGGCTCTGTCCGCATGCCACCGTGCCCAAGGCCACCCTTCTCGCCGCGTGCTCAGTACCATGGCCAAAGGCATAGGACCACGGCCGAGCGAGCCCGTTCCCACGTCGCTATAGTGGTACAAGAGACTGCAAGGTCGGCAATTACGTCGGTTCTGACGAAAAGGACTCGGGGTGGTCTTCCGGAATGACGCAAGGCGCGCAGTCTTGACTCTCAGACCCCCCTCCCAACTACGGCCGTGCGTAAGGCGACCAGAGAAGCCGGCCCCGCCCGCCGAAGAGAAATAAAGGAACGACTTACCGATCGAGCCAGGGCAAGGGCAAGGTAATGTTGCCGGGAGGTGTTTTGGTATCCAGGATCCGAAGAGCAACTGCTGTGATTGACGCCTTGACGCCGTGAAACTCAGAGACCCCGAAGAGCAGTGTTCGAAGATGCGAAGAGATAGCGAGTTTTGGGCAAGTCCCCGCTAAGAGAAATGAGGTAAGGGCAAAAGTTTTCGAAGAAATATGGGAAGAGTAATGTTGAGCTCTCGAAGCGACGTCGAACGTTAGGTCCTGGCGAGGGTTCAAGAGTATTCGAAATAAACTCGCTCGGGATGTCCAGAAAGATGGCCCAACTCGAACCAAATGCAACCTGTTGTGAAAATCGTTAGCGGTTGACGAGAAGATACGTCGTCGTTGTGCAGCAAAACAAAGGAGCAGCCCGTGTTGCCAGGATTCAGGGGGAAGACGTTAGTTTGGAACTCGGAGCCACCAATGCCAGCGATGCTCGAGATTCGGCTTGACGTGCAAGCCCTGAAATCGCAGAATGCTTCGAAGAGATCGGGAAGAAGCGATCAAATATGATGCCGATCTTCCCTGGGACTCGGGGACCAGAGCGAAAAGGCCAATTAAGGAGGCTCCGTCGGTCGATAGCAAGACCGCTAAAACACCGCTATGCTGCTAGCTCGCGGTACGAGGAAGATGCGTCGTACTGGCAGTACGCACGTAACCGCGGGAACCTCTCAGTGAAGCAAGGAGAACCACAAGCTCCAGAAGCTCGGCGCGTCCCCGTAAAAACAGCGTCGTTATCCGGCTCGTGGGATACCGACAATGTAATCCAGTGGGTCCAAGAACACCACTAGGCCACGATGGCGATATTGGAATATGGCCGGCGGACGGGCTCAGAACAACCCAGCGCACATTAAGCGCGTGTTCATGACAGGTTTCGAGACGAGGCGGAGACCGCAGGGTGTGAGTGGCGGCGGGAGGGCACCCGTCTAGAAAGACCTGTCCTGAGCTGGAGCAATCCCTGGGGAGGCCGACAAGAGGCGTCTGACCAAGGTTGCCCGCGGCGCGTTTCGCAGGTCCCAAGTGTTCCCTGAGCCACCCTACGACTTGACTGGACAATAAATTTCCCTGTCGTGCCTCCCACACCCAATAACCCGCCGCAGAGCGCACCATCCAGCTGTTAACCCCAAGCTTATGCCCAGGATCATTACTCATGGTGGGGGCGGAAGTCGAGGATGTGGGCCGCAACACGGTCTCGTCCCTCCTCATCGAGTCGACATCGCAGAGCATGCCGAAGCAATACTACCCCCAACAGCTCGGTGTGGCTCGAGTGTGCCAAGATGGTTGATTGAGGGTACATTTCCCTGTGGTTGTTGCAAGCCATCCGTACTTCGTGCCAGCCCATGATCTTTTGTGTCCAAGAAGGCCTAGCCGATTGTCACCCTTGGGTGATCTTTCCGGCGTCCAAAACCGAAGCGGGGGTTGTAAACACATGAGAGGCCCCAGCCGGTTCCTCGCGTTGAGCTGAAAGCGTATCATGATCGTGATTCCAGACGGCATCCTTGCAGCAATGCTCACACCAAGGCGCCGAAAAATTGGTTGCGGGAAAACCCCCTGATGTCCGAACCCCAACAGCGGGCCTGATAGAGGGGGATCCGACGAATTCGATTTCCATTTTCCATTCGGGGACTTCGCCGCAAGGCTGAGGTTCTTGCATCCGGCCTCTAGGATCAACCCGATATTTCCGGCCGAGGTTCGCTCCCACGAGTCCCAAGTGGTTGACAAAGAAGGCCAAGAGCACCGACAATGTCGATGTTATCGAGGAACCTCCTCCGCTGGTGATAATGAAGGTTGGGGGTCGACGGATTCCTCCATGAATGATCCATCGCGCCCCCTATCGAGCCCTAGACTCCAAGCCGCCTGAAGCAGTTCGATGAATCCGAATTTCCAAAGAACGACGGCGGTGGACTCCAGCGGGGGTTCGGCACATCGAGAATCACGAACGATTATACGGCGACTCGCGGATGGTGGATATTCGGGGATTCGGGGAGGTTACTAGAGTTCTCGCAGTTCGACGGTGGCAGAGGTGGGTTCGAGGGGGCGCATCGTGAACGAGAGTCGGGGAAGGGCGCAAGGAGTATCGTAGTCCAATCCATTATCCGGCACCGGCGGCCACCACTTAGACGGCCAAACCCAGCCACTCGTCACGAGCAAAGTCCCATTCCATCTTCCACCACGGCATCCGGCTCCGGTCCACGTCACTTGATCCCAGGCAAAATATCGAAGAGGGCACGACGGGTACAATTCACTGCGGGGATAGAACTTACTGTTACGGACTCGGCAACTAGAAACGCTCCTGGTCCTATTCACAAAACGGTTGACGCGCGATTATGGAGAGGACGCCAGGGCGAGGGGGGCGGACTCGTCTCGACTGCCGAAGAAGACTGCCGGAAGCAAGGACGCCAAGTGCGCAATGGCCGCAACGAACACAGCAAAAGGATGCTTTTTGAAATCGCAGCAGTACTGGGCGCAAGGAGAAAAAAAGCAGAGGAACACGCGGGGCGCGGGTGGTAGAGGGGTAGAAAAGAAAAGGAAAAAACAGAGCAGAGACTGAAGGGGCGCTGTGGAGAGAATCCAGTGTGCGAAGCAGATGGAAAACTGGGAAGGTGCCGAGCGTCTGGAGAGGAGAATTTGCCCGGCGAGTGGATTGGCAGGGTGGGGAAAGTCCAGCCCAAAGCGGCCGACCCAAGCGCAATGAATCGCGTCAGTTTCCCGGCCGCCCCTGCGCTGCAATGCACCCACCTGCGCAAAACCCACACCCCAGGCTGCCGCAATACGGAATACAACCTTGAGGTGCAAGCTCGCTGGCCGCTTCCTCCGGCGACTCCGTGCGACCGACGACACGGTGGATGAAGTCAACACCCGCGAGAAACCTACCGACACCCTTGCATCGTCCCGAACAGCCTGCACAGTACATAGTTCCGACGCGACGCGAAGTTATAGCCTAACTGGACCCTTCAAGCTGGGTTCATGTCGCCATCATCATTCAATACCAAAATTACCGTTACCATTCCGGCTACCGGAGCAAAAAAGGGCAGGCCAGAATCCGGAAAGACCTGACAGCCCGACTGGCCCCTCATTCAGTGTGTTTGTTACACGGCGCAGGCAAGCGCATGCCCGTACAGAGAGTACGACGGCCACTTCCGTCGGGAAGCCGGCCAAAAACTTCAATCAAAGGCTGAGAAGTTGCCAGCAAGCGTTCCGTGTCCAGACATCCATCCATTGCTCGACCGCCCTGTCCCCACTGCTGCAGCTTCCGACGGACCACAAGATCTGATGGCAATCGTTGTTGCTTCCCGCTCGGCGGCGGGGTGCACCCAGGACTCCCTCGTGGAGATCATGATGCGCAAGCAGAGAGCAAATTCTGACCGTGATAAGAGCACGCCCTGCCGTGTCGTCATTACATCGCCGCCGCTGAGATCAAATCTAAAACCACCAGAGCTCGAGGTCCAGCCGGAAGTGAAGTGCGATTGATACCGACCTAAGCTCAGTCTGATGACTGCCCCTCAATAGCGCCATTGGTTCGTTTTAGGTACGTGTACATCCCAAGTACGATTCACTCGCCACGAAATGCAAGGAATGCCAATCTTACCTGGCTTCCGGGTTGCGGCTCATGGCGGAATGTGACAGCTCTCGGGCATGCGACAATGGCTTTCTCTTCTCGACTGCTGCTCGAGGCGGCCGTTCTTTGTCATCTGTTTGGCGCCTCGACCGCAGCAAGACGGATATAAGCAGCCAATGTCTCGGACCGGGTCGCCACAAACCAGCGAAACCGCCCGCAGTTACCAGTCCAGCTGCCTTCACGTTCGAGACGGTGTCGTGTTGTTTCTTCAAGCGCTGCTCAGAAACACACTTCCCCACTCTCTTTAGGGCTCAGCAGGGGTAGCAGCTCGAAGCTGGAGACGCACAGACTGGAAGCTGTCGAATGATGCCGTCGAAGCTTTCCCACTGGTCAGCATCTGCCAGTCTCGCATTGAGCTCGGCCCAGTCGGACGTCATCGCAGTGTGGAGCAAATCGAGCTCATTCGGACGTCGGCACCGCCAGGGGATTTCTTTCGTCCCTTCGCCCCAACATTTGCGCTTTCTTGCAGCCGAGGTAACGTCGTCCTCCCATCATAGGAGTTGGCTCCTTGAGACAATCCGATGCTTGGGCACTTCCAATACGAATACAGGCCGCACACTCGCCCATCGCAATGGTCGGTGACTCCCTCTCGACCCCAGAACCTCAAGCACAGTCCAGATCTGTACACGTGATTATTCGTCGGCCCTGGGCGCCTGGGGCTGGATGTATGCATCTGTATGTATGTACACAGTACATGCAAGTCAACTGCACCCTTCCGATCACTTGCATGGACTTAGTCAACGAATCAGTCCGCTTCATCAGATCGTGCCGCCGGTGCGACCACTCACCGACGACAGTTGAGGCCAGACCGAGACCAGCTGCTTCCCCCTCAACTAGCCTCCCGTTGCCGCTGAACGATGTCGCTGTGGATTTCCTCACCCCCGGTGGCCCCCTCGATCCCCCTTGCGCATCTGGTCCGTGACACGTGGTGGTGGGCATCCGCCGCCTGAATGCCGTGCAGATCACCAAGATCTTGCTTACCATTGAGGAAGCCACTCCAAACAGATCATCAACGTTAATATTTACCCGTCCTCTAGATGCTACCAATTCCTTTTTTTTTTTTTTTGGTTGAAACCGTATGGCCAAGGTATATTGTTAAGGCTAGGAGTCTCTTACCAGTCAGCTCATTCCCCAGAATTCCCCTCGGTGGCTGCATGAGTCAGTCAAGGCAACAACGCGCCCCTCAAATCCCTAAGGGGGGCGTGTCTCTATCAATTGTGTGCTTGTCCATGCGTTTGTTCTGTGGCCGTCTTCTCGCTTTTATTCGCCGGGATGCCGATGGACGCGAATGCCGTCGCCATCATGTATGTACCATGTTCCGCACGTAAGGCAAAAGCAAGTCTCACCGTGCGTCGTGCTCCGTACAAGCGCGCCGTTTGACAACGTCAGCTCACGGACTCAGGCCAGGCCGGATTTGCCGGGGGCGTTCTCAATACCGTCTCTACCCTCTGGCCACGGTCCTTCAATGGATCGGAGTCGTCGGCGGTGTCAAGTCCATAACTGGACTCCCGTCTATGCTCGTTTTCCGCGCAACACACGGCCACAGCTCGCTGAGCCAACTTGTAGAGGGCTAACAAACAACCCGTCAAGTAACCGTAACGTTTCTCAGCGTTTGTCTCTACTTACTTGGGCATCAACGAGGCACAGCCCCTGCCACCGTGGTTGTTATTGCTTGCACGGCACCCAAATGCAGCGGTCCGATCGGCCAAGCAGCCGGAGCCGCACAGCAGCGATTAGGCTGCAGGGACCTCCGTCCCGGCCATTGGCGGCAGTTGATGGTGTGGTCCCGCCCTCAACCTCGTCACTTCCTTTTCTCCGTGGCAACCCGCCTTGGCCGCTAGTCCGGGGGGGGCTGTCAAGATTGAGGGGCATGTTGGCAATCGATGTCCCTACTGTGATAAAGCGATAGCGTTTTCGTGCCATAATTCGCCCATCGCGCAGTCACGAGAAGCATACCCGGTCAAGGCAATACCAGTTGTCGTCACCATCCCATGTCGACACCCCGAACGCTCTGACCTCCAGACCCCAAAGCGTCAAGTTGTGTGGGGCGAAGGCGTCCAGAAGAGGCCCGACCAAGCTCGAGACCGGCCTTAACGAGGATGTTAGACCTTGCTGAAGACTTCAAGCTCCGATGCCTTCCATCATCGGGAGCGGGGGGCAGTGATTGCATCACCGTGGGCTTGTTGCTATGGCATGTGGCATCATCGTGGACGTTATTCTATCAAGCCTTCACATGCTGCCCGTTACCCGCGTCTCGCCGAAGCCGCATTTTCCTTCATCTTGTGTTGAGATTAGCTTCTGTGGTCTTATTCACCTGCCGAGTTATCATCGCGAGTTCAGTTGACCAATCGCTGACGGCCAGTTTTCGTCAAGATTGCAATGTTGTGCGGTAACTGTCGATAATTGCGTCACGGGACGCTTATCGAGACGTTGAGTGAGCTCTGCTTGGGCCCATCGCAGCTACCCGATGGTATCGGAACCGGGCCCGAAGGTTCACATGGAACTTCAAGTGACTGGAGGCACCCGCCCCCTTTGCTCATGAGGTGACGTTTTGCGGTGGATCGGCGTTGGCTCAATGACTCGAGGTGACGGCGCGTTCCGCAGTCGGGTCTGGGTTGATGACAAGGACGTCGCCCTCATGCTCGACGCGAAATTATCGAGCAGCGCCGAACATATGGCCGGAAGGTTTATGCCTTCGCCAGGAATTAAGGCGAACAGGGAGCTTTGGGTACCAATGTCCTGCTCACCACGGCGGCGATAGGATCATAATCAGGGGGGGGAGAAAATGGCGGAGCTAACGTCAAGATGATTAGAAAGACATCAGATAATGGTCACTCTTCTCCCAGAGTCATATGACACGTAAAACAGTTATAGGGACAGCTGCTTCTAAAATGAAAGTAAAGTCACCCAAATGTGAGTCTACTATTTAAAACATAACAGTGTAATATTAAGTGCTTCGAGCGTTGACTTCTGAGCATTGAGTGCCTTTCGTTTCACTATCACTCTGAGGTACTCGAGATGTTAAAAGATATTTAGATGACAGCTATATTAAATCTCATTACAATCCCCAGACCTATGCGACAAATACAGCCCAGAAATCCGGATTTGGGGGTTTTCCAGTTTCCCTATAAACTGAAGCCCAGCATTTTTGACGGCATTATCGGATGGAATTTACACAATAAGAATCTAGGAGAGCTTGCAGCGTTAGAAATACTCGAGATAGACTTGAAGCCACCCTTTTGTAGATGCTGCCATCTGACGGTAGGTCCAAGGATTTAGTGATCTTGGTCTCGCCCGCGGTGGGTAGATGGTGCCCGGAGCAGTCAGCGAAAAGTGCAAATTAGAGCCGGTAAATGATTGTACGATGCGCGTGGGAGAAATATGGAACTCACTCGCAATGAATCCGAGAGAGTTGGATGTCACCTAAAGAAACGGCTGTGACGGAGGAGCGATAGTTCGACAAAGGAGTGCAGGTATAAAAGGGTGGAGGGAATTTCTGAGACAAGCAGATGGAAAGGGTCAGCATAAATTGTGAAGAAAGTAGCCACCCACTAACAGCGGTAGCGTTTTTCGTGCTCAAACTCATCCTCAGTGTGTATAATCTACTACATATCTACTTGAGCACTGCCAAACATTCCCTCCACGCTTTCTGTACCTCAAGCGACCTCTCCCTACCCACAGCCGTGTCGACGGCGGCCTTCATCCCAGACAGGCGTTCCGTATTCGTAGCAAGCCCGATACCCTTGCCGAGTTGTATCGTCGCCTTCACCGCCTTGGCCCTGGCAAGACGCTGGTCTTCAGTGCCGACCTCATCTGTTGCCATATCCAGGGTGTTGAAGAACCATGTGACGACCTCCTGTTTACCTTCCAGCCCGCCGCCAGGGACGACGACTTCACCTAGCGCCTCCTCCAAGACCTCCCTGACGCAGTCATACCAGAAAGTCCGCCTGATAGTCGCAAGCTCGGCCCTCGCAACGCACGGTGACTGGGCGTTGAGTGCCTTGCCCTTCCCACCAGCAGCGGCCTCGAGCGCGAGGACAACCTCCCGAAGGACAGCCACAGGATCCTTCTTCATCTTGACCCGGTTGTACCCCCTGACAACCGCCTCGATCGCAGCCCAGACCGTCTGGGCCTTCAAATCCAGCCCGCCCCTCACCCCCTTTCCACCCTTGGGCTCGTCGTCCACATCCATGGCATCGCCATCCTCTTCCTCCACCACCAAATACGGCTCCACAATCTCCGCAATCTCTCCCAGCATGTCCAGGTCCTCCCTCTCCGCGGCAACCTTCCACAGACACGCAAACGCATGCGGCCGGTAGGCATCATTGTTCCGCTTCGCCTCCCGCGCCACAACCTTCCTCACCTGCCCCGCCAGCTGGGCATCCGCCTCCCACAGCCCCCTCGCGGCCTTGACAAACCCCGGCAGCGGCTCCAGCAGCTTCTCCTTCCCCTCGAACGTCTTGAGCGCCAGCGCCCTGTCATAGACGGGCCACACGGCCGCGAGAGCATCCGCGTTCGGCCTGCCCGACGTCTCGCCCGCGGTCACCACGCCCTGCACGGCAGCGGCGACGGCCAGAGCACCCGCGTGCTTGAGGGCCCACTGGGCGGTGGCGAGGCAGGCCTCAACAAGCGCGACGATCTCGCGCAGGTAGCGCACGACGGTGAGGCCGGTGCTGCCGGCGTGGGCGTCCCAGACCTCGCGCGCCGCCTTGCACACGTACTCGTCCGTGTCGTGGCGGGCGAGGAAGGCGAAGGGCAGGAGCTGGGTCTCGAGCGCGGCGAAGTGGTCCGGCGAGATCTTGGCCACCGCCAGCACGGCGTCGGCTACCTTTTGCCGCCGGGTTTCGTCCTCCGAGGTGAGGTAGAGCGACACGAGGCGGTCGGCGAACCGCGTCTTCGCGTCCGGGGTGGGGATGATGCGGAGGAGGTAGGCGGCGGCGCGCGCGTAGTTCTGGCTGACTTCGTCGTTGCGGTCGAGAGTTTGCTTTTCGAGGAGGGTGAGGAAGGTGGGCGAGTAAGGCGCGAAGGAGAGGGTGTGGCGCGTTGCGAGGGTGGAAAGGACGCGGGCGCAGCCGATTTTGGTGGGCATTCCCAGGGCGGTTTTGACTGACTCTTGAAGCTTGGGCGCAAAGTCTTTCATGACGGAGGCGTCGACGCTGCGGAGGCAGTTGTCGATTGCCTCGGCGATGGGGCTTCGCGAGACCATAGCACTGCGGAGCTTGTCGATCTTTTCGCGGTTATCTTCGCCTGCACGTTGGTAGTGGTAGTTGATAGCTTCGGGCTCGATTGTGCTCAGGAGATTGAGGAGGTGAGGGACCATCGTGGGAATGTAGGGCTTGAGAGCATCGCCACCGCTCTTGGCAATCTTCATGACCGTGATGGTTGAGAATACTTTCACGTCTTCGGCACTACTCTCTATGCCCTTGTCGGAGAGTAAGAATGGAAGAGCCTCGTTCATCATTGCCTTGGCCGTCGTTGTGGAACCAGACTCCTCGAGCTGGCGGACAAGCGTCGTCGAGAGCGCAATGCAAAGGTGTAGCGCTGCGTTCCGCACCGTGGCTTTGACGTCGTCAAGTACCTTGAGTGCCGCCGTCCAGATATTCTTGTAGTATGGTTCGTACTTTGGGAAGGGCCGACCGGACACCAAGTCGGAGATGGCGGCGCAGCTGGCCTCGCGGACACGCCACTCCTTGCCCAGGATGCTCTTCAACAGGTCCTTCATGATGCTATCGAAGTGGGTTTCCATGACGGTCTTTTGGTCTTTCACCAATGCCTTCCAGATATCGTTCATCGAGCGCTGGACGTTCTGGTTCGGGTCAAAGCGGTAGCGGTACAGCTTTGGGTAAAGCTTGGGGTCGATCTCAGATTCCGAGAGGATGTTGCTGAGCCCGAAGCGCCCGAAGGCGGATCGAGTTGACCAAGTCGCGGCATTGGTCGCGAGCGACATGAACTTGTAAACCAAACTCGGATCGCCAACTTCGTTTGCCAGGCTAACGATGTCCTTGTACGAGGTGACGGACTTGCCATCACCAGTGGGGAGGGCGCCAGCGTCGAAGAGTTCCGTCTCCTGGTCGACTTTGAGTTGTGGCCCGGAACCGGTGAATGCCGAGACAAGGTCGCGAACAAGCTCGCCCTTGAGGTCCGAGTCGCCCTTCTCGTACACCAATGCGAGTCCTCGAGACGCGGTCTCCTGGACAAGTTCGTCTCTTGCGCTAAGGAGACGCATGAAGGCAACCTGGCACTCTCGAAGCCTCGACTGGACCTCTTCCAAGTGAGAGCAGTGCTGGATAACGCAGAACAACCAAATACCGGAAGCCTTGAGCAAAGACGGCTTAGTGGTCTTGCAGTCTATGAGGAGCTTCTCCAGGACCACGGTAAGACGCGCGCCCCTCTTGGGGATTTCGTAAGCAGCTCCCTCGGCTTGTACATCGACGGTGAGCCGCACGACTTCGGCGTCCCAGCATGCGACGGCTGCTGCGATGGCTTCGCCGACGGCGAAATGCACCTCGGCCTGCCTAATTTCGTATAAGGAGTACAACTTCTCGAGGATCAAGCCGAGTGTATCGTCGGTCACGCTGCCCCCCGTTTCTCCCGTTACTGGAACTGAGATTGCGAGTCTTCCTAGCGCAGTGATGGCCTTCTCGTTGCCCTTCTTCGCATGGGTGACGAGTGGGTCGATGAATTCCTTGGACAGGACGCTATGAAGGCTTTCCCCGGCCTCGCCGTTTTGCGGTACTGTCTGGATGGCCGCAGTCCAAAGCTGGGAGTATGCCTCGAATAGTGCCTCCTGGGTGGCCGTTGTTTTGGAGGAAACTGTGTTCAATGTCGGTAATATCTCGCCAAGGTTGGTAGCTGTACTGTCGCTCCCGTCTGCACCATAGTAAATCCGTCTCGAGACGAGATGACCCAAAGCCACGAATGCACCCTCGACGGCGTTTAGCTCCGATCCTACCGCAGTCGTGAGGTTCCTGGCGATGTTGCATAGGGCTTCCTTGGAGCTGACGACCGACTCCGTAGGGTTTGAAGGATGGGCCGCAAGAATCCCAAAGGCCCGCGAGCCGAGCATCCTAAGCTCCTTCTTGTTGGACTTGATCAAGGGCGTCAGCTCCATGGATCGGGAGGCTAAGTGCGTTAGGATCGATCGGGGCGACAGTGACGCAATCTCCACAAACGATCGGGCACATGGTTCAGCGATCCTCGCGTCTTCCATGATCATCCCCTCGAATGCAGCTCGCATGAGGCGAAAGAGAGCGTGCTCCTGGTGGGTAAACTTGGACAGGTATTCCCGAATAGTGAGCCGGCTGGAAAGGTCGGATTGTACAAGTGCTCCAAGCCGCCGCTCCCATCCAGGCTCAACTTGGAAATCCTTTAGCGCTGTCAGAAACAGAATCCGCCTGCAATAGTCGACAGCAACGGGAAAGGCTAGGAGTGATGGGGCGGAAAAGTTGACAAAGACGCCTCTATCATCCACGTCCATTCCTTGGTGGTCGCCCCATAGCGAACTAGCGTTGAGCGGCACAATAGAGTCCTTGAAGAACATCTGGACCATCTCTTTCCAGTCCGGCAAAGCCCGCGACTTGTCGTCGTTGGCGTAGTAAGTCCACGGGTCCAGGCCTTTCTGGCCCTCCTCGACTACGTCGCTGCGCTCATCCGGGCGGCCAGCAATGGCGAGAACATCGATCCAGCGTGCGTACACGTCAGAGAAGAGAAGGCAATTATTGGCCCACTTGGTGACGGCATGCCGGGAGCTCCGGACGGCGTCTCCATCGTCATCTTTGAGCGTCATATATGTGAGGAGGATTGATTGGAGCTGAGTGTTGATGGAAAAGCTGTGCGGGGGCTTGAATAGACTCGTGAGACTGGACAAGGCGCCATCAATGTTGACGACAACGTCCGGGGTCGGGTCTTCCGAGAGGGAGCGGAAGAGCCACCCCGTCAAAGTGAGCCGCTCACTGTCTGACATAACCGCGCCTTTAGCGAGGATGCCGATGGTCTCGTACGCCCTCGACCGCAGTGTGCTCTCGTCAGTTGACTGGCGTGTGGGCCTCGGCCAGCCTTGGTCCCTCACGAATTCTCTGAGCAGCCCGACTAGGGGCGGTCCGATCTTGCTGTAGTCAGTTTTGCCCGAGCCGATACGCGCTACCCAGTTGATGAACTCGAATAGTGCCCGATGGAGTTTATTGCGTTCTAGGCCGGATGACTTTACAGCAGCTGGCTGGCCGTCGATTTGCATGGCGTCGCCGGACTCGGCTTGAAGAGTGACGTTCAGGCGGAATGCGGCGAGGATGTCATCGGTAAAGGCTGTAGCTGCTTCTGATTTGCTTAGAATCCCAAGAATGCGAATGCGGTATGGAGCGGGTAGTCGAGAGTGTGCTTCGAACAGCTTTCGAACCAAGGGTTGATCTTCGAGTGAGACAGAACTCCTCTTTAGCAGGTCATCCCCAACGCCAGAGATCCGGTAGTCTGAACTTGCTGCCGCGTAAATGGCGGGGATAAACCTCTCCTCGTCGGTAAAGGCGCCGCTAGCTAGCAAGTTGACGACTTGGATCCGGGTTTCCGCAAGGTTCAACCCGCCGGCTGCAGGGTTCCAGGTGTCAGGCTTGCCAGACGTGAGGAAGTTGATGTCCGCCTCGGACAAGCCCGGAGACTGAGCTGGGCCTGCCGTGTTCATCCGTAGCAGCAGCAGTTTCCCAAGCCACTCCGCGACGAACTTGGCATCCTCTGGGTCTGCTAGGCCCATGGTTTCTCGGAAGTCAACATCTTCCTTGCTTCCACGTGACGGAATCTTCACCGCAGGAAGCATTCGCAGGGCGATACTGAAGAGCTGGCTGAGTGAGCTTGGTGATCCCCTGCTGATGCCATGGAGAGCTTTGGGGGCGAGGGCCCGGTGCTCATCGGCGTCCAGCTTCGTTATGCTGTGTTGTACGTAGATCAGGTCGAAGTGACGGACGAGCGTCTGCTCCGTCCCCTTGTACTGATCCAACAGGGCCCCAACCGGAAGGACGATGCTACGCCATGGAGTTAGGGTCAGTGTCGCTCACGCCACCTGGCTTTCCTTAAGCACGCCTGGACCACATACCCTGGTGATTTGATCAATTTATTGATGGTCTGGCATGTCGATATGACCTGTAAAAAGCGCGATGAGCATCATGTGCTCGATCAAAGAAACCTTACGGGCATGCCTGTTCGTACCTTGTTCCGGACCGAGGCATGCTCGCTACCGGCCTTCAACAGCAAAGGTGGAAGGTAGACTTTTAGGAGCCCCTGGAGCTTCGTTTCATCAGAAGATGCGGAGAGTATTCGCCATTCCACCTTCTCTATGAGATCCAGCTCTCTTTTTGCATCAACTGGCGCCGCCATGATCAAGACCTCCGCTGATTGCGTCGCTGGGACGACTTCCAATTTAGGAATCGAGGTTGAAGTGGGGACGAGGGGTTGGGCGCTTGTGCTCAAAGATGGAACTTCTCATGAGCTTTCGGATGTGTAACTCGGTGGTATCACGTCTCAAAAATAATTATGAAATGAAGTGATCGGGATAGTTACAGCACTGGCAGCGGTGGGACCCGAGTTCTGCTCGAGCTTGTTTTAAAGAGAGACTTCGGTTGAGTTTGCTGGAGTTGCCGTGGGGTTGGACGCCAGAGGCTTCCGCAGCGCCGCATCAGCTGTGATTCCTGACAGGCTGCCCCAGCACACGCAAGACGGGCCCTGGAACATGGAAGGCAAAGGACCACCCGCTTCGCCGCTGTTACTAAGCAGGGAAGCTGGGCATAATTGCTCGGTGGTCTTCACGAACTACCTTGATCTGTAGGTCGCAGCTACTCACCTATCTACCTAGATATGTACTGGTATTAAAAACTATCCGCTATGTTTACCGGGTATGTCAGACGGATGTGACTTTCATCTGGTCTTTTTGGTTATTTTTGACGTACCGAGGCTTGCTCGCACGACGATGGAGGTGTCAAGGGTGTAACTAGCGTAACCCCAACCCTCCTATCCACGTGCGAATAAATTTGGTGGGGTCGGACCTGAATGATCCGGCTTCGGGCTCTTCTTGCGTCACAGGTTGGCCGCCTTCAACGCGAGCCTGAGAGCCTGTGCCTTTCGCGGCTGTTTCATTTTCAAGCATCCAGAGCCCGAACCTTCTTCCATCATTCCACACACCAGTCCCCTGGCAACCGGGGATACTTACAGAACTTCGCTTTTTCGTCTACCTTGGAATTCCTGGTCTCGCTGTTCTCTTTTCTATCTCACACAACTGAAATCGCGGGGTACTTCGTACCATCTCACGACCCCCGCCCCAACTCCTTTTGGGCCTGAAAGTTCGCGATTCGTTTCGCCCAATTTGGTCCTGACCAACAAAACCAACCTATATTAGCGAGCCGGTCACCCACCTATCGCCCACGACAATACAGATTAATCTAGGAATCAACTGAGTCCTCTTACCCCGGATTCTCAGCGTGATACCTCGCATCATTCCGATTACCGATCCCGACGAGGGCACCCCTCGTCCGCGAACATGGCGAGCGACGAAGACATCGAGTCCTTCGTGGGCATCACGGGCGCCAACCGCACAGCTGCTGAGCGAGTGCTCGAGTTGTGTGGCTCAGAGCTTGAGCAGGCAATCCAACTTTGGTTCACCGACGAAGATCTGCAGCGATCATTGAGCAATGTCGGCCCATCATCCGCCCCGGCGGCCACAGCTCCTGCGAGTCAGTCTAGCAGGCCCAACCGCCCGCAGATCGGTCGCGAGGACGCAGAAGGGGTCATCCACATAGATTCAGACGACGATGTGCCTATGACCGAGGACGAAGTCGATGATGGGGACGAAGTTGCCGACGTTGTGCGGCGCGCCCAAGAGGAAGAAGACGCCGCGATGGCAAAAAGGCTACAAGATGAGTTGTTCTCCGGACCGGGAGCAGATGAGACTGGTGATGGTGTGCGAGCTCCCATGGCCCGCACAACTGAGACCTTGGTTGGCCCAAACTTTGGTGGCGATGATGAGGAGGACGCGCACGCTGCTATCCTCGAGCAGATGCGCAGGAGACAACAAGCTCGCGGTGAGTTGGATCTCTAGCCTTGCTATGTATTAGTGTGGGGGACTTTCCGCTAATGCATGCTTCACAGCCCGGCCTACGACCAACCCATTCGCCCAATCCGTCTGGGAGGACAACGCTGCGGCACCAGGATCTGGCCCCGGAGGATCCACACGTGCATCCCACCTGGCGAACTTGTTTCGCCCTCCGTACGACTTGATGGCGCAAATCAGCTGGGACGAAGCCCGCGACGAGGGGAAAGACAGCAAGAAGTGGATCTTGGTGAATCTTCAGGACACGTCCGACTTCAACTGTCAAGCACTGAACCGCGACATCTGGAAAGATGAGGCTATCAAATCCCTCGTCCAGGAGAATTTTATCTTCCTCCAGTACGACAAGAGCAACCTTGCGGCTGAGCAGTACATTACCTTTTACCTTCCTAATGAAGGCCACCAGAACCCAGACAACTACCCACATGTTTCTATCATCGATCCGCGGACGGGCGAGCAGGTGAAGGTGTTTAGTGGTATTCCCTTCCCCAGCGCCCTCGAGTTCCACGCGCAACTCGCCGAGTTTCTTGACCGGTATAGCCTGTCGGAAAACAGCAAGAACCCCGTTTCTAAGGCGAAGCGGCCGGAGCGTGTGGTCGATGTCGATCGGATGACCGAGGAGGAGATGCTCGAAATGGCGTTGCAGAACAGCCTGGATGGAAACGGCGGCCCAAAACAGCCAAACATCCAGGATCCCGACGAGCTCACCAAGTCGATAGGCGCACTGGCAGGGAATGGGAACGCATCGGCAGGTTCGGCAGGGTCGGCGGCTGGAGAGCCGGAAGCCTCCGCGCCGGAGGAATCCGCTTTTGCCCGGATACCTTCGGACCGGCCCCATGTCGAGCCGCCGGCGGACCCGAAGACGACGACCAGGCTGCAGGTCAGGAATCCGCCCGGGCGCATCATCCGCCGCTTCCGTCTGGACGAGCCTGTTTCCCGCATCTACGAGTGGCTCAAGGCCGAGCCGCTCCCGGGCAAGGAGGGGGTGGAGTTTGAGCTCAAGTCAATGCCGCCGCAGAGCGCCGATTTGATTGAGCATCTCGACGAGACGATCCAGGAGGCCGGCTTGGCCAACGCCGTGGTCATGCTCGAATTTATCTAATAGGGATATGGGAAGGGCGGGGGGGAGGGAGCGGGGCGGGGTGTGCGTGGTAATGAACGCGCCTTTCGTCTCTGTTTTCCGTTGACTTTACGCTTTGGTGTGGCATCATCTCCTCGGTTGACCTTTGGCATGGTATGACAATGGCGGGTTACACTAGATGGGCGCCGGGAGACGTGGGCTTGGGGGGTAGACTGCGCTTTTGACAATGGTGCAATGGGTTTCTGCATGGTCTTCCTGACTTTACGGCGCATTTTCCTGGTCCCAGGTGGGACTGGCGCGATGGGCCCGAGTATCGAGGACCCGGACGGCGTATTGTGTGTTCTTTGTGGGGAGAACCAGGAGATAGAAGAATTGCAGGGACATTGGCTTTCGCTCACTCTCAGGGCATTTGATCAATCTGTGATCTTGCGGGAGATCGACACCCAGACCGACGGAGTCGAAACTGCCCACAAGCCGCTGGTCCAATCAAAGTTCCTCACCCCCGTGAGAGGCGGAAGCTGAGCTCGTCACCACGACCGGCCAACCGAACCAACCAAACACCCAACATCCGCATTGTCATCGTCAGGTAAGGCAGAACAGGGGGGAATGGGAGGCCGCGAGTTCATGATTTGTGGCCTGGTAGTGACTCCCCGCATTGTGTGAGCGAATTTTGACCGGAAGCCACTGGCTCTCCTTCGAGGAATTCGCAAGCACAGCACTTGTGTCTGCCGCACCTGCATCCCTGTCGTCAATTGTCTTGTTCTCCGTGCTCCTGGTGAGGGTTCGTTGCCTCAGGGTCCAACTCCTTGAACAAACATTCCGCAGTTATGTGAGGGGGATATTCGTGAAGCATCCTACAAAGTGCATCTCCTGTATTTGGGAAGATGTATTTGCTATTGTTGTGTGAGTGTCCAAGTATCTGAGCAGCGTTTCTGAAGGTTCTTGGTATGTAGAGATCACCGTGCCACGGCGAGGCGCCGAGCTTCCCCAGGTGCCCAGCCAAGCACCCAAGCAACGCAACTTGACCCCTGACAGGTGGAGAGGCGGGGAGCGGGGATCATGCCAACGTGGGCTGCGGGACAGTAAACAATCCGCCTTGGCCCTGCGTTTCCTCGACCCCACATGGTCTGTCTCTGGCAACCAAACACGCCGTCAACATTGCTGCTTCTCTCAGTGACGCAAGTGCTAGGTGCAACCCCAGGGAGGCCATTCCGTTCTCCACTAGAGGGATTCTCAACAACAGAAGAGCAAGTTTGGAGAATCCAATAACTACGGACACCTCGAATTGGGTTCCTGCCCGAGCCCAAGATCTTCACTTTTGCTCGAAGGCCCCAACGCTGAATTACAGAATAACCTCCATTCCTAGCTGTTGACGATCAAGGTACGAGTTACATACCCAAGGGCATTTCCATACCCTACCTAAGCATTTCCACACACCACGTCCTCTGGCCCACGAAATTGCTGGTGGTCTTCGCTTTTTCTTGCGAGGAATTTCCTGGCAACGGACCATTGGCAATATTGCTTGCTAGTTACATCAAACAGCAACTTAGTTTCTGTTCTTGGCTAACAACTGAACTAGCAAGCATTCCTCCCTTCCATCCCGACTTCCCTCGACCGACCGCATCGGCCCACCTAGGTCTCGATCCGGACTGGACCTCTCGCTGTTTGTTCCGGATAGAACAATCGATTCACTACTCGAGACCTCGTCCCCCACCGATATCGATTTTGCCTGCCTATCCTGCGACCGTTATCCGACCCACCACCCTCTACTCTTCGCAGCCCTCGATAACACAAGCAGACCAACTCGGACATACCGACTGGACTCGGGGAACGAGGAGGAACCGAGGCGCATGAGACGACGGACAATAAGCCTCCTTGTGGCTTCGAAAGACTCCCATCTTTAAAACTCGGCTCTATTTCATGAAAGTCACCATGGCGGACCGAGAAAGCCGGGAATACGACGAGACCGAGGGGTCGCTGGACCCGGAGATGCTCTATACGAAGGAATTCTGCATTGGTTGGGCCTCCTACCCGCCCGCCGACGAGGGTACATGGACTAACCGGGCCAACAGGTGGCGGTAGCTTCGGCAAGGTCTACAAAGGGTACTGCTTAACCACCCATGCCGCAGGATTCCATGTTTCTAGTACTAACACTGTAGCAGTGTGGACAAGCGAACCGGCCAGTCCGTCGCCATTAAGGTCATCGACATTGAGAGCGCCGAGGACGAGGTGGAGGACATCATCCAAGAGATCTCCATTCTATCAGAGTTGCAGTCACCCTATGTCACCAAGTACTATGGGTCCTACGCCAAGGGTGCTGAGCTATGGATCGTCATGGAATTTTGTTCAGGCGGCAGCTGCGCCGATCTCATGAAGCCGGGCCTCATCGGGGAGGACTACATCGCCATTATTGTCCGCGAGCTACTCCTTGGGCTCGACTACTTGCACTCAGACAAGAAATTGCACCGAGACATTAAGGGTAGGCACCCTGGCCGTCTTTTAGACACGCGAGTGATATGCTGACACTAGTAGCGGCGAATATCTTGCTTTCTTCTAACGGCCAAGTCAAGCTCGCCGACTTCGGAGTCTCTGGCCAGCTTTCGGCAACCATGACCAAGAAAAACACCTTCGTGGGGACGCCATTTTGGATGGCACCCGAGGTAATCAAGCAGAGCGGCTACGATCACAAAGCCGACGTTTGGTCACTAGGAATCACAGCGCTGGAGCTTGCCAACGGGGAGCCCCCCTATGCAGACATCCACCCCATGAAGGTGCTTTTCCTGATCCCCAAGAACGCGCCACCGCGGTTAGAAGGGAATTTCACGAGGGCTTTCAAGGACTTTGTCGAGCTCTGCCTACAACGCGACCCCAAAGACCGGCCGTCAGCCAAGGAGATGCTCAAGCATCCTTTCGTTAGAAGAGCCAAGAAAACGAGCTACTTAACAGAACTCATTGAGCGGCACAGCCGATGGGCCGTCACCCATAAGCAGGACGACGACGACTACGATCACGATGACGGCTACCAGGTTGAGAATCGAGGGCCTGTTAACGAGGACATGTGGGACTTTGGAACCGTCCGTCTGGTCAGTGAAAGAGGCAATCTGGTCCACAGACCGGGTTTGCTTAACCCTATGGGGGAATCGGCCACAAATGCGCGGTCTTCTTCTAGGGCACTCGATGCGCCCGACGACCAAGACGATGGAAGGCGAGAAGCTAGCCCAACCAAGTTTGCTACAGACACGAGGGATACCCTCAAAGGGACGGGCGCCTCTAGACAATCATCCCCTCAAAGGAAACCGGTGTCAGGACCAGCTATCGCCCCATTGTCGCCGAGCAAAGTACCACTCCCGCCGTCGCCTCAAAAACCCTTCACCGGGCCCGAGACCCCCCGTGCATCCCTCGTATCAAAACCCATGCCACCTATCCCGGCGACGAGCTCCCCGGACTACGACCGCGTCTTACAGGAACATTTGCAGCGCGAGATGGGCGTTATGAACCTCGGCTCGGCCATGCAGCAACAGAGCCCTTCAAACCACTCGACAGCATCTTCGTCAAGGCCCAACCCAATGAGGATTCCAGAGATCCCGCCCTTCCGGGGAGCATCACAACAGCACCAGCCGCCGTTCCTCCGGCCTCCTCCAGGTCTCAACCCCCACCCGCAACCGCTCCAACCGCAGCCCCTCCAGCCACAGCCTCTTCAAACCAAGAGCACCGCCCAACCTGCAGTATACCAGTTCTACCCGCAACAACAACCCCAGCTACAACCCCAGCAACCCCAAAAGCCCTCCTACTCCAGCCAGAACATCCAACCCCTCATCTCCAAAGAACTCCCGCGGCCCCTCCCCAACCCGCTCGACGGCGGCTCCTCCGCCCCGCTCTCCTTCCCCACGCCGTCCCCCTCCAACCCGGACAGCGACCTGGACGCGCTCAACGACGTCATCTTCCCCGCGCTCGAGGAGGCCCTCAAGCGCCGCCAGATCCACCTGCAGCAGGCCTACCGCGCCGAGCCGGGCATGCCCCTGCCCCCCGTCACCCCCAAGCAGCAGCGCGCCGAGGCCGCCCACGAGAAGGTCCGCAAGCTGGTGTACAAGCTGGCGCATGTCTGCAAGGAGATTGATCACTTTGACAAGGCGGAGCCGGTGGGCATGGGGAAGGAGGTCGGGACGTTTTTGGAGGGGTTGTTGGAGGAGATTTTGGTCAGGGTCGAGCCGTTGGATGAGGAGGAGGGTGGTGCTGCTTGAGCAGGGCTGGGTGGGGGGCGGAGGGTGAAGGGGGTGGTGTATGAGTACCCAGTCAGATGTTGCTCGTGCTGATCATGGCTACGAGCAGGTGTTGGGCGAGACGGGCTGAAAGAGTCGATGTGATGATGATGATGATGGCTGTGTGGGAGGCGTTGGCTGATACCATTGGAGCTGGGGCGAAACGGGCCGTTATGTGTCTGGGAGTGCGCTATATATTTCGCTTTGTCTTTTGATGATAGTTGTTAGAGTCGCGAGAGCTACTGTTGGTGTCTTGGCGTTAGGGAAATACACATGTTGGTGGCCTCACTTCACGTTGGTATGCAAGGTCTTTCTCTAGGTCAGTATGAACTAATGGGTCTAGATTATCATTCATCTCCAGGTGCTCAGTTGCATGGTACGTCACTCAAGAAGTGGCATCAGGGGCTTGAGCTATGATCATGCTTGTATTGAGGCTTCCACGCCCAGTAGTTTCCCGAACGCCCCCTCGATCAGAGCCTATCCATCAGCTTCGCCGCGGCATCGTTCACGTTGGTCCCGAAGTAGCCCGGCGTGCACTGGACATACAGCACGCCATCCTCGATGTCGCACTCGCAGTACGTCTCGTACTTGAGCTTGTCGACAGTCCGGAACGCATACTCATTCGAGCTGACCGCTTCCAGCACCCCCTCCCGCACCATCTCGTCCTCGCCCACCTGCATGGCCTTCATCTGGTACGCCAGCCCCTCAAAGTACTGCAGCGTGAACGCCGCCAGGTTGCTCTGCCAGTCCTCGCGCACGTCGCTATTCCCCGCCTCGCGCGCCGCCTCCAGCGCCGCGAAGCTCGCCTCGAAGTTCGGGTTCAGCGTCACCTCCTCGGCGGGCTTGCCCAGCAGCGCGGCGATCTGCGCGCGCGCCTCGCCGATCCGCGGCTCGTAGTCGGCGCGGATCGCCGTGCGCGCGACGAAGGAGAGTGGCGTGTCCGACGGCGCCGCGTTCAAAGCTGCGCTCAGCTTGTCCTCCTGGCAGCAGTCGTTGATGTTGCTGCCCAGGTTGCCCTCCACGAACAGGATGCGGAGTTGGCCGTCCTGCACGTCGCACCCGCCGTAGGAGAAGCGGGGTGGGCTGGTCTCTTCGAGGTCGAGGGTTAGCACGTGCGCGCTGCAGATGGTGTTGACCTCGTTCTTGAACTCGTCGCCGTGCTTGTCGGCGAGGTACTTGAGGTGGTAGAGGGCGCCTTCGACGTAGCTGGGTGGGGGGGGGGGGTTAGTTGGGTACTCTGAGACGTGACGGGTCTGGGTGCGAGCGACCTACCCCTTGATGCAGCTGCCGAGTGACTCTTTGGCGTAGCCGTCGTTGTGGTAGGGCCAGATGGCGAGGGGGTTCACGTCGATGGTCCAGGCGGCCCCGAGGACGTCGGAGAGCTGCTTCTCCAGGTCGGCCTTGCTGTTGTCCCACTCGTCCCGGACTGGGGGGCCGGTGTCAGCATCTTGAGTTGCCTCGAGGGAGGCATCGATATCTTACCGTTCTTGCGCAGGGCAAGGGGCAGCTTCTCGGCAGGAGGAAGGCGGGCCATGGTGATAGATTGGTAGTCGAGATGGTTAAAAGTTAAAGTCTGGGAGGGTCGAGGAACAGGTGCTTGATGAGGACGGACAAGAGGTCATGGTGGGAACAGCTGCCTCTTTATAACTTTCTGTATCCGCAGCTCAACCATCACTAGCAAGTCCTTCCGTGGTTTCCGATCACCACGTCAACCTCGCTCCGATGTGAGGCTGAGGTACCCCCTGCCAGGGACGGAAAGGCTGTCCCCCATACACAACCGCTCTCACCAGCCGCCGTGCCTTTGCCGAGCGTAACTTGGCGCATACTGTAGCACCCCTGAACCTCCGCAACACTTGTCGTGTTAGGAAAGTTCAAGCGGATGCCGGGGTATCGAGCGAGTCACAGAACGGCTCAACAGCCTCGCGTCGGAAACAAGTCCACCGATGTGGGAGGAGCAAATGAGAAACTGCCTTCGGTGCCCAGTTCCTGCGCGGGGCTGCCGCGGCTAGCTGGTGATAGTGTGATGCGGGAGGGGGACACATGCAGGGGAAGTGCCGGCACGGAGGAGACTCCGTCGGCTGCGCAAGAGCTGAGCCACAAAGAGGCTCCGGAAGGCTCCTGGACGTTTGTGAGGGAGCCCTTGCCTAGTATCTTGTACCATGCCCTCGTATGTACACTATGTACGCACATAGTCAATCCGAGTCACAACAAGGGGACTAACACACTCAAACTGACTTAGGAGGCTGGCGAGCTGTTCGGCGGGAGTTCGCCTCGCGGGTTGCCCATCTCTGCCAAGAAACACCCCCGCGTCCAGCTGAGCGCCTCATCGAGACTAAACCGTCAGGGGTTCCACACCCCTTTGGCGGGGACCGTTTACCCGCCCAAAGCTGAGACAATGATGTTAAAGGAACGGGTTGTTTGGGAGCCGCACGAACGGTGGGCTTCTCAAAGCTTTCCTCTCCACTCCTGAGTCCAGGAATACGACCCCAAGCATGCCTTCACTGTAGGCAGCAACACCCTCATCCGGTCGGGACAACAAGCTAACTCAACCCACAGACCGCTCAAAGCCCAAGTGGGCATCCGTGACCACTGGACCAAGACAGACAGCCCCGTCCAGACCTCACTCCGCGAGCTGCAGGAGCTGCTCGGCCGCACGGTCGTGGTGGAGCCAGAATGGCCGCTCCTCGTCGCCGAGCTCGATACCTTCTACGCCGACAAGACCAACCTCGTCGCCGCGGTTGCGGGCTGTATCCGGGTGTGGGCAAAGAGCATGGCGGAGCTGCTCGATGACGCGGCACACGCCGATTGGGCCGAAGAGATCGTTGTGAAGGCCAGCGTGAGGATGAGCGTGTTCATAGAAGTCAACACCTCGGCCAACGCGGCCACGGCGTGGTCGGAGCAGCGCGGCGGATTCGTGGTCAGCTTGCCAAAGAAGCAGGTATATCAACCGACAGAGCTATTCCCTATCTTTCGGCAGGAGCTGCTGGCGTGTTTCGTCAAAAAAGAGAGGCTCCAGCTGCCGGAAAGCAAGGCGGTAGCGGGGGCAGATGACTGGGAAGGCGTCGAGCTCGACAAAACCACGGGCAAGGTGGAGGTGATTGAAGCTCCGACAAGAACCCTGGCGTCAAGACCCGAGCTCGAGTTCATGCCTGATGTGGCCTCCCTACCGCGCCCCGACCAACTCTTCCTCCGACCACCCTACCATCTCACCCTGTTCCCAGGCCGCCAGAAAATCGAGATACAGGGCAGTCATAGCCCGAGCTTAGAATTCCTTGCGGCGTATCTAAAGCGATGGTGCCGACTAAACCACGCCGACACGAGGAATGTATGTGACCAAGTTGCTCATCCACCCTTGCCTCGAGACCATGCTAACGGAGACCGTGCAGCCACCTGCCGTCCAGATAACGCTACACCAGTCCGCCTTTGGGTTAGGCGAAATGTTTGACCGCTTGACGCTTAACACCGAGGCAACAAGGTACACCAACGGGTTTACTGTAACGTCCCCGATGATTGTATCCCTCATCGAGGGAACGTTGGGGTACAAGTTGATCTCGACGGAGGGCGGATGGAACTTTCGAAGAGATACGGAGTTCAAGGCATTGTAGCTTTGCGCGGCGGTTCTCTGTCTCCCTCGAGGTTGTGGGACTAGACAGAGCGGATGTACCGTCACGAATCTCCCCCGTAGCTACCTTTCCCCCCGACCTTAGGTCCACACGCATGCGGTAGTCGCCGTGGTTGTCCCCCTCTACTCCAGGCCTGAGGTGCCGCCCAAGGGATCGTACTCGAGGACAATGATTTCGTCGGTGAAGAGGCGTTGAGGTGGCATGGAGCGGTCTCATCCAGGTATCTAGGGCGGTATGCTGTTTGAGATTCCGGTCTTGAAGTCGTTCGATCACAGGGCATCTTTCATCCCTTGTCCTCCGGGCAACCCAGATATCCCAGACGAATGCATCTCGGCGGCATCTCAAGTCGCCCACTGGTCAATCCAGCGGGTTTCGAAGTGCAAATGGACCATAAAGTCGGGGTTTTTATCGATTCGTGGTAATACCCGAGGTTTGATGAGAATTTGGATTCCGTCCGAATTCGAAATATGTTCTTCTCTCGAGGTATGTCGTGGATGTCAAGTCGCGTAGAATACAAGGTCGGCTGGCTGATGTGGATCGAGCTCGGCTTCCACCACAATGTTTCAGCGAGCACCGAGCGGCAGAATTGGAAGGAAGCCCGGCTTGGCGGCAGCTCGAAGCCCGCGGCTTTCCGTGCCTGCCGGCCAACGTTGCAGACGTCACAGCCTGCGGGAAGTTACACCAAGCCCTTTCTAGACTAGCGCAGGCAGGCTTCTCAGCGCCGACCCACAAGTCCGGGAACATGGAGACGAAAAGAGCTCGAAGCGACCAACAAGGCAGGCGCAGACAATTGCACAGGTTGTTTTCTGTTTTGCGGCATTTGACCTGTGACAACCTTTTCTGGCTTCGTCTTCTTCACGCCTGCACCACCTCGACAGCCTCGTAGAGCACCCTTAGGTCACCTCATCCCCACCCAATTGCCCAAGATGCTGTCCCGCAACTCTGCCCGCACTGCCCAGGTATGTTTTACGCCATGAGCTGATCGCTGATCCCTTGTTGTTCCCCCCAACCACCAAAAGATCCCCGCCATCGCCAACTCGCCAACCCGCCAATGTCTCTAGAACTGCGGACTGAGAACTGAGAACGGAGCGAACACATTTGCTAACCCGCTCTCTTTCTCCAGCGCCTCCTTAGGGCCGCTGCCCAACCCCAGCAACGTCTCAACGTTGCGCGCACCTTTGCTAGCGTCAGCGACACCCCCGCGCAATCCCTCCAGTCCGACCTCTTCAAGCCCACCAAGTACGGTGGCAAGTACACCGTCACCCTCATCCCCGGAGACGGCATTGGCGCCGAGGTTGCCGAGAGTGTCAAGGCCATCTTCAAGGCGGACAATGTGCCCATCACATGGGAGCAGATCGAGGTGTCAGGTCTGCAGGACGCAACCCCCACGGGCCGCACAGAGGAGAAGTTCCAGGAAGCCGTTGCTTCGCTCAGGCGAAACAAGCTAGGTCTGAAGGGCATTCTGCACACCCCCATCACCCGGTCCGGCCACCAGAGCTTCAACGTCGCCCTGCGCCAGGAGCTCGACATCTATGCCTCGGTCTCGCTGGTCAAGAACATCCCCGGCCTGAAGACGCGCCATGACAACATCGACCTCTGCATCATCCGTGAGAACACCGAGGGCGAGTACAGTGGTCTCGAGCACCAGAGCGTTCCCGGCGTCGTCGAGTCGCTCAAGATCATCACCCGGGCCAAGTCGGAGCGCATCGCCAAGTTCGCCTTCAGCTTCGCCCTTGCCAACAACCGCAAGAAGGTCACCTGCATCCACAAGGCCAACATCATGAAGCTGGCCGACGGTCTCTTCCGCGGCACCTTCAACAGGCTGGCCAAGGACTACCCGCAGCTGGAATGCACTGACATGATCGTCGACAACGCCTCTATGCAGTGCGTCGGCCGGCCCCAGCAGTTCGACGTCATGGTCATGCCTAACCTGTACGGTGGCATCCTGTCCAACATTGCCGCCGCGCTTGTTGGCGGCCCCGGCGTCGTTCCAGGGTGCAACATGGGCCGTGACGTCGCCGTCTTCGAGCCTGGTTGCAGGCACGTCGGTCTTGACATCAAGGGCAAGGACCAGGCCAACCCCACCGCCCTTCTCCTCAGTGGCACCATGCTGTTGCGTCACCTCGGCCTTGATGACCACGCTAACCGCATCTCCAACGCCGTCTACGACGTGATTGCTCAGGGGTAAGTCGTGCCGCCTCAACGTATTGTATTGCGGTACACAACATGTTCTAACGCCTCCAATAGCAATGTCCGGACCCCCGACATGGGCGGCCAGGCCACCAACCAAGAATTCACCCGGGCCATTCTCAGCTCGATGGAGAAGGCTCTCTAAACACATCGACATCGCTAGACAAGCATGATTCGTACAGCAAGTGTATATACCCGATTGCGCTGTGCCCTCACAACTTCGACCTCATCCTAAACCCGAACTAGAGTGCCCGGTAGGCACCTCCTTGGACCATAGCGTAGGGCAGGAAGGTAGAGAGGGCAACGGGCATCATAGACTGGACAAGGAGGAGGCCGGGTGGAAGGCGGCGGAGAGGGGCGGACAGGGGCAGAAGGGCGCATGCGATGGACACCATGTACTGTATGTGTATATGAGAATGGCGGCCGTGGGACAGGCACCTGAACTTTCCTATGTGTTGCCACGATAATGATGTGAATGCTATCTTCGTCTGGGAACCAACCTGTCGCCAATTTGCCTGCCACGCCCCTGACAGTGTCTCATCAACCCAGCCTCCCAGCAAAGGCAACAACCACCGCACACTCCTCCTGAGAATGAAATCCTCCGGTGCATTCTTCTCCGCCCCACCGGCTTCGGGCCTTCCCGACGTGTTTTGTCCAAGAGCGGACCCTTCACGGCCGGTTTTGGCGTTGCCTCCGAGCTACAGAACGGAGAACCGCCGGAGCTATCGGCCTCAAGTGGGTCTTCGGTCTGGATGGGCCGAGCCGACGCTGCAGCCAAGATCCGACCGAGCTTGGCGTGAGGTCGGTTGGTGACCGGGGGGGTCTGCCGGGGTGCGGTCCGTTGGACTGGGAGGGCTTGCTTCTCGGGCCGCGGTTGAGGCGCTCGGGGGAGAACGGGGTTGGAGGTGAGGAGAATGCCCTGCATTGAGGCTCAACTTGGGAGTCAGCCGAGTCGCCCAGAGCCTCATTGTCTACAAGTATGCTGCCTTGGGCGAATGTCAGTTTCTTAAACCAAGTAGACAAACCGACAAACCGAACTTCCTAGCTAAACGGCGGGCGTCCCTCCTTTCAGTCCTTCCCATTCAACTCAGCAACCCCTTTTGCAGCTTTGGACTTGAATCGGAATAGTTTGCCCTTAGACCTACAGTTAGTGGCCATTGAACTAACTTTGGAGACTAAGGCCGCAGTCATGAGCTCTAGTTTGAGCTTCCTTACTATTCAAATCTCGCAACAAGACTTGTTTTCGAAAGCTGTTCTTCTTCGAGCATGATGCGCTTGATTTAACCAACTGAAATTCGAACCGTGTCTATTCTGAGAGCCCGGCCGCGTCGTGTCGATGAGATTATACGAGGCAGTTCTGTGGTCATCCTATGAAATTCTTAAAACTCGGTTGTTGAAACGTCGACAACGGGTAGTGTGATTATTATCTGTGGATGTTGCTAGCAAGCCAACAAACCCCAAGAGCAAAGCACTCTGTGAACCGTGTGCTTGGTCCCACTACACCCGAAAGGGGCTTGGTTGAACGCAAGTAATTTGTACCTGGTGCCCGCACGGCAGGTTTAAATACTAAATGCACGAGTCATGGTTATCACTGTGCACACCAAGAGCTACTCAGTTAATACGGCGTTGGCGGCTGCCGCGGTAAACAAGAAAGTGTCTCAGCCGCTACGGGTATGCATCTGCATGCCGAGAGAGCCTTAGTCGGCTGATGTGTGCATATTCCTGCAGTAGTTTGGCAATTCCTGGTTTGTTACTGGTTTTAATCTATCCAGCGGGGGAATCGCTTCAGTTTTTGCATACATCTTCTCAACGACCGGTTGAAACGGCAACGGGATCCAAGCTCGTGGCAACGTTTTCCTGATCTATTGGATATCACAGCACAAGCATGGCCAACCCCAATGCGTCGCAAAGTGAAAGCCAATGAAGGGGCCCCGCAGAGACGGTCGGAAGTGGGCGATCGGAGATAGGATAGGCGCTCCATGCACAAGGTGAGATGTTACATTGGAAAGAGTTAAGTGGCACAACTCGCCAACCTATCCATGTCTCACTTCAGCGAACCAGGTGCAGGACAATGTCATCGGGCGCCGTTGTATATGGGGACCCAGCGAGGTGAAGTGGTGGAGCATCAATGTTGGAGGCTAGAGAATACCGGCCGTGAGGAGAATATATAATAATGACCGTTGCACTTCTTGGAAGCCGGACCAGCCCTCTATGTCACTATGAGGTGACTCGAGAGAGGATATCAAGTGCAGTAACCTAAAAGCCTGTAGTGAGTTGCAACAATGAGCGGCAACATTGCTGTTACCGGCGTTCCCACCACCCCCGACGTAGATGGTAAGCTGGTCTCCTTGCCACAACCAGTTGACCCGTTCTGTTCCTGACATCCGAATCCGATAGGAGCTGTGCCTCTCCGCCGGGAGTTGCGGGAGCTTCAGCGCAATTTCCCCGAACAATACAATCTCTTCATCTTGGGTCTCAAAAACCTCCAGAGGCAGGATCAAAATATCTTGACCTCGTACTACCAGATCGCCGGGATCCATGGCATGCCGTACAAGCCTTGGAACGGAGTGGGTAGTAACACCAACTGGCGGAGCACCAGCGGCTTCGGGGGTTATTGCACGCACTCGTCCATCTTGTTCTTGACCTGGCATCGGCCATACCTCGCACTCTATGAGGTGACTTCCTACATGACCACCAACCCATACGCCGGGGACTGACAACGGACAGCAATCACTGTACAACGCCGTCCAGGAGGTTGCAAAGAGGTTCCCCCGAGGAGCCCTGCGTGACAAGTACCTCGAGGCAGCCAAGACCTTCCGCGCCCCCTATTTCGACTGGGCAATCCAGCCCCCGCGGGGGACCCCGGCCTTTCCGAGTGCGCTCACATCACCCAAGGTCCAAGTGGTTGACGTTGACGGCAAGACGAAATTCGTCAGCAATCCTTTGTACCGGTTTGTCTTCAACCCGGTGAATCCATCGCCGGGGGACTTCTCGCGGCGGGTAAATCGACCCCGACCGCCTTCAGCGCACCCAACCCACAAGCTGATTTCGCATCTAGTGGAGCCGGTACAGAACGACGGTCCGATATCCTCATAAGGTGACAGGCCGGTCACGGGATTCCCGCGTCTCGCCCATCCTAGCCAACGAACTGGCCTCGCTCCGTAGCAACGTCAGCACGTTGCTGCTGTCGTACACCGACTTTGACTCCTTCAGCTTCAACGGATGGGACCCATACACCAAGCCGAGCCAGTTCGGCAGCTTGGAGGATGTCCACAACGAAATCCACGACCGAACAGGCGGGAATGGCCATATGTCGTCTCTTGAGGTCTCGGCGTTCGATCCGTTCTTCTGGTTGCACCACTTGTAGGTCTCTCCCGGTATAGTGGTAGACCTGTTGCTGACCGTCGTGCCCAGCAACATCGACCGCCTCTGGGCTATCTGGCAGGAACTGAACCCCGACAGCTACATGTCCCTGCATCCTGCGCCATATGCCACATTCAACGCTGCCGATGGCGAGTCCCAAACCAGAGACACGCCACTCAAGCCCTTCTGGGACAAGTCCGGCTCCAAGTTCTGGACATCCAGCCAGGTCAAAGACACGCACACTTTCGGGTACGCCTACCCCGAGACGCAGAAATGGCGCTTTCCGGACCAAAAGTCGCACCAAACCGAGATCCGCCGCACGGTCGTCAACCTGTACGGCACCAACGTGTTCGCCGACTTCCTCGCCAACGTCGCGCAGCGCAAGGAGGAGCACGCTCTCGCAGCGGCGGCGGGCGGTAAACCAGCCGCTGAACCCGCAGCACCGCCCCCTCCAAATCCCGAACCCACCCAACAAGAGGAAGGCGAACCATTAACAGGCAAGCAGCTCCCCGCCCCCCCCTTCTCCCCTTTACCAACCCACACACTGCCGACTAACCACCCACCCAGCCCCCGCACCACCCCCAACCATCCCCCCTTCCCTGCAACACCTCGCCCCGGCCAACACCTACACCGAATGGGTCGTCAACATCCGCGCCCAGAAGCACGGCCTCGGCGCCCCCTTCCGCATCCTCGTCTTCCTGGGCGCCTTCGACGAGAGCGACCCGTCCAGCTGGGACAGCGCGTTCAACTGCGTCGGGAGGGTGTCTGTGCTGGGGCGGGCTGGGGGGCGGAGTGGGAATGGAGGGCAAGGGACGCGGTGTGCAAGGTGTAGGACGCATGCGGTGGGGGGGTTGATGGTTTCGGGGACGGTGCCGTTGACGTCGGCGGTTTTGCAGGATATTGTTGGGGGTGGGGTTGATGATGGTGTGGGGGGTGAGGATGGGGATGGTGGTGGTGATGGGGTTGGGGTGGCGAGTCTGGAGGCGGTGGATGTGGTGCCGTATCTGAGGGAGAAGTTGGCGTGGCGGGTGACGCTGTTTGATGGGGAGGAGAGGAGCGCGGCCGAGGTGCCCGGGTTGAAAGTCAGTGTTGCGTCGACACAGGTGACGATTGGGGAGGATGGGTTGCCGAATTATAGCGGCGAGTATCGAGTCTGGCCGGAGATTACGCAGGGGAAGCCGGGTGGGTTGGGCGTGGGCGAGCACATTTAGACGGCGAGGGTCAAGGAGACGGCGTCCAGGGGTCGATGCGGGATACATCGCGCTTGTAGAACCAGGCCAGAAGACAACAAGACGCAAGATGCTAGAAGAAATGGGTATCAGATTGTGTCAAGAAAGAAAGAATATAACAGGCAGTGTATGTGTTTTTGTCGCCAGACCCGGAACGCCCCTTGAGATGCAGCCCCCAAGCAAATTGTAGAAAAGAAAGGAGGGCAGAACTAAAACTGGATCCGTCTTTTCCGCCCGGTGAACTTGGACGTGGACTTGACGATCTTGCCCTTGCGCTCCATCTGTTCCTTTTTCTTGATGATCCACGCCTTGCTGCCCTTCTTGATATCGCCCTTCCCGGTCTTGCTCTTTTTCCGGTGGTCCATTACATCCACGTTGTCCATGCCGTCCACGACACCCGTGATGTCACCGCCCTTGTTGGCAACCGCGCTGCTGCCCACGGTCAGCACGAGGTAGACTTTGACGTTCTTCGTTTCCGGGTCATCCTCGAGGAGACCGGCGCCGAAGCCGGCCTTGACGGCGGCTGATGTGATCATTTGTTTTTGGATGTCGTTCTTGGGGTAGAACTGGCAGACGGCCATGCCGCCCCGTTTCAGTGACGCGTAGAGGCCATTGAAGAATCGCGATAGGCGGCCAGCCGGGGATGTCTCGCTGTTTTCGGCGTTGCAGAGCCATTGGATGGCGCTGATGCTAATGGCAGCGTCGAATGTGCCCGCCCGAAATGGTACGCCTTGCCCGATGTCCGCAAGGAACAGGTCACCCTCCACATCACGTTGGAGCGCCACGTCCAACATGGAAGCGCTAACATCCATCCCTACCCACACATGGGGCCCTCCCTCATCCTCGGGAACCCCCGAGAGGATCTCGCCCGACAGCCCGCTTCCGCACCCGACATCGAGGATCAAGCTTGGTGATTTGAGGTCGAGTAGCTCAAGAGCGCGCTGGGTCATGGAGGCCTGGATATTTTGAATACGGGAGCTGGTCGTGTATTTGCGTGCCTCGACATCGTCGTAGTGGATATCGGCCGCGCTGTCGTCGTGTCAGTTGCGGTGAGGGCGAGCGGGGTGGACGAAATTACTCACAGGGTGTCTTCGGGCCGTGACATGTTGACGAATGGCTTCGTAACAAAAAGGGAGAATTATGTATTATGGGGAACTGGGATTGATTGGGGCACCGAAATATGGGCAGGTTCACCAAAGGCTGTCGCAGTTCGCGACCCCGAATCCAGGAATTTTGAAGCGTGGTGGGGCACTTTTTTGAGCAACCACCTTGGGGGTAGCTAACACTGTGAGAGTAAACCTTCGCCGTGGTGCGGATGGACCGGTCGGAACCAGAGCAGACAAATCAACGGCTTTCCAGTGTTTAAGGATGCCCCTCGGCTCTTGTGCCTTGACTCCTCGCTTGGTGCTTCCTCCCACCAGAATTCTGTTGTGGGCGATAAGGCGATCAAAATCTAATCTTATCGATAACGAAAACACCCGTGCGGAAGTCCGGGATCAACAATTAGCCGAATCCGGCCTTCGCGAACGGGCCGGCGGGCATCAATTGTGGACACGCTTCCATCCGGAGACGTCATGAACCTTGCCAGTGAGCGGCATTCGCAAGTGCTCAGCCTTCCATCCAATGGCTGCCAAGACGCGGCTGCCGATCCCCTGAATGCATCAATTGGCCACGCAGCCAGCTTCCACCTCCGTGGACCCTGATTCTCTCCTTTAACCTCCCACTATCTAGTTATCATGACATGGTCTTTTCTGGCTTCTAGCTTGAATTAACGAATCCCGCCAAAATGTGGATTTTACCGCTGGTTGGCTATCTCGGCTCTGCCGTGGGCTTTTGCTTCATGACGCTAGCCATAGGTGCGTTCCCAACTTTAAACCCAAGTGGAAACAAACGGTGCCTGCGCGGGGGCGTTTGGAAGTTCTGCGCGCGATGCGATTGCGATGCGATTACGATGCTGACCCGTGTGCGCGCCAATAGCATCTGGCCTTTACTACCTATCCGAGATCGTCGAAGAACATACCGTGATTGCGAAGCGCCTCCTCACAAAACTGATTTACTCCATCATGGTCCTACAACTGATCCTCTGCGTCGTCGACCGTTTCCCCTTACTCCCCACCGCTCTGGGTATCTTCTCCCACTTCATCTACCTCGGAAACATGCGGCGATTCCCCTTCGTCAAGCTCACGGACCCGCTCTTCTTGGCTTCATGTGGTAGGTAGCCTGTATTGCCGCGCGACGGGGTCAGGCAGAAGTTGACAAGAGCCGCAGTTCTCGTTCTCGTGGACCACTACGTTTGGTTTAAGCATTTCTCCCACCACCAGGAGCGCGCTTACCAAAACATGGCTTCGTACTACGACACCCCCGACGACGTGCCCTCGTTCACCGAAATCGCCTCCTACTTCGGCTTGTGTGTCTGGCTCGTCCCGTTTGCGCTGTTCGTCAGCCTCTCGGCGAGCGACAACATCCTTCCGACCATGGGTAGCGAGCCGTCATCATCTTCTGGGTCGGCGGGGATAGACACTGGGATGGCAAGGAGGCGTGGGCAGGGAATGGCAAAGGCGCTGGTTGACAACATCCGCGGGGCGATCGCGGAAGGGAGTGCTCTGGTTGGGTGGAAGAAGCCAGAAGATCGGCTTTAAGGGGCATGTTCACTCTCATTTTTGTGTCAGGACTGTTGGACGGGGCATATGAACGATCGTGTTTTGGCTGGCTTGATAGGAGTGAGTAAGTCTCGCCTTCCCACCATTTCCCCTACTGGAAAACAAGCTAACCACCTTTGTCACAGAAACCTCATCCCCACTGTACCATGATACCCACGGGTAGAACCCAAGCGTTGCATTCCCACCTGCCATCCCCCCTACCTCGCATTGCCATCCTGACCCTATCTCCGCGCACCACCACTCAATTTGCTGCCCGCCTCCTCCAGGGTCGCCAGGAGCGACGCCCTCCTCCCCGACGACTCACCGCGCTGTCCCGCGCTGTCCCTCCTCACGCACTCATAGAAGCTGGACGTGCGCCGCACATTCTCCTCCGTCAGCCTCAGCCCCCCGGAAGAACTGACGCCCCTTCCGGAAGACGACGAGCCCGACCCCGAGCCCAGCACGGCGGCAGTAGTCGTCGACCCGCGCTCCTGGGCCTTTGCGGTGTACCCCGCCGACGCCGCGTTGGGATCCGATGGCCCTTGCCCCGCGAAGGCGCCGCGGTACCGCCGCTTCACGCCGGACCCTGCTGACTCGTACCGGCCGCCGTCCCAGTGCGCCTCGGGATGGGAGACGGTTGCCGCGGGCCGGGAGGAGGAGGAGCTGCCGCTGAAAGCGTTAGGGGTCGCGAGCCGGAGTGGGAGGGTCCCTTCCGTGTGGTGGTGTCGTCCGTGGGAAGGGGCGTCCGTGGGCCGGGAGAATTGTTCGTCGTCCAGAAGACCGGTGCCCTCGTAGGGATTGCGGCGGTGGCTCCTGCTGCGGGATGCGGTGCGATGGTGCCCGGTGGTCTCCTCGTGGGCGGGGGTGTGGATGAGTTCGGACAATGCCGCGGTTGGGTGGTCAAGGGGCATGATGGAGGAGGGGGAGTATGTGAACTGCGTGTTGTTGGGGGTCGGAGCCATGTCTCTGTTTGGTGTGGTATTGGTGTCTCGGTGGGTAGGTTGTTGTTTTCTCGTCACAGACAACGGTTTCAGAGGACGGTTACGTTGCCAAACCACCTATTTATCTCCCTTTTCTCCTGGCATCACCCGCCGAAAGCCGATCACCGCTCTCCGCCTTGGCACGGCCCGTCCTTGTTTGCCCGTGGCACATGCTCCCCGCAACGTTCGTTGACGTGTTCCGCGAGCGGAAAGCTGCAGCCTTCGTGTGGCCATGTCGGTACCAACCGTACCAGCAAACCGAGGAGTCATCCGCGGGCCTGGCCCGGCTGCGGTTGCTCCCGCGATGCCCTGCCCCTCCGCTCCACCGAAGGCTCGGGAGAATACCGCCAGTGCCGGCATTGGTGAGAGCCTAACGTGTGAAACCAGTCGGGTGTTTTGCCCTGTCGTGGTTGTTGGTGTCTGGTTTGTTTGAACATGATGAGCAGCGCGGTCTCCATCTTGGCGGCCTGCGGGCTCGCCCGGTCCTCTTCCCATTGGCCCGGTATGCGGTACCGGTAGTGATTGCCGGAGGTTGTGGCCGGCGGGTCGGTACCTCTCTTGTCCGCCTCACTTTTCTCATGCCCGGGCTCGGTCGGCATGTCATGTTTGCTCTGTGGCGGCCCCACGTTCCGCAGTCAGGGCATGAGACTAGTGCCAAAACAGGAGCCCCGAAGATGAACAATCACCATCTTGTCGACTTGCTCTTGCCCATTCCCAACTTCGGCCTGTCATGGGTGCATATTCATTCTATTCAAATCTCTCACCGCAGACCAGTTACAACAGATCAAGCCATGATCCAAGGGCATGTCATGAAAGTCGGTTCTAGTTGGGGGAGAGATCATTGCCATAAGCGGTTCGTGGGCTCTGTTTCATACCCGTTTCCGGGTTGTGGCTTAAAGTGTACAATCCCTAAACGGCCAGACGGCGTCGGAGGTGCCCAAGGGCGCCGCAGCCTCCTCGTCACTCTTGTCCTGCGTGACACCGCGGCATTCGCATGCACTTCCCCACTCTTCTTATCGAATAGGACGTGGGCAGCCTGCAAGTTACCCTCTCACCCATTCTTGGGTTGGTGGGTTTAAACTTAGTGCCTTTGTTGATCAAGATCCGGCACAAGGCCTCTTGTACCAGGACTCATACCCGGGAACCCGGAAGCTGGAGCGCCTTGTGAGCCTACCAAGCAAAAAAGCCATGACTCAAGCCGTCGAGGCCGTGGCGGACCTCCCACTTGGTGTGACTTAGGAAGACGCACCGCCCATAGAACGTATGGCCCTCTCGCCCCTCTCGACTTACGTTGGTACTTGTCCTGGGAAGGCCCAAGTGTAATAACCGTGACCATGCTCACCGCTCCTTGCTTAATGCAGTATCACCATATCCTCAGATATTTCCTTCGGGCAGTGGCCTGCTTGCCTTCCGATGGTTACCAGAAGCCTCACTTCTGAACGACACTTGAAGACCCCGGACGTCGTCCCACCAAACAGTCCACACATAAGGCCTCTTCGTGCCGTCATATAACCACAAATCATCCCATGGTACGCCACACTTTGTCCGCTTAAATCAGGAATATCTAACCGGTTACAATTTCACCAAAAGCCCAACCTTGGCCGGGCCGGAGCGGCATTTTAATTCCGAGAATGACTCAACGCTTAGGTAGGTTACCGTAGGTAGGTACTTACGGTACCCACCACCGCCGACTGACCGAGGTGATATCCGTCGATAGGTAGGTTAGCCCTCCACAATAACCCCTATAAACGATCTTGAACGTGCTAGCCTGGCTAAACGTGTGGTCTTGTCATTCCAACCTCGTCAGGGCTAGCGTTTGTGGTATTTCTTGTGGCGCTAAGAGGGGGGATTGAAAAGAGGACCATGTTGAGACTTCGTCACCGAGCCACACTCAACCATGTCATTGACAGATCATGAAGTTGGCCCAGCAAAAAAGGAGTAAGGTGATATATGATGGAGTGTAACATGACTCAAAAAGCAAGGCTTCCTCAATTTGCCCACAACCAGAATCGAACTAGTGACCTTGTCATAGATAATCTCGTCGAGATACTAGTGACACGCTCTACCACTGAGCCATGCGGGCGTTGATTGGTTGTGGGAACATTAACCTTGCTTTTAGCCGAACAGCAGTCAGCGCAGGACAGCCGTCTGGAGAAGTTCAGGAGTGTCTTTCGAGGTCCTTAGCGTTAACCCATCAGTTCCCGGTCCCATCATATTGGGTCTCCTTGTTATATCCTTCAAGCCCTTAGTCGACACCCTCCCCTATTCTGCCTGCCTGTGTAAGTGTTCCACCCGAGACTCCAACCGTTCAGCATCCACTGCGAGTTACTACTCCTGTCCTTCCGCCCTCGCGTGGCTCAAAGTCCCCTGCATGTGTAGGTCTGCTGATGTTTCAGTGTATGCGTAACATGGCGGTTTGTCTTTCCATCCCTCTACCCCGCTCGACACTGTTGCAACGGGCCCGGGGCTCGCTGCATTTGTTTGTGCTCCGTCGCCGTTGAACGTTCGGGGAGTCGGGGTTGCATATGGCGATGATGGTACGCGAGGAGGGCCAGGGCACTGTAGGTGTACCACAAAGGGATGGCGGTGTGGCCGGTGTGTCTCGTGGGGTTGAACGGGGAGACAAGCGGGAAGATGGTCTGTATGTGGGGGAAGGTTTGGGTTCTTGTGATAGAATGCTCAAACTTGCTAATATAGACAGCACGGGGAGCCGAGCAAGATGACGGGGGGACTTTTACAGGATATCAACGAAACATACAGGAAGCTCATAGTCGCAGGCTTATCTCCAAGCAGGTTTCTTTCGGGTAATATTCAACAGTGAGATGGGGCTGCCTTACCTGTTAATTGTCCTGGTCTTCGTACATGCCATAGTTGGTTCAGGTTATCTCGGGTCTCCTTACTAACTAGTGGAGCGAAAAGGATAATCTTGCTACTTACTAGCTTGGTGGCCTGATAGCGACTATATGAACAATTGCTATTTGGGCTAGGCTAATTCCAAGATACGATGGTTGAGAAACCCTTTTAGTGTTGAGCATCCTGCTACGAATACTAAGGTAATGGTAAGGGATGGTTGCGGCACATTGTAATAGGGGTACTTCACCTAAACACGCATCGTCATCCAATATAATGATGCAACACTTTATATGCTCCAGACGATGTAGGGGGGCTCACATTAATTCTCCTTTACTATCTTCCAAATTAGCATCACATGAGAAAGCAAGACGACCTAGGGGTTCGTTTACAGTACATCGGGTGCTCTTGGTCAGCATCACTCAGACGCCGGGAACATTATTGGCGAATCTGGCAATCCGCCGAGTAATTAGATCGAAACAGCAAAGATATCGGAAGCCAACAAACAACTATAAATCCATCTCCTGGGTATAAGAGCCCTCGCGGGGCAGAAGCCACCTTTTTCTTTTCCGGCCCCGGGATAAGAAAGCAAACCAGGGCGATCCAGGATCAAGAAAGGACTGTAAAAGAAATAGAGAATGACCAACCACAGAACGCCGAACAACACCACCTCCCCCCATCCTCCCGTTTTACACCACCCGCCACGTGCGTCAACCACCATCGCCATCCTTCAAAGGGACCCGCCCCGAATAACCCGCACGTTCGCCACCCGCGGCATGGTAGCCAGCTCCCGATTCTCCGGGATACTCCCGTCATGACTCCGAAACCCCGGCCCCGACAGCGACAAACCAACCTGCTTCCCCCTATCATCATACCCACCACCACCACCACCCCCGACACCACCACCACCACCACCACTCAACCGTCTCGCCCTCCCCCCGCCACACCAAAACCCCCCGCACCCCCTCCCCCTCCTTCTCGCCTCCACCCACTCCTCCCTTAGGATATGCCAGCTCGTCGCCGCGAAAATAATCGCATTCCACAGCCCCTGCAGCGGCAGCACGATGGCGCTCGCCAGGTTGAGGCCGTAGGAGGTGCGGGACGGGTAGGCGAGCGAGTAGACCCGGTTGATGCTGCTGGGCGTCCAGGTGACGAGGATGGAGAGGGCGAAGACGAAGGAGGTGCGCAGGTAGGCGAGCTTGATGGGGTCGAGGGTGGAGAGCTTGCGCTGGAACTTGTGCCGGGCGCGGGTGAGGCCGGTGGGGAGGTTGGTGTGGTGGTGGTTGGGGTGGTTGCACGTGTTGTTGTTGTTGTTGTTGTGGTGGGGGTGGGGCTCGGAGGTGATGGTTAGGGTGGTGGTGAAGGGCGCGTGGTGGTTGTTGCCGCTGCTGCTGCCACCGCCGTGCGTGTGGTGGTTGCTGTGGGTGTGGCCGCGCACGACGCGGGTGGTGGAGGAGGTGGGGCCGCTGCTGTCGTAGTTGTTGTTGTCGTCGTCGTCGTCGGGTGAGCCCCAGGGAGCGTGAGCTCCGGCGGTTGAGGGTCGGTTCAGGACTGGGGCGATGGAGCCGGCTGGAGTGGAGGGCGGTGTTGGGCTGCCGGAGGACTCGGCCGTGATTTGCACCTCGGTTGTTACGGTGCCGTAGCATTGCTGTTCCTGGTAGTGTCGAGGTCTGAGGTCAGCATGGGTTCAAGTTCAGAGGGGGAGGGTGGTGTTGCAATTGTATGATGGGTTCGACATGACCGGGATCAAGCGCACCTTTTCCGACTCCTTGCGTTCCGCACAGTAGGTGTCCCTTGCCGGGTTGCTAAGCGTCAAGTTGCGCAGCTGGTTGCGGTGGTGAAACACGTGGTACCCGACGGCCACGTAGATGGCGCTCGATAGGAGAATGCACGTCCAAATCGGCAGGTAGTAGGTGAATATCCGGAGTTGATTGTACGCGTCATTGATCCAGCACCACATCTACCAAGGCTGTCAGTGCTGGGAGTATTAGGCTCGCTGGCACCCGGGTCACGTACCGTGGCATTGCCGTAAATGCGCTCCCCACCCGGTGCATAGATGAGGCAGATGAAGGCTGGGACTGCGGGTATGCCAAAGCAGATGAGGCAATAAAGCCAGAGGTGCTTGTGGAATCGATTGGGAGGGTAGCTCATGAAAAATACCATGTAGACGTTGACCGCCATGGCGAACGACCACCAGGGATCGGATTGCATGAACCTGAAGAGTGTCAGAGTATGCGCCTACACACGTTGGTGACGGCACTTACATCTCGAGAAGAAATGCTTGAGCCTGGCACAAGACCGATGCGTCCCCGGCCAGGATGCCGCTGTAACCGATAAGACATGCGATGCTGGCTCCGACGTTCGCAATGGAGGCGAAGAAAATGAAGGTATTCGGGACCGTGCGGACCCGGGGGAAGAAGCCATAGGTGATAAAGATGAGGCAGACACCAAACAAGCTTATGGCAGCTCCCAGCCTCTCCACGTGCTGGAGGGTGCCACGCTCCTGGTCGGTGAGATTCATACTGCTTTCCCTTGGAACGATACCCAACCCATCCATAGCGGATGAGGGGGAGGGAGAAAGTTGGCTGAAGGCCGGGAGTGGATCTTAAGATGATATATCACCTCGACGGAGACTCTCTCTTGCGAGTCTGGCTCTGTCGGGTCTGCAAACCTCGGCCAACGGGATTCCTTGAGGTGGCGGCGGCAATGACATGGGCATCCGCTTCCGAAGGCCCATGGAATAGAAGCACCAATAGTTCACCGTCAATCTCGATCTCGATGAACGAATGCTGGCTCCTAGGTTTGCTGCAGCTTGCACCTCGAGAAACCGTCGGCCTGATGTTAGGTGTGCTGCAGGAGTAAATTTCTCCTCCAAAGCCGAGTGCCGTGTTGGATTTGTTGATGTTTGTTCCCTTCTCTGCCACGCCGGTGGCGCCAAAGGCTGATCTAACAGGCGTTGATAAAAGCGAAATAATTCGGTATTGTTGACGAAGGTGGAGTGTTTGGTTTGGTTTGCCTGTGTGTGTTGTTGGAAGTTGGTCGATGGGTGCAGCACCAGATAAAGAGGTTCCAACTATAACTCGCCGTGAATGGCGTTCAAACACGGGGAAGAGACCGGTAAAACCTCGATTGGTTTCTGCATGGGAGTGTAGCAGCTGCACGCCACTTTCTGGAAGCAAACCGGGCCAACGCAGTCAGTCATGTGGCTCCCTCCAAACGTTGATGGGACGGAAGGTCTCTGGGGAAGTTGTCATGCCAGATCAGCGGGGGGCTGCTGGATGGAATTGGTACCGCACTGCAGGTTGCAGACAGACAGCTCACACAATCATGAGTGAGTCCGGTCTCAGTTCAGTAACATCAGAATGGTGTCGGGAGACGTTGCTTGGTAGCTTCCCGAATCGGGTCGTCAGTCGCGTTTCTCCATCAGGTGCCGGCCTGTCACGCCCGAGGGCATACCATGAGCCCATGTCCTCCTCCCTTTTCTGTTTCTGGGCAGACAGAGGGACAGCTCGATATTGCGTGTGCTACTCGACGACATTACTGAGACCTCATTGATTGGGTACTTGCAGGGTCACAGCAGCGTCGTCCTTCCTCACAGCTGCACCTCGATTTCGGGATCTTCCAACGAGGGACTGGGGCAGATAGGTATGCCAGATCGCCGGGACACGCAGCGGACGGGGGTTAACCAGGCACTTAAGATAAAGGTGCAGAGGTGGGGAGCTAACCAGGCCATGTTCCAGTATCAAGCTTAAAATAAGCCCACCGATCGGTCCGTCACTGGAGCAAGATCGAAAGCCCGTTTGCTTGCGGCGTTCTTGGCCGCATGGCCTGCCATGGGGAAATGGTGGCGTGGGATGGGGACTGGCTGAGAGCAAACATTCGACTCTTCAGCCATCTGGCAGCCACCCATCAACGCCTGGAATAGACGGAATATGATAGGCTGGCACAGTGGTATTTGGATGCGGGAAGGTTTCGGCCGTGAACGCCATCTCTGACGGACCATGGTTGGAAGGCCGGGCCGAGCAATCAAGCATATTTACACCTCAGACCCGGCGGGCTCCGGGTTGTGGGCTGAAGAACGAAGTACCTAGCTCGCAAGGTGAGGGTCCATGTGCAGCTTCCTTTTGTTTCAAACTGATTTTACACATGCGCACCTTCCAAGTCGTTCCTGCCACACACACAATGGGCAACAGTGCCGGTTCAAGTCCAGGCAGCCGTGACTGCCATCCTCAACTTCACTTGGACCGAACAGGGCAAGAGTAATCGGCATAATGCAAAGCCGACCGGAGTGGGACCCATCACACCGGCGCATTGATGTCCTCTCGCCGGTTCTTCCCTAATTCCCCAACTCGGACCTCCATTGCTGTTTTGGAACCACCGAACCACAGCACTCCCATCACGACGGAACTCACTGGAACGGTCTGGCGCACCATGGTCGAGGGTTCTGAGTTGGTCTTTTGGCGCTGGATCGGCAGCACCCGACTCTCGGTTGGCTTGTCCTTTGTCAGCGGCTACGTGCGTTTGTGTCTGCAGAAGTGGCGATCTGGAGACTCCGTCATTGGATGGTCTTGACCAAGGCGTGACACGGGTTACAGCCCAGCTGAAATGCCATGCATTGGTCTTGGCTGATAGCCAGCGTCGTTTTGGACTATTGGAATTTTGGAAGCGACTAACCGTCTTAAACGGCCCCCCACGAGTCTCGGACACTGGGCAGGACCTGGATGCAAGCGCGGAGCATCCGAGTCGGGGTTTGGACAAAGCAGAGCCGGCCCATGGCATATTACACCCCGACCTCCATTTCCGTCAACAATGCAGACATGCGGGGCCGTGCGACATTGTCCGCCCGTGCTGGTTACCACCGGCGGTCCGGGTATGCTGTGATCCTGCTTTTTTGACGGAGCACCCCTGATTCTCCAGGCAGGCCCCGCGACTGCACAGTGGCTGCTCATGGGTGGCTATTCCATGTACCGACAGTATCAGTCGGAGAAGGAATGCATCTCGAGTCTGACAAACTTGGGCCTAAATCTCGACAATCTCGTACCTGCATTAGGCATATTCATCGACGCCGCGCCTGACGTGTCGGCAGTGTTCTTGCGGATGATTCACATGGAACCCCCCGGGAATGGGTGTAACTGGCCCTGACCACGACGGGAAGCTCTGAGTCGCCAAGTTGCTCGTCCTACTTGGATTGATACACCTGCTCGGACGGACCTCGGCGGGCTCTTGGACCTCATATCCCACGCACACACCGAACGACTCTGCAATCTCTTTGGGGTGTGAGCGGTTTGGAAACGGAAGGCCATAGTTGTTTAGATCTGAAGCCGACCTTGCCTTGGAACCAGCGGCCTAAAGCTCCCGCCATTATCAGACATTGATGTGTCACCGGAGGAGCAGAAGCCGGGTCAAATGGCCTCTGTGACGTCGAGTACTGGTCGTACGCCCCCCATTACATCCTCGCCCCGACTCACGGGCAAGGCGACACATGTAGACGGTTTGATGGCTACAGGGAGGTGGCAGTTTGTTGTTTTGGGAAATCGCCCCAGAACGTACGTACTACAATGGAACATTTTGTGAGGCAAGGTTGTTATAAAACGCTACGAGTACTTGGGTAAAATAATGGAAATGATTTGATAGCTAGGCATACGACTTGGACATGGTGAGATGGGGATTCAGAGGTGATGGGTTACAGGTCTTTGTGCTATCGGCTGTAGACGCCATCGATGGTGTAATCCTTCTTCGGACCTTTGACCGTATACGACAACCGCCAGTCTGACAGGTTGACGGCACTGAAGTTGAAATTGTACTTGACGTTGTAAAAGTCGTCAATGCACAAGTGGCCGGCCTTGGCCTCCCAGCCCTTGTCATTACCCCCGCCCTCCCCATTTTCCCTGGGTGGAACGAACTCAACCTCATGGAAGAGATAGTCGGCCCGCTTCTGGTCGTCCGTCTTTGCGAACCAGACGCTCAGCCTGTCTTTCCCCTCGTCGTAGCGCCATACGTACCGCCTCGTGGCGCGGAAGGTCAAGCCGTTGGAGGCTTTGAAGTCGCCCTCCTCGATGTAGAGGTACTCCAGCCCCGGATCACCGTCTGCGCAGAGGGCGTCAAACTGAGCCTCCCGGCCGTCTCCTGTGCCCTCCCTGAGGAGGAACTTGGCGGTTCCGCTGAAGTGCCCGCTCGGATGACTGGGCAACTTGCTGGTCAGGTCTCGTTCAAGCTTCCACTCGCCGAGGAGGGAGCGGAAGACTGCCCTTGCGACAAACTTGGTCGACCCGACCCCAGCCCAGGCGGTCGCTTCGGTCTCTTTCAGAGACTTGGTGACTTCACTCCGTTGGGGTCCGGTTAGCGACGCGGATGGGTACCGTGATGGGGTCAAGATGTCCATCTCCTTGTCGGTTGGGGGCAGCCTGGGCATCTTCCCCGATGGCGGGGATCGTTCTAGTCCGAGAGCGGTAGCAAACTCTTGCATGAGCCAGGGGTAATCGCCCATCGGGAACTGTGATGCCCGCGGATCAGTCCGGAGGTTGAGGGTTCGCTCGATCGAGGTGTCCTTGCTTAAGGCTTCCTTCAATTGCGGGGGCAGAGAGGGCGAGGATGGCCCGCCAGCCGCCCATAGGGCCGTGAGAAAGCGAGCTTGCATCTCCATGACGCCCCAGTAAGGTGACCGGTAGAAGCCGACGAAGCCAAGGTTCGGGACATCGGGGTGGTAAGTACCATGGAATCCCAGCGCAACTGTGTTGTTCAGGTCGGAGGGGCTGAGGGACAATGCCTCTTTCACCGACGGGGGAAGAAAACGAGAGGGAGGAGGATGCGTCAAAGCCAGTTGCAAACACCACCGCAGCAACATCCTCGATTCGTTCCTTCGATGGGGATACCGTAGCTTCAGAGCCCGCAAGGCCACTGAGCTTGCCGTGAGACACAGATATCAGGCCGGAACGGACAAAGTCCATGTAGTGGTCGCTGACGGTGAGGTATGGCGGGTCATTGGTGGTTGCGGTTGTAATTGCAACCTTTGGCGAGAAGATTGACTGGTCGGTTCCCAGAGCCCCTTGGTAGATGGAATGAACAACATTGGCTGCTTCAACGGAGATGTGACCCTGTGAGTTGGTTAGGGGATGGGTCCTATTGGCAGTGTTGTAAGACCCCAGGTCGAATGGTAGAAACGGAGGAGCGGATGCGGTTGGCTGTAAGTCGTTAGCGTATCAACACGGGTTCGACTCGGGGCCTCCAACCAGCCCTTACATTTGGAGAAGTGTGCAACGGAAACACCCACACGGGCTGCTGGATGATGTGGTGTATGGTGTACTTCTCCGGGCTCGACACCGGGCTTGGCCCTGGGGAATGAACGGCGGATGAAAGATGTGAGGCGATTGTGCCAGCGATTTCGACCCCAGACATCTGACCTCCCACAACAAGGATCTTCCCCCCTGAACCACTCGACTTCCCAAGTAGACTTTGCAGGTTGCGATACTGGCTGCTGTGAACGGCTGGGATTTCGTGACTACCACGGCCTACGGGAGGCAGTGCGGGCTGGCCGAAGAAACCAGACGCCACCAGGAGGTAGTCGAATGACTCTTCCTTCACTTCCCCCTGAACGGATCGAGTCTGCACCTGCCAACCCTGCTGTGAGCCATCTTTGGCGGAAACTGCCAGCTGCAAGGCCTTTTCGACATGGGTTCCAAGGCTGAACTTTGCTTCAGAGCAGTACCGTTTCTGGTACTCGGAAAGGTACTGACCAATCTGCCAAGCGCGGGGCAGGTTTGGGGCGTCTTCGGGCCAGGCCAGGTCACTAAAGTGGACAGTGTGTTTACTCTGGTTGGCGACCATGCGGGGATGGACAAGTCCTGTGCTGTCGTCCTTGTGCAAAGGCCAGAGACCACCAATCCGAGTCTGGGAGTCGAACAATGTCACATCAAAAGTGCCCCTTGGCGCATCCCAAAGCAGTGACTTGGCGGCCACGAGGCCGGAAGGCCCGGCACCTGTGACCGGTCAACTGCCGGACTGGAGCATGAAGAACTGGAAGATAGGGAAAAGGGAGCAGATGGGGAGAAGCTAGACCACCTCACTCACCAACGATGCAGACTCTCTTCGGCATAACAACGGAGATGCGCTGCGGCTGCGGTGACGAGGGCCTGAGAACAAAGCTTGACTCGGGGTTTTTCGGGGGCCGGAGTCGGGATCGGATGGGAAAGCGGGGCCGCAGAATATTGGGGACCGAAGCCACCGTGGGAGCGAAGGTACTTTGTATTTCGTACGATAACTACCTGGTCTGTGTGTGGTAATTGATGGGATGAGACCTCCCCTTGTCGAGTTCCACCTAAAAACCTACAAAATGTAAATTGGGGAGTGACAGGTCAGTTTGCAAGCTGTGGAGGTTTGTGGAGGAGAGCGCGCGTAACCTGTCAGCGCCAACTCACCACGCGAGACTCGACGGGACGGCACTCGGAAGGACGGGGACTTGAGTCACAAAACGCAACGAACTCAAACTGCGCACGAGCGGATTTCTGGACCTTCTCTGGAAAGCCCACTCGTCGGACCAATCAATCGCTAATGATAACTCCCTAACCCCGATTCGCTCCGATCCATTCAGTGGGGGCGGGGTACAGCCATACCTTACCGAATCCCACTTGGCCCACTCGGGCAGCTCCAGGCCCTCCTTCTTTCAACGGCTCACGGCGCCTTCACACTGACATCGTATTTTCCACTTTTTACTCATATGGATCATCTTCCAGGTTGGGAGTTTCATCAAATTTCGGATGCTATGCACGACTCAATAGTGCAATGCTGCGGTTGAATTTACAGTTTTTACGAAGGGTGCACAACACGTGCAAGAAGTTGCCCCTGGCGGCATCGAGACGCACGTGGCCTCTTCCCCCTTTGAAGGGAATGATGCTAATTACGAAGTACTTCATACCTACTCATCTCGACATTGGCCATCATACGCTGCAACCTGGGATTTCAAACTCGGGTCGTCCGAGCAGCCAATTTGCGGAAACCTAGCCAAACCACAGCGCTGGCAGCCCCTGATCTTCCAGACGAGCCACGCAAACACATTCCGGTTTGACCGAGTTTGTGTTCCATTTACCTCGTGTCTTAGGTTGGTTTGGCAGCCCCCGCAAGGGGAAACTCCATGTCATTTGTTGGCCAGTTTTTGCACTCGATACATGGGCGCCACCGGACCACAGCACGCGCCGCCGCAGAGGGTCGCTCAGAACAACCTGCACCCGATTATGGGTGCCGTTTCCGAGCCTGTGGTTCCCCTCGCCGAGCGGTAAAGAGCTCGACTGGTCCCAACGAAACCCCTGCATGCCTAGGTCTGGGGGAAAGTGCCACCTGTCAAAACCTCTCATGCGACTTCCCAGAGGCTGTATGGTAATTAGGTATGCATATTTAATTCCGCGCTCATTTCACTACCTCTTTGTCGGAGTCCTGCAGGCCATTAGTTAGCTGGGCGTCAAATTATCCGAATTGCTCTCTGTGCCACATTATCAAAGAGACCGGAATATAGCTGAAGCCAGGCGATGTCCAGACACCGTCATCATGAATTCCTTTCCGGCATGTTTTCAGCCTCAGCGCAGTCACCCCTGCCAAGACAGGCTTCTTTCACTGGCATAGATCATGGCGGCTTGGGGGTGGGTGATCCGGGTGAAACCGCCTCCGCAGAAACGGCCCCCGAGGGTCTGCCGGCTTGGCAGACCCCTCCCAAGCCCGGCCAAGAGAGAGCTTCGATCTCCGATCCGCGAGACCATTGGACCATTTTACCAAAGAGGCAGTGGGAAGAAGGCGCTAATATTCAAGCTTTTTGGGCAGAGAGCCCCTGGTCCACGGTCGCCCGACCTCGTCGACCCCAAGGAATAAATGGAATAACCCCTGGTGCCATCCACAACCTCCACCCAACGCTACACTATCCACAGGTGACAGACCACAACATCTGCCGGGGGTGAAGCGGGCTGAACACTAGCGTCCTGCGCTGCTAGCCTGTCACCCCGTCACGGCCGTGCAAATCACCGGGTTTGAAAAGCGTGCACGCAAAGACCGAAACGACTCCGCGGAGGATAGAGCCAAGAATTCCTCGCGCAAGGCATGGGCGGACACCTGCATGACAATATGTTGCTAGCCGAGATGCCGATCTAGCTGGCACTGAAGGCCCAGAGTGGCCATTGTCTAGGGTTCCTTCGTTAACAGCCCGCCCAGAGATCCGACATACCGTCGGAAATCCAACACCACATGGGTTCGATGCCCCTTCTCGGACCTCCACAATCTCCCATTCCCCCCGTTGGCCGAGTTTCGGCACTATTATCGATGCCGTGCTACAAGCAAGACTTGGCGGCGGCCCATTTGAGACACCGTCCGGAGAAGTGGCCATGTTGTCATGTACCGGCAGCGAAGTTTGTGGAGTAACAACCATCCCGAAAACTTCATGGAATGCCGACCTTCTATCACGGTCCCTCGAGGCGGCCGAAGTTTGTTCGGGGTTGCCGCAAGTGGCGCATCCATTGAAGTTGTTTGTGCAACAGCCTTGGCTGCCTTTTACGAGAATTATTCAGAAGCAAAGCGCCCCCGACGAGAACAACCTCGGCCGCCGTCATCCCCGCTATCGACGCCCGACATTGATCGCGCAAGGACCCCAATGCATGCTAATGCGGCCCCCCAAACCTTAACCAGGGGCTTCTGTCATCCTGTGGTATTCTCACCCGACTTCTTCTAGTGAGCTGGTGTGTAGCCCTGCTTGGTAACTCAACTCTAGACCATCTAATAGTTTAGATGCCCGCCGATTTACCCCCGACGGGAAGCTAGCACATATCTAGTGCTCCGTAGTGTAAGGCCGTATTATCTCTAAACTCTAGATCTTAGCACTGTTAAGTAAGGCATTTAGGGGAGTCAAGTTGTACGGTTGCCGGGGATGCCCGGGCGAGCAGCCCGATATACGATGACACTAGAAAGGGCGTGGAAGAAAAAGAGAGGCCGGCTGGGCATTCAATGTTCTGGAATGCACATCACTAGCTTTCCCCTGGGGGGCGTGCATCCTTCGGATACCCTACGGCAAGGTTTGTAGCAAGCGCCGGGGCGGCGGGACCGCGTGGGAGCAAGATATACTCGCCCGCGTTCAGGGGACCGGGGCCTGACAAGCACCGTACAACCTTGTTCATACCCCTTGTCGTTGCCCCTATGACGCAGCCTCAACTCTTGCCATCTCTATCTAACCCATGCGTACAGTGTCTCCCTCCAACACGATAACCTTGTTTACGGTTGCGACAGTCTCCCCGCCTTTACCCCGTGTCTTCTTGCCTCTGAGCTAGCGGATACAATGGTTACAGCTGCTGGCAATTCAATTCACGGTGCTGCCGCATTTGACAATGCCATCACGTTCGCCACAGGATAGACTCTCTCTACCCAACCCAGCTGGGATGCTTGCCCGGGGAAGCTGCAGCATTCAACATGGAGATATTCCGCACGGCCGTGGCCAATGTTTGCGGGATCCCTGCGGTGGCGCTCGCAGGGGAGACACGAGCGGGAGGTGGTGAGAGGGTAATACGATGCGTCCGGGGGCCATGCGGGTTGCAGCATGCTGCCTTATAACCTGCCCCAGCAGGACTAGCTTCCTCCGCATTCTGCGTCCCCGCGCTGCAATTGCTTGTTCCTTCAAGACGCCGCCGAGCCCAGGGGGTCCTTCGCAACTGTCTTCCCACCCAATTGCGTGGGGGAGATCATCGACCTCAACACCACGCAGTCACGCGCCCCCGCTGACGCACCTCCGCTTGCGATTGGCGCTATTCGGTCATCGTTACAGCGAGTTTTCCCGAGTACATTTCCGGATTTGATCTGCTTGATAATCACCGACAAGCACAGCGGCAGCATTCCCCCATTCAGCAAGCCTGCTTGCTGCGTGTGCCCCCCCCTGCACCGTGCAGGGGATAAACCGTTGATACAGGCGACACTGTAACCCGGAAAGAGTCAGCAGCACGCCCCTCGGACTTGGGGAGCTGGCCTGCGGTGAATGACACGCATGAGTAGCAATGGGTATGTTCATCACCCGGAAATCCCGTTACCGGATTCCATAGGTATCCCCTCTTTCTGCGAACACCCTGCACATAATACCAGACACCCCTCCGTGTTTCGTTTCGTCTGATCCTCATCCCAAGATCTTCGTCAAAACTCGCTTCCAATTTTCTTATTTTTCCTTCACATTCCTAATCGAGCATTCACACCAGCGAATTCACTTGTCTCGGCAGATGCCGACGTGGCGTTAACATTACGATCATCTACTGATATAAATTGCTGGCCTAGCTTTCCTCAATTTTAAATCTGGAGCACGCTTTAACATCGACATAATCGACATAACCGACATGGCGTTAGATACAGAAAAGGCATCCACCGATGCCAACCGCAGTCAAGATGAAGACGCGGGAGACATTCCCAAGGACCCCGACGCCCACCTCTCGCCAGAAGAGCGCGCACAGGTGGTAAGTTCAGGCATTCACTAACCACTCGTGAACCCCGAGGCCGGTCGATACGGACCTGCCAGTGCTGACACCCTGACTCTAGGAACGACGACTCGTTTGGAAGCTAGATTGGATTCTTATGCCATGGGTACGACCTTCACTCTCGATCGACGTCATGCCGAAGGGGCATCCCGGGACTAACACGGCGATAGCTCTGCTTCCTCTACCTCTTAGCCTTCCTAGACCGGACCAACATCGGCAACGCAAGAATCGCAGGTCTCTACGAAGACCTTGACCTTACCATACCCTCCTACAATGCCACTCTCACCATCTTTTTCGTCTCATACGCTCTTTTCGAGCCGCTCACCAACATCCTGCTCAAGAAGCTACGGCCCTCCATTTTCATCCCGATTATCATGTAAGCAAAGGATTGACACATACCCCCGTCCCAAAAGAGTAAAAACAAATGTACCCGTCGCATGGCAGGCAGCATCCCTTTCTTATCATCGCATATCTCTAACACAACCAACCCCCAACAACAGGATCCTCTGGGGCGCGAGCATGCTGGGCATGGGCTTCGTGCACAACTGGTCCGGGCTGATGGCGGCGCGGTGGTTCCTGGGGCTGACCGAGGCCGGGCTGTTCCCGGGGGTCAACTACTACCTGTCGTGCTGGTACAAGCGGTCCGAGTTCGGCGTGCGCGCGGCCATCTTCTTCTCGGCCGCCGCCATCTCGGGCTCCTTCGGCGGCCTGCTCGCCGCCGCCATCGAGCAGATGCACGGCCTGGGCGGCATCGCGGGATGGGCGTGGATCTTCATCATCGAGGGCTTGTTGACCATCGTCGTGGGGGTCGCCTCCTTCTGGATGGTCCACGACTTCCCCGACGAGGCCCGCTTTTTGTCTGACGACGACCGCGCCCGCGTCGTGCTGCGCCTGCGCATGGACCAGCAGGCGTCGGCCTCCCACGAGTCGTTTCAGATGAGCTACCTGTGGCAGGCGCTGGGCGACTGGAAGATGTGGCTGGGCATGGTCATCTACATGGGCTGCGACATGCCGCTGTACGCCTTCTCGCTGTTCCTGCCCACCATCATCTCCAACCTGGGCTGGAACACCAGCGTGGTGCGGTCGCAGCTCATGTCCGTCCCCCCTTACGTCACGGCGGCCATCCTGACGGTGGTGATCGGTTTCGTGGCCGACCGCACGCGCGCGCGGGGGCTGTGCAACATATTGGTGTCGGTCATGGCCGTGGCGGGCTTCGCCATGCTGCTGGGCACCGACGACCCGGCGGTGCAGTACGCGGGCACCTTTTTGGCGGCCCTGGGCATCTACCCGTGCATCTCCAACACCATCAGCTGGGTGGCCAACAACATCGAGGGCGTCTACAAGCGCGGTGTGGTTCTCGGATTCGTCATCGGCTGGGGCAACCTCAACGGCATCGTCAGCAGCAACGTCTACTTCAACGGCCCGCGCTACCCGGAGGGCCATGGTGTTATGATCGGCTACCTGGCCGTCTTCTTGTTTGGTGGTTCTGTCCTCATGTCGGTGCTACTACGCCGCGAGAATGCTAAGCGTCGCCGGGGCGAGCGCGATCACTGGGTCCAGGGGATGAGCGAGAAGGAGATTGAGAAGCTCGGGGACCAGAGGCCTGATTTTATATATACGGTGTGAGCTGCTCCATGCAGCTCGTCCCTTGGGACCACCGGGTTTTGGCCCGGCGTTCTTACGACAAGGGGAGTGGTGGGTGGGTGGCTAGCTGGCGCGATGCGTTCAGCCATATCTCTTGCGTAATCGCGGCTTTTTATTTTCTGGGGGGAATTGGACATGGAAGCAGGCTTGGGTCAGGTTGCGGAGGCTCTCAACACTACTTCGTATTTATTTAGTTGCTGGTTATGGGAACGGTCACTTCTTTGCGATATATTTCGATGCCCTTGAGGTCTTGGGGCGGTTGTAAAAACAGGTCTTTGAGAACAAAAGTACGCATCTGAAGCCATTGTTGCAGTTACCTTCTACTCCCAGGGGCTGATCTGCGCTGACAAGACAGCAGAATGGCAAAGTGCGCATCCTGACGGTGTGCCGGATGAACAGAAAGCATGACCAAATGTTGCTGCAAATATCACCGCCAACTCGGCCAGCTGTGGGAAGGGGTCGTACAGTAGTATGCTTAGGAGGTCCTTTGCCACTCTGCGGTATTCTTTCGCTTTTTCTCTTACTCTCCTTGCTTTCCTTGCTTCGCCCTGCGCATGCTCCCTTTCCCTAAAGCCAACTCGCAACGCCCGGGTTCGCTCACACAAGTGTTGTACCCAACGTGCAAGTGCGCGACGATGGCTCTATGGGTAACGTTCCTAAGATCGTGTGCTCCCAGAGAAGTCATGTGCCACGCTGACCATGCGGGCTGGGTTCGACCATATGAAGCACAACAACGGCAATGCCGGCCCGCCGCTGGAGGACGCCGGCCGTTCCGTGCCCAGGACCGAACCGATCGGACGATGCGGTTTCCCGTGCCGATCGATCACGGTTTGTGTTGAGAGAAGCTTTGCGTGTTGCGTGTTGCATTCCGTATGTGGGGCGGTGTGGTCTTGGAAAGGGGTGAACTCGGCCGAGCGGTCGGGGTGATCCGCGGAGAACCGGTTCTGAAGTCGGTAATGCTGGGGCCCGCTACATGGAGGGAGAGGGATGAGGGTCGTAGGAGCCTCGCATGTCAAGCCAGGGCACCCGACGCTAGGCAAAAACTCCAGCTTCTGGGGCGTGTGTTGGTGGACAGCGCCGCAAGCTCGGTGCCCACACTATCATTCCCGTCTTGTGGTGCAAATATCGGGAAGCACAATCGGTTTAGGAAAGGGCTGGTATGTGAGTCAGCTTAGATATTAGCAGGAAGAAAAATGACAGAACTGTTGGCTGGGGTTTATCCTGGTTGTGCGTTGGTGATACCATGGTCCTCCTCCCTTCTCTTTCTAGTGGCGCTGCCATCTGCAGCTAGGCTAGCACAGCGCATCGTGCGTCACAAGATCGACCGGACGTCGGTTGAGGCTTCATGAGCGATTGGTAATCCCATCTCTTGCCTCGCCATGCGCCGACATGATGGGGCTGGTTGTTAGGAGACGGCGCGGCAGACAAGGTCGCGTCGACAAAACGGGACGAGCTAACACGGCAGAATGTCTCAGCTTGGCAAGTGATGCCGTACGACTGTTGCCACAGGATCGTGATCGAGTGTACGGTGGCAGTCGGTCGATGAGATGGGGGGGTTGCAGGGCGATGCGGCAGATTGACGGGAGCTGTGTTCCTTTCGATGCGCCATGGGTCGGTTGTGCCCCCTCTCCTGTGTCTCTGGTGTGCCGCACGGCTTGTACTGTGATATGCTGCATCGTGACTGTGTCCGCCTCGCTTTGCGTTGTGTCACAACGATCTCCAGCGATCTTCCCTGGAGACAACACAACCCAACACATGGCGGCATCAGGCTGTCTGTCAGTGTGTCCGGCCGAGCCGTTGGGTCTTGACATGGCCGCGGTGAAAGTTTTGGTTGGGCTCTGCTCACCTAGCCGGTTAGCCACAGATGTGACAAGTAGGCAGAAGAGTGATGGTAACTGTGAGGGATGCGGATGTTGTGTCACGACCTTGACGGCGAGGAAAAGAGACAACCGCCGGAGACACGGCTCGCAGCGGTTGCAGCCAAGTCGGTCGGGGCCTTCGCGCGGCCGCTCTCCGTTTCTCCTCGGCGGAGATTTGGAGCCTGGCCGCTACCGACTGGAATAAGACCCCCAGAAGGCCATGTTGCTCGACCTACCCAGACGAGGCAGGGGTTTCTGAAACGAAAGGTTTGTTGTCTAATTTTTAATTTCAGGGTGCCAGTGACAATAACTGAACAGACCACAGTAACTGACCACAGTGACCGAAATGGTCGGCTTCTTGGCACTGCAAGCCGTACGGCATGCTCCGGCGCTCCAGCAAGATGAGGCGAGCAGGCTAGGATGGTTATTCGCTAACTGATATGCAGGGGCTCCGGCAGCTGCAGGTCGACTGCGTTGACCGAAAGCAGCCCGAACGTGGAAAGTGGTCCATTTCACCCCTTCCACGTCTTCCATTCGTACCAGATGGGCCCAGCCTGATGGCCAAGCATGCTGCATTCGTCACTCTTTTGGCTTTCGACTTGACCCTCATGATCTCTGGACCGTCAGGGAGGGTAATCGGGTATCTCGGCAAACGGACCGGGCTGTCTGCCACCTCCTCGCCTCAGGTACCCGGACAATCCCCCCACGGGCTCTGGCCCCGGGGCTCAGCGACCAGGCTGGGCAAGGGTATTCTGGTGCTGTGCTGGCAAAGTGGCAAGGCCCTTGTGGCCGGTTTGTTTGATATTCTGCGATTGGCGTCCAGATACGTTGGGCCGCAGTGGCATCAGTCCTTTGCTCGGTTGTGTTCGGAAGGAAGCCACCATTGAGGGTTATCACGCGGCCTTGTTTTTGGTGAGTCATTTAACCCCCCAGTTGCAGGAGGGAGACCAAGCCGGCGGCCAGGAAAAGGGAAAAGAAGGCAACCACGACCGGGTGTTATGGGCTGTTCACCGCTCCGTGCCGCCTCATTGACCCCTGTCCACCAGCCGAGGCTATAAGGCTGTAGTCCGTAAGTATTAGAATCAAAATTCCAAATCCGTCCACAATTCAATATCAGCTGTTCACAATCTGTCATTGTGCCTTCCCGAGGTGGTTGTTTAAATTGTGCTTCAAGCTTCAAGCTTTGGTCAAAACTCCATTCCGAAATTCCAATTATAGAGCCCTTGCCCTACCTACCATATTTCCCGTGGTCGAGACTCAGCACTTAAGTTGTTGAATCCTTTTTCTTTCAAACCACAACCAAACACACTTCTTTCTTCCACCAACAACACACGCACACCACCAATTCTCTTCACAACTCCCACAACGTGATTTTCATTCAAACCACATCAACCAACCACGTCGCAACATAGCCGATTCTATCAACAACGTCAACATGCCGACCAAGGACTCGGAGAAACCCACGGCCACCACCGTCCAGGCAGCCGTTGCAATGGATGTAGAGGCCAACACGGCCACGGAGACCACCTCCTCCTCCCACCGGCAGATGTGCGAGGGCGCTTACTTGTGCGAGTGCTGTCTCTGGTACGTTCTCTTTCTTGCTTGGGATTCCTTACTTCTGCCGGCCCTGGCAGGTTTTCTTCCCGTTTTGGCGTTGCCCATCCCGCTGTTGACCTTTTGCATTGTGGGATGAAGGAAAAGACTGGCAGCAGCTTGATTTCGTATTTGTCTTGGCCTTGTCAAACCTTGCTGTTCCGTCCGCTAACATCGTCGCAACTAGCATCTGTGGCGCGCCGGTCGATTACCCTGGCGACGTTTGTCACGTCTGCAGCAAGTACCACTGAGCACATTCGATACCGGCCCGGTTCAAGCATGGTTATGGATTTAACGAAGGCAGAAGGCATTCCTCGGAAGGGCTGCATGGGATGGGACACAAGGTGCAGGGGACGGTAAAAGGGCTCAGAGCATCGAGCCCGGAGGCGACGGGTTAGAGGAGGCATAAGTCTTGCAATATACCGGTGCCCGACCCATTGTAATTCTCAGCGATATATGCTGGCCGTTTCTAAATGCAGACTTTGAGATGGGCCGCGGCAGAGCCTTTTGGTTGTCCGGTAGGCCTCCGTTGAGTCATGTCTTAGTCCTTCGCCACGGCGAAGTAACCCCCGTTTTCTGGTGTATTTTGGTTTAGGGGAACAGATTCGGCCACCCGTTATCGTTCATTGTGGCATTATGCCCATCCGGAATCGAGAGCTTGAAGAACTGGCATCGCGCAAGTTGCATGTGGCGGGTTATGCTGTTGATGAACCCCCCAAAAACGACCGCTTCTCACGGTGGTGTCCCGGAACTTCTTCAAATATCTATGGGAACAACACGCTCTATAGTATAGTAACGGACCTCACCAAGCTACTTAGTCCAGGATCTGAGAGGTTGATTCGAGAACCGAGGTCCAAACGTCTCCCTAACCCTTTGTTTATAACCTCGTCCAGGATGGTCTCCGAGCAACTAAAACAACCGACTCGCACAAACGTCCCCCTTCGTGTCCTCGATAGTATTAGGCCTTCCATTTCATTCCATGACCGCGACTTGGACTTTGTGAAACTGAGAAAGAACAGTAGAAGTTCTGAGCTTCGTTGCTCTTGGAGACGCCGCCGGTTTTCAGACTCGGCTAAGCCGTCGCCTGGGGTCGGATACTCATCCCAGAAGAAATTGATGTCATCATCGTCGGCGAGATAATAGCCGCGGGACTGTGACCCGGGTTCACGGGGACACCATATCGACACCACATAGTCTTTCCGATATCCCGTGCAGATCCCGTCTACTTCGGTATACGTGGCCCATAGTGCGATGGCCCGAATCTGCAGTTCGGCTGATGTAAAGCTGTGCAGACCTGCGGGATGGTCCGAGACGACCGAGACCCCCAAGACTTCTGCAAGGTGCATACGACCGGGATCAGAATGATACGCCTCGTCCGTTTGTATGTGTGCGTCAAGACTTGCCCAGGACCAAGACGGCGCGTGCGTGTTACGTGTCGGGCTCATTGCTTCGTCCCAGGTGAACAGGTTCTGATGCCAGTATAGCTGGTCCAGGAGATCCTTTTCCCACAGGCCAGCCAGGTAGGTATCGCCTGTGTGCTTCCGCAGGGACTCTGCGAGTGACGCGATGGCGATCATCTTGTCTGAGCGTTGAGTGAGTCTGCACATGGAATACTGCTCGACAAGCGAGCACCAAGCATTGCGGCAGTCTTGCTCGCTCTCGAAGAGCAGCCTCGGCTTTGGGTTTGATGGAAACAGTAGGGTTGTAGCGCTGTCCTCTTGCCACATACCCTCTGGTAGACCGTCCGGGAATTGCTCCGAGGCAACGTGCTCAGCACACTCCCAATATACCTGATGTTTGGTGAAGACAAGCTGTCTTGGTGCCAGACAACGTTCCTGAACGACCCAACCGCGACGATTGAGGGGCGTATCGGTGACTTCATCGGACCACCCATGGCGAAGGTGGATCTGGTACCCTTTTCCATGGCTGGTGTCAACCGTGGTCCCCACGACCATGAAAGGGTCTCGCTTGCTAAAGCAACCCTCGGTCCAGTCCGACGCCCATGTAGCCGCAATGTTGCAACGCGCATTGCCGTATATCGACGCCATGAGGGGTGATTGCTCGAGCCAGTCAGACTTGTCGTCTTGTTTGATGCAGAGGGAGTCGATCCAGATGTACGGAATCCCCAGCGTAAGGGCTATCTGAAGAGCATCCCGGTACGTCTTGGGTAAGTCTTCGGCTGAGCCCTTTTGTGAAAATGCGGGAAGCGTAGAATCGGTCAGCTGGGTTGGCTGGTGAGAACCCCAGCAGTGGCCCAATGTAACGTAGTCGATTGGTTCGGTGCCGTTGGGGAAGATCAGATGCCACTTGAGTTGACTGAGCTCTCCGGCGGGTGGTAGCACTTTGATGAGTCGTTTTGGCACGAAGCCTGAGGCGTCTCTTGGTTCCAGTGAACGGCAGACATGGTGTGAACTCAAGCAGGTTCGAAACCAACGGTCCCATAACTGAGGTACGGACGCTGTAGAGGCACCGAGTGCCTCGACGCTTATGGATCCCGTTTGAACTCGGCTGTTTCTTTTTTTGGCGGACCGCAAGGAGAAACGTAGCATCCACCGGCGACCTGAGTTGCCACCACCCAACCCTTCCACGAAAATCTTGCCGTGCTTGTAGGTCCGGTCCATCACTACCTCGGCATGGATCCCTGACGGAAAGGGGTGGGACCCGGTGGGATCGGATCGTCCGGTAAGGTGGTCAATATGACTGACTTCGCTGGTGAATTCGCTGTAGGTCTCGGGGATGGCGCGCTGAAAGTCGTCACGGCGCCCGTGGGCCCATGAGGAAATACTCCTCCAGATGCGTCGACAGATGAAACATCCCAGTAAAATGGAATTGTGGAAATCACGGAGATCCCCAACCAGGTTTAACGCGTGGGTTGTGGATCTGTATACGGGCGGCTCGAGCAAGACGTCGTGACAGGCGGCGGCCCGGCGGTCTAACGAGTCAAGAGCGTCTCGGAGTTGGGCGTGACAGTTTGTGCAAAGCATCGTTATATTAGGACGGCAATTGAAATAAATTGACGGTCTGAGGAGGCAATGCAAAATGGAAGACAAGGAACTGGGTGGTAAAGAATGGGAAAAGTGCCCCCGCAAAGTAGCGAGATGCACGGGATATTTGTTGAGGCCTAATAAGAATGAGGTTGGTGTTTCGGGCTGTAAAGGGGTGCGTGCCAAGATCCCTGAGTGCTCCGGCTCGGACCAACAGACACAATAATAAATGGAGTCCTACCTTGTTGGTAGGCAGTATTACGACAAGGAGTGCATATCAGAGGCTGTGCTTCTTGTTCAACAAGGGAAGGTTGCTCGCCACCAAGGTCACAATTGCTGTTTTCAGAGCAGACATTTATAATGTACATTAAACCCTCGCGGTGACTATATACCTACGTTCGTAGGCCGCTTGCCTCTTACCAATGACGTTTACCCGAACTCTCAGGTTGGCAGTCCTTCGCTCCTACCAATACTACCGCCCATCATCACTACTACCTACTATCAGCCTTTCTACTGAAAGGGAGATGAGGGGATGGCCTTGCACGAAGCTCCAAGGTATCACTCTGCGGCGAAGTATCGCTTCTCTAACGAACAAGCCGACAACATTGTCCGAATTGCTGCCTACCATCGCAGAGACTTCGCGCTTTCGGTAATATGGTTCCCGCCCCGCGAACAGCTTTTGGTCCGCGCCTCTATATCTATGTCCTTCGACCGTGCTTCAAATAGGGACCTCGGCGTGCTTGATCTACTGCCAGTCGAACTCTTACATAACATAGCCCTGCGCCTGGACATACTTTCGGTCTTCAGGCTGAGACAAACCAACCACCGAGCACGGGAGATCATGGGAGGTCTCAAGGAATACCGTACCGTGGCTTTACAAGGACTGGATTGTTTTCGCGCCTTGTTGCGCACAGGGCTTGCCATCGCCGTCTCATTGTCCGATTTCTACAAAGCCGTTTGTACCGAGAGCTGCGCGGTTTGTGGCGCATTTAGTGGGTTTATATCACTGGTAACATGGACCCGATGTTGTTTTGAGTGCGTCCAGAAAGCACCGGAGACGCAACTACGAAGCCTGGCTAGTATCCAGAACCGGTTTCCCTTCGCCGAGGTTGAGATAGACAGCCTGCAGTCGTTCGAAACCTTACCTGGAACATACACGATGGAAGAGGCTGCATACAAATCGCGTACCGCAGTGGTCTCCCTATACCAGATAACCTTACTCCCTCAGCAAAAGGGGGCACTGGCATGGGAGGGGGCACACCCACGCCCGTCCGCTAGGGAGCTAAGGTGCCGGCTTAAGTACAACTTCATGGGTGCATGCGCACTTGATTACTATAACAAACAGACAGGAAAGGTCGAACGCGGAGTGTCTTGCGCTGGCTGCCAACTTGCCTTCGAGAAGGGCATTATCGGCTCGCTGGGGGAGAGTTGGGCAAGGCAGGCTTGCGATAAGGTCTATTCGAAAGCGGGCTATCTGGAGCACTTCAAATGGTGTGAACAGGCACAGCTTCTCTGGGCGCTGAGCGAGGGGGGAAGCCACCAACCCGCGGAGCTACCTGAAGCTGCTCGGAGAGGGGGTTTCTTCAAACCAAGAGATGGAGAATAGTTACGGATTATCATTCTGAAGAGATGAAGGTGGGGGATCGACGCTGAACGAAATGCCAAGCCTTTAGCTGCCGGTTTGATGCAACGGGCTCCCCATAAAAGATCGGCCACCCTTGGCTCGCACCCTGGCTCGCAGCAGCCCGAAGCGGAAGGCGGGGTGGCGGGGTCGTGGAACTCGCTGCTGAGCAGCCATCGAACCACCCACGAACCACCCTCGAGCCCATGCAACCATGATGTAAAGGACTCGACGACATCAACCCAAGCTTTGTAGATACAAGTAACAATTCCATTGCCAACCACCAACGCAGCCAACATCATCAAAACCAACAACAACAACCCCCACCCCCCCAAAATGAACCTCGCCGTCTTCTCCGCCAAGCCTTACGACCGCGAATACCTCACCCTCGCCAACAGCAGCCTCCACACCAACCCCACCACCACCACCACCACCAAGCCGACCACTCCTCACCCCCCACACACCCTCACCTTCCACGACTTCGCCCTCTCCCCCGAAACCGCGCCCCTCGCCCGCGGCGCCGACGCCGTCTGCGTCTTCGTCAACGACGTCCTCTCCACCCCGGTCCTCGAGACCCTCCACGCGGGCGGCACGCGCGCCATCTTCCTGCGCTGCGCGGGGTACAACAACGTGGACCTGGCGGCGGCAGAAAGGCTGGGCATCGCGGTGGCGAATGTTCCGGCGTACGCCCCCGAGGCGGTCGCCGAGTTTGCGGCGGCGCTGCTGCAGACGCTGAATCGCCGGACGCATCGCGCGTATAATAGGGTGAGGGAGGGGAATTTTGCTTTGGATTATGGGTTGATGGGCCGGACGTTGAGGGGGAAGACGGTGGGGGTCGTGGGCACGGGGAGGATTGGGGTGGCGTTTGCGAGGATTATGGGGTTGGGGTTTGGGTGTCGGGTGTTGGCGTATGATCCGTTTCCGGCGGAGGGGTTTGCCGAGTTGGGGGAGTACGTGGCGTTGGAGAGGTTGTTGGGCGAGAGTGACTATGTGAGTTTGCATTGTCCCCTGACGGAGGAGACGCGGCATATTATTAGGGGGGAGACGTTGGGGATGATGAAGAAGGGGGCCATGCTGATCAACACGTCGCGTGGTGGGCTGGTGAGCACGGAGAGCGTGATTGCTGCGCTGAAGAGCAAGCATCTTGGCGGGTTGGCGCTGGACGTCTATGAGGCGGAGGGCGCGCTGTTCTACCAGGACCACAGCGCTGAGATCATCCAGGACGATGAGCTGATGCGGCTGATGACGTTCCCCAATGTGGTGGTGTGCGGACACCAGGCTTTCTTTACCGAGGAGGCCCTCACCGAGATTGCCGAGTGCACGATGCGGAATCTTGATGACTTCTACAACAGGGTACCCTGTAAGAACGCGCTTGTCAAGGAGGGCCATGTGCTGGCCAGGCGGGAGTCGCTACCGGTTCGGATCTGATGTCCGGCGGAAAGCTTCGTTTGTTGGGTGGGAGATTTGATGTTTTACGGGTTGCTTGGCGGGTGGTTGGCTACGTATTGATGATGTATTGCTACGACTTTGATGACTAGGTGGGCACGACCGGGCTGTTTACAGATTCTTTGATGTATCGCTACGACTTTAATAACCAATACAAGAACGCCTTTCTGGGTACATGGAACTACACCTCATTGTGATGGTTGAAGTAGATTTATAGCCGTGACTCTTTGTTACCCCGATGTTTTATGATACTCTATAACGTCAATATGGAATGAACGCCCTGGACTTAACCTCGGAAAACATGGGACCCTTAAGCCCTCCCGGAAGCCTTCCTGCCCTGTCGCCTCATCGTCTCGAACTCGGCCGCCTCCGCCGGGTAAAGGCTGTGGCTCGCGTACGCATCCGCGTAGTACCCCCCGGGGGACGTCGCCGAGGGCTGGCTCGTTCGTGCTGCCGCCCGGGGCGGCGCCGCGGCGTACGCCTGACCGCTCTGACCGCCCTGCCCCTGCTGCGCGCCATGGCCACCATTGTCTTCGGTCCGCACCTTACCCGGCCGTGGCGGGGGTGGAGGTGGCGGGGCTTGCTGGGGCGGGCGCGAGGTGGTGTAGCCGTCACCGAGGGTCTGTTCTGAGCTGGGCGGCATGTCGGGCCTCGGCTGGGGGTAGGCGTTGGTTGGCGTCGGGAGGAGAGCGGGCGGCTGCTGGGAGTATCGTGGGTCGTGGGTGGCGTCGGAGTTTCGGCTTGATATTTGTTGTGGTGCTTGTGGTTCTATGTCCGACGGCGGTGGTGGCCGTCGTGAGATACGCCTGGTCGAGGTTGGGCGGTGTCTTGCGGGTGACATCTTCTCATCGACTCTGGGTTCATCGTCGTCGGAAGTATCTTCTGCGTCACTTGTGGCATCTTCGGCATACTGTCGGAAAAATGAGCTGAGTTCTGTAAATGGAAAATATGAGGGACTTACTGCTCTCAACTCTTTTCGCATGGCTAGACTCGCGCAAATCTCCTTGGCCTCCTCGATGGCCTTTTTCTGCACTCGCAGCGTTTGCCTCCTGTCCCTAGTCTCCTTGTTCTCCGCCGCGATGGACTCAATAACGTCGGTGCCCATACCCAGGACCTCGACCGAGTTGAAGATGCTGTACATTCCCTGGAGCAGATGGCGCTCGACCACCTGGGTGATGGTGTTCCTGATAAACGTCTTGGCAGCTAACTCATAGTAGATAAGCATCTTCTCCAGAACCTCCTCGGCCTCGGAGAAGCTCGCGCCGTCTTTGGACGAGTTGCTATGCCAGTTCCTCAGACGTTCCTCATATTCTGGGTCGTAAGGCTGGACCTCGAGGCTCATGTCTTGCATGAGGAGATCCAACTCGTGTTGTGCCTTCGCCATGAGCGCCTTCATATGAGGCTCCAGGAAGTGGCGGCGGAGGGGTTCTCTCATGCGCTTGGGCCAGGCGTAGTCGATCAGCTCGCCTAGGAACTCGTTGCAAACGACACCCAAATTGTCCTTGTGCTCTTGGGCTAGCTTCGGCCAGTTCTCAGAGTAGCTTTGGAAGAGCATGTAGACGGCCCGCGGCTTTGGATCCATCGGGAACTCTGAGCCGCGGATCTGGCGCAGCAGCATCTCGACTTCCTGCTTCACAAATTCTCGCTTGGCGCTGTTCTCAGGCGCTGGCTCCCCCGGCGCAACCGGGGCCGAAGTAGAGAAGACGAACTTGCGCCCGTGGGCCCGGATCCTCGTGGAGAATCGGTCGTTTTCTTCGGTGGCGCGGGCCCGCAAGTTCTGGGCCGGGGTTCCCCTTGGGTCGGCAGTCACACGGAAGAAGTTCTTCTTGGGCGGATTCTTGTAAAAGCCGTAGACGGCGGGGATGACCAGTTCCTTGGACGACGAGAAGAGTTCGACTAGTTCGGTGCGCATCTCCTCCGGAGTGTCCTTGGCATCGCCGAGAGACTTGAGTTCGGCTTCGCAGTCGTCGAGGGCCTTTTGGATCTGTTTACGGAGAACGTGAACATGCTTGCCGATATGTTGCTGAAGCTGGGTGCTGAGCTTCCGCATCAATGCGCTGGCGCCGCAGATGGATTCTGGGATGGTGCTCCATTTCCCACTGTTGAAGAAAAGCGCCTCACTTCGACGGCGGTCTTCGGCCGTTGGCCAGGGTTGACCGGGGTCCCGGGGCCCTGGATTCAGCAAGACGTACCAGCCGAGCTTGAAGTCGTTACGCTTGTCCTTATTCTTGACAAGATCGATGAACTTGTCCTCCAGGCCGATCGACTCGGTGAGATCTGGCTTGGTTAGGACCCCGATAGTTCTGGATCCGTTGGGGTCGAAGTGGCGAGCCTTGGTAAGAATCGGGGCTTGGACGTAGTCGGAATTACCGCCCACGACGGCAAGGATAATGGTCCGTGAGCTCTTCATGTAGCGGTCCGAGAGTGACTCGATTGTCCTGATGTCTTCGAGAGACTGGTCGTTGTTCGCGTTCCGGACGAGCCCTGGCAAGTCAACCAAGGTCAGGAGTGGCATATCCGGGCCCCGTTTCTCGACCACTAGGATGTCGCGGGCGGCGAAACGGCCGGGGATGTTCTTGGGTGCGATGAGTTCGACAGCGCTCCTCATCAGCTGCTCAAAGGGCATCCCGGTGTTGACGGTTCCGCCGAACTGGCTTAACCTCTCCTGCTCCGGGAAGCTGCGGTTCTTATCCGGGATGACGGAGACGGTGATACTCGGTTCGGGCGCCCTCCGGAGGCGGATCTCGGTAGCAAACCTCGTACAGGCCCCGGAATCTCGGGGGAAAGGGGTGCCGGTGATAGCCTCCAGCACGGAGCTCTTTCCGGCGCTCTGGTCACCGACGACAACGATTTGCGGTAGCTTGACATTTTCGAGCTGGGCAAACTGCAGCTTGTCGATTAAGTCGAGGAGGGCGCGCTGCTCGCCGGCGAGCTCTTGGGCATCCACGGCAAGCTCGAGGCGTGTGACCATGGCGGGGCGGGGGTGGAGAGGGAGTCTTGGTGTTACTGGCAATTTGGTGGATGGCACTGGGTGTCGTTCCAAACGACGAGGCTTGACAAGGTGGGAAGACTATAACTTTGTATAAACGATATCTGGCTAGACAGGAGATACAAAACTACGGGGGAAGTGGGTTTTATGGAAGACCGGGACTTCAGAAAGAAGAGTCACCCAAAACTCAAAGAGTGGCTGTGGATTGCCACAGCTGGGCGTGTCCGCCGCGTGGCCCCAAGGAAAATGCGCATGTTGCCTTGCACAGCATGGCTTAGCCTCTTAGCTTGACTTGGATATCGGGCGTAAGAGGAACAAGATGGCAGCCTTGTTTGGAGTGGTCGTGTGGGTGCTGAGCGACGCCCAGTGACGACGACAGACGAGGCCGACCACGCGTCAGTGGATTGCCCAGGTCTGCGGTGGCAACTCAAAGAGCAAGAAGAGTTGTGATTGGCTCTGAGTGGAGGCCCCGGTCCCACCTGGGTGGGGCCTTTCCTTTCCCAGCTGGGCGCCGACCACATCTCTTCGCAGGAGCCTTGAACCGCCTGTCACTTCCTCCTGACAGCCGACTTCCATGTTACCACGAGGCAGCAAGGAGAACCTCCCCGAACGGAAGGCACTCACCTCACAAGATGGAGCCCAACGACCGACAACCCAACGGCGTTTCAAGGTTGAAGATCCCTAAATCCCACCATGAATAAGAATTTAAACTCGGGCAGGCACGGCACCAATGATATTGCGAATTTAGATCAATTTCCCGAGACTGAGCGCCTGCTTCAGTTTGGCAATGAATACATGCCAAACCGATGCTCCCCACATCGGGGCATCTTACCCTCAAAGCCCTCCTTCCCAAACAGTTAGGCGTCTATCTAAAAAATGAATCAAAGTCGACATCGCTGCCGCTGTCGCTGTCGCTGTCACTCTCACTCTCACTCCCATTTTCCAGCCTCGCCCTCGCTTCCTCCTTCCTCCTCCTCGAATCCTCCATCTTCCTCCTGCCCTCCTCACTAAACAAACTCACAATCCCGTCCAAGTTCCTCGCAACAGCCACATCGATCGCCGTCCGCAACTCGTCATCATCCGCGCGCGGATCAACCCCCAGCTCCATCAACCTCTTAAACACGTCCTCAAGCCCTTTCGCCTGTGCATATTTCCACTTTGGCGTCTCCCGCCCCGCCGTAACATGCAACAGCGTCCGCCCCCTCGCACCCACCAACCCCAAATCCGCACCCAGCTCGACGAACACGTCCAACATCTCAAGATGCGTTGTCATGTCATCTATCCCCTCCCACCCGGACGCCGCCGCGAACCCAAAGACGGGCGTCTCGCCCGCAGCGTTGCGCGCGTTGATGTCGAGGCCCGGACGCGCGGCCAGCTCGCGAAACAGCGCGGCAGCTCCCCCCCCGGGGTTGCCCCTCGGCTCCCCCACCAAGCGCGGCGCGACGCAGTGCAGCGCCGAGTTGCCCGTCGTCGGGTCCGGGACGGCCGGGTCCGCGCCGGCCGAGAGGAGGTGTCGGATCGCGAACGGGTCCTCTTGCGAGCGGTCGGCGTACGTGGCCAGCGCGAGATGGAGGGGGGTGCGGTTTTGCTCGTCGCCCGCGGCGAGGGCCGCCGGGCCGTGTTCTGTGAGCGCGGCGAATGCGTTGCGGTGGGCGAGGTCGAAGGCGCCGGGGAAGGTGCAGAGCCAGTGGAGAGGGGTGCGGCCCTCGTCGTCGACGATGAGGGGGTCGGCCCCGACGTCGAGCTGGTTTTGCACGAGGTCGGGCATCACAGTTGGGTAACGCGGGCGATAGTCAGGATCAGGGCCTAGAGGGATGGTGGGGATACAAGCTGAGGTTAGGAGCGTCCGTCCGTGATGACCCTGGCGGTTGCAGTTCGTCTCGGACGCCTTCGGAAAGAGGTCGCTGTCCACCTGACCCCGGTCCTCCACGATGCCTTGGAGAGCAAAGCTGCCGTCCGGATACGGCGCGTAGGGATCAGCGCCCCGTGAAAGGAGCAGGTCTATGACGGACTGTTGCCGCGAGTTGAAGTCGAACGCCGGATTGTGGCGGGTCGCGGGCCGGGCGGCTTCGTGAAGGGCATAGCGTGGTTGTACGTCGGTGTGCTCGCTTCGCTTCCTTCGCACAGGCGGCAGCTCATTCGGGTCGGCGCCACCGTCCAACAGCAACTTCACTATTCCCGGCTCCATCCACTCCCTAATGGCGCGTATCAGGATGCCAGGGCAACTCTCCACCCTCGCCCCATGTTCCAACAAAAGCTTGGTGATGCTGGGGTTGCTCGAAATCTCAAGCGCTGAAGAACCACTCGATGCATCTTCTCCCGTCGTCTCAATAGTTGCATTGACATCGGCCCCATGCCTCAATAGCACACGCACTGTCTCCTCGCGCCAGGGCCTATCCGGGCTCTCCTCGTGGATAGCTGCAAGCAGCGGCGTCATGCCCTTCTTGTTCCTGGCTTCGATATCCGGCCCTTTAGAGAGGAGGTACTCGAGCGCCTCGACCTGCCAAAACGCGACGGCGCACGCGAGTATGTGTAAGCCAGTCCCCCCCTGCAGCTTGTCGTACCCGTGGCCATAGCTGTTGTAGACGGCATTCACATCCACGCCGAGTTCATCCACGAGCATCTGGATCATGTATAGGGACGGACGTCCTCGGTTGAGACGGCGGCCGTGCGGCCCCCCCGCGACAAGCGGTGCCGAGCAGCGTCCCGCAGCTGTCATCTTCCTTCTGCACCCATTTCTGGGCCTCAAGTTCGTCTACTTTGCAACGGAAGTGCGCTAGAAGTTCCGTGTAACCTTGTTCGACAACATCGTGGAGGAAGGTGTCCATTCGGTAATGGCTCAGTCTGGAGATGTCCCCGCCGAGTTCGAAATACTCCTTGATTGTGTCGTGGTCGCCATCCTGTAGCACACGGCTCAATATGTCGTTTCCCGTCCAGTCATTGTCGTTCTGGGACTCGATGTTCAAGATGTCCTGTCCGTCAGCAATGAAGCGGGTTTCTTTCTCCACTGAGATCCTCGCCCCTAGACAGGCCGCCCACCGCCCTCGCCATCGGCAAGTCCGGTCCGCCGGGCCCAGAACCCCCGGCACGCTGGCTTGTGCCTTTCGGGCTTCCTCGGCGGCCTTCTCTTTGTCCGTTGCCATTGCAAAGTCTTTAGAATGTCTGTGGCTGTCACGGGGCTCGGCACCATGTGCAATCAACCGACGGACTATCTCCCAGGAGTTCCTCTCCACCGCTAAATCAAGGGGTGTCATGGCTCTCGGCGTTGTCTCCTCTTTCCTCTGCACTACTGTCTCGGCGCTGATATCTGCTCCGGCGAGTTTTAACATCCCGACGATGTTGCCCGCGCGTGGCAAGGAGTCCTCGGTGGGATTGAACTCTTCCGGGGGCTCGAATTCAACCAGAGCATGTAGCGGAGTCAGCCCTTTGTCATCCCGAGTTCGAGCGTTCGCCCCGTTGCGCAAGAGGTCCCAGACAGCTTCTGGGCTTCCAGACCGACACGCGTAGTGTATCGGGGCCCTGCCGTCCCCGAGCAAATTGACGTGGCTTCCGAGCACGTTTCGCTCACGGTACAGGGCTAGGAGGATCCCGACGACACCAGCGTCCCCACGGCGGGCGGCGACATGCAGTGGCGAGAGACCATCAACTGTAAGCAGGGTTGGATCAGCGCCGGCCTTGACAAGTTCCCAGACAGCTCGTTCCCCAAGCGCCACAGCATGGTGTAAGGGGGTTAGTCCGTCGACGTCTGGCTCGTTGACGTCGAGGCCGCTGAATGCCGGAGTGGTGAGTGCAATCTCTAGCCTTTCCCAGTCATTTGCTACGTGCAGAACTGACTGGCCTTTCGTGTTCCTAGCCAGAGGCGGGGCGCCAGCCTCGAGCAGGAGCCGGAGCGCTTTCTGGGCATCGTCTGCCGTAACATCCCTGCTGAACACCTCATGAATCACCGTCTCCCCCTTTTTGCCGCGCGTGTCTGGTCTCACCCCTGCCGAAATCAGATAGCGAAACCATTCCAACGAGTTCGGCCTCTCCACGGCGGCATGCAACAGCGTCCTGCCTTCGTGGGTGAGCCTCGTCGGGTCGGCGCCCAGGCGGACTAACCCCTCAACAGTCCGTGGTGCGCTCAGATACTGCCCCAGGAGCACCCAGAGGATTGTGCGCCCCTTCTCATCGCACGCATTTAAATCCAGACCACAATCAACCAGCTTCCGAAGCACTTCGTCGTCATTCACTTCGTCGTCATCGTCGGCGGGTTGATATAGCCACAGCGGCGGATGCCCCTTCTTATTCCTCTTGTTCGGATCCGCGCCGGCGAGAACCAATTTCTCGATAAAAGGGATGAGGTTGGGGTCACAGAAATACGTGATGCTTTTTATGACTTGATGGAAGACGGTATCACCCCGGTTGTCAGCGATATGCACATCCGCGCCCAGCTCTAGCAGCTGGTTGAAGACCTTGATCGCCCTTCGCCCGTCCGAGGGAGAATGCTTCAGCCGCGCGGTTATCTCAAGTAATGGCGACCTTCCCGAGGCGTTCACCGCGTTGATATCGATGCCGTGGTCAACGAGAGACCGGATGAGTCGGGGCCACCCTGGGCTGATCAAATGAAGTGCTGTATCGCCATCCTTTGTCTTCGCGCGGGGATTTACACCTGCCGAGAGAAGAAGGTTGATGAGGTTAGGTTCAGTGGTACTGGCCCACACATAACCCCATTCATCCGATCTCTGGACAGCCATGTGCAGCGCTGTCACCTCCTTGCCGATACGCCAGTCGCCGTCCGTCGTAGCATTGAGATCTGTGCCGGCGTCCTTGAGCAGCCGAAGGCATTCGGCGGCCGTTTTCTTGTCGCGTCCACTTAAGGGCTTCCTCCAACATGGGGAACCAACAAACGCATGTAGAGGTGTCGGTCCTCGCCCGGCATTTCCGCCCTCAAACCCGTGGTCATACGAGTTACCTCTCTTGTTCGGATCAGCGCCATTCTGCAGGAGCAACTTGATCAAATCAAGATTCCGAGCCTGCGCTGCCTTGTACAGCTTCGTTGTTTCAAACAAGGGATAGTCGATATCTACCTTGCCCGTGTCGAGAATTGCTTTGACGTTCTCTACCTTGTCGACTTGGTGTAAGCATAGGTTGATCTCGCCCGGTGGGATAAAGGGCAAGAACGCCTTCACCACCTCATTATCATCACCCTGGAAAGCATGGGAAAGTGCAGTCTCTCTCCGCTCCTCGGCTTCTTCCTGAGTGTAGGTGTGGTACCAGCTGTAATCGGGATTCCAAGCGTATGAGACGGGCCATGTCTTGATAAGCGGGTCGACACCAGCATTCAACAGAAGCCGAACAGCTGCGACGTGCCCGTTCCTAGCAGCCAGGTGCAGAGGGGTCGATCCCTCCTTGCTTCCGGACGCTAAATAAGCACCTCTGGCAATCAGAGCTTCAACAAAGTCAGCGTGGCCGTGCCGAGAAGCGTAGGCCAGAGGCGTGAAACCGTCCCAGTCACGGCCGTCGAGCAGTTCCGGCTCCCTCTCGGCGAGATAGTCCACCACATACGCCGGGACCAACCCGCCATATGGCGCCGAGGTGATTAAATGGAAGATATTGAATGAGGCTGTGAGCGCACCGTCCCACTTCATGATCATCCAAGTTTGAAAGGCGGGTTTGTCCGGGGTCAAGTAACGATGCAAAGCTACTAACAGCTTCTGGACACCCGACGTTCCGCGTGGTACTTTGTTGATGTGGAAGAACAGGTTGTCGACGGCATACAACGCGAGGGGTTGGTTGAGCCTTGTGTCAGTGCGGATCTTCGTTCTGCGTTCCGTTTCCTCGGAACGAAAGTGAAGCTCGGGATAGGTTGGAATCCTTCTGTCGTCGATGGTGATGTCAAGAGGAGGACAACCATTAAGATATTCCAGGGACAGCACGGCAAGCATGGCATGCGATGCCTCACCTTCCAACACAGGGAATGAACCGGCAACGTCTTTCCGGCTCGCGTCGTGCAGGAACTCGGTGAACGAATGGTGGATAACGCTCACGGTCTCGTCTTCCAGCAGCTCCAACAGCCTGCCGCACCCGGCGCGGACCAGGTCTTTGCCCCGACGGAGATCCACGTCGAGCATCCGAGAGAGCAGCGAACCCAGCTCGATAAGTCGGAGCGGCCGGCTCGCGTGGGTGACGCACATGAGGATCTTGGCCTGTTGCTCGGCCGTCACCCCACTCCGACGGGCGTGTTCCTTCAGCATGTCCTCGTACACGGCGCGAAGGGTACGCGGGAGGCGGTCCAAGCTATCTGGCAGGGCCTCTTCGGTGATCCGCCCATCTCGCAGACCCTCAGCCAGGTTGTCCGCCAAAAGACGCGCCTGAAGAAACAGCCCGTTTGCGCGCTCGCAAATCGACAGTCGGACCAGTTCGTTCTTGTCGTCGCTCAGGGGTGGTTCCAGCGTAGCCATCCTCGAGTCCACATACCGCGCCACATCCGGCGACAGCAAGGCAGGATCAAGCCGCAGTCTCACAACGCCCGGATGACCCAGCGCCCGCTCGATATGCGGCAGCGGCCGACTCGTCACCATAACCCTCACAGCAGCAGCAGCACCCATCCGCCCCTGTCCAACCTCCGGCGTCGCAAGCGCAACCAACCTCCCCACCATCCCCTCCAAATCCCCATCATCCATCTCATCCAACGCATCCACCACACAAAACACCCTGCCCCCAACCTCCTCCCCCCTGAGCGCCGCCACCACCGCCGGCCAGACCATCCCCATCTCGTTCCCGCGCACGGCATGCTCCCGCGACACCGCCGTCAGCGCCGCCACCAGCGCGGGGCAGTGCGGCAGCAGCTGGGCGGCGAAGTCGCGCACCAGGTAGCGCGCCGTGTGGTTCCTGTCGACGATCTGCCGGAAGAAGAAGAAGAGCACGATGCGCTCGCGCTCGCGGTCACGGTCGCGGTCGCCGTTGATGCCCGAGTCTTGTTGGAGCTGGCGGATCGTGTCGGCCGCGAAGACGGATTTGCCGCTGCCGGCTACGCCGCGCACGTGGAGGCAGTGGTGGGTTTGGGTTGGGGTGCTGCTGGGGGTGGTGCCGGGGGCTGGGTTTGCGTCGTCGTTGTTGGTGGTGGTGGCTGTGGTGGTGGTGTTGTCGTCGTCGTCGTCGAGCCCGGCCCAGGCCCGGAAGGGGGGCGACTCGTGGATCCATCTGCCTGTGCCGGGGACGTAGGAGCGCAGGTGCTTCATGAACTCGTTGCCTGGTGAGAGGAAGTCGCTTGGTTGCAGCCACTTGTGAAGTCGGGCGATGCGGTCCTGGAGGGAGTCGTCGGGCCGTGGAGCGGGGGCCGGCACCGTGTCTCTCTCGATGATGTCGTATGTCTGCACATTGGGGTCGTCCATGGTTGCAGTATTATTCTGATCAGATTTATCTAGTGTATAAGTCCGGGTTTGCGGATTTGAGTGTCACAGAGGACTAAAGGGGTGTCGACGACTTTTAAGTTTTATCCCACTCGGGCTGATGCTGTTGCACAAAACGTGTGGTGGATAGTGGCTGGAGGTTACGGTACGGCAGGTCAACGACATGGGGGTCACCGGGCCTACAATTGACGCCCGGGTATATAGTTTTCAGGGGCGCAGGAGGCCCTCCGTTTGTTCTATATATACACAAGTTCATCAGACAATACGATTACGGTTGATTCGGATACCCTCTATATAGTGACCTTTATTATACTATATTTAGACCCCTATTCGGAAGTATTATTACTCTAGCTGTTAGATTTCTAATAGTTATAAGCCTAATTAGTATCGAGCTTCTGGGAGATATTGAGAATAAATTTATAATAGCTAGAAATAAACTATAAAAAGCTAAAAGATAAATAATACTTATATTAACTATAAAAATAGCTATAACTATATTACTCCTTACTTTAATAGCTAATTAGAAGAAATAGAATAAATAGTTTATTAAATAAGCTAAATAATACTATATCTAGTATAAGATTAACCTAGAAAGTAACTAGAAGGGAGCTTTCTTTAAGGAACTGTTTCTACTAGACCTTAATAATTATAATAAAAAAGTTATAAAGATACTATCTACTAAAATAGAGGAACTAACCGACCTACTAACCCGGAGCTAGCGGGGCGAATCCTCTACTCTGGTAGGAGACTAGCTGCTATAAACCCTGATCCTAACTCAGACCTCCCTCTTTAAAGAGATTGATATTAGAGCTATATCTATTAATGTTAAGGAGATAATAACCTTTACTAGATCCGCCTACTAAGTAGAGATAGGTAACTATTATTAACTATATATTAACTATAAAGAGGAGATAGACTATATTGTTAATATTAAGGAGTAGATTAATAAGATAGTTTCTAACTCTCTATAAAGCTTATACTATAAATCTAGAAAAGGAATTTATATTTAGTATATAAACTTTCTAAAAAGGATTAATATAAATAAATAATAAGATATTATTAATATTAAAAAGTGTCACGGATATGCCAACATGTGGGGCCCAAGGCACGGGACGCCCCGGGCCAGTCAAACCAATCAGGGATGCAGCAGGGTGATCAGTGAGCTCAGTCGCCAAGCAGACTGAGCACAGTGAGCACCGCGATCCCAATCACCAATCAGGATGAACAGAACGTTCTAGGTGATCAGTGTGATCAGTGTTCAGAGGAACTGAGCACACTGAGCACTCAAGAATTAGACAGGTATATAGTCACTCGTTCTGGAGAGCTCTGGGAGTTCTCCAGTTAGCAATCACAACTACAGTTCGCTACAAGCTCGAGAGCCTACTGTTGAGACAAGTCTTTGTTGTGCACCCTTTGGCTGCACCGAACCTAAGCACCCTTGAGAGAATACCTTCGACCGATACTGAACCCTAACAGGACGGGTCCAGAGACAGGTTCGTCACACGTTGCTAACTCCCTTTGATCTGTTACAGTTCAGGCTCGAAGGTAAAACGACATGGCAACTCAACCGACGCCGGGCCAGATCACGGCCGCGCTTCAGAGAGTCACCGAACGACTCGATGAAACTGAAGAAGAGCTTGCGAAGACCAAGGCCAGCAACGCGGCATTGGCAGCCCGACTTGCGGCGACCGAGGTCCACACCAAGGACCCGGCCAAGACGAAGGTCAAATTGGAGCAACCCGAGAAGTACGGGGGCGATCAGGAAGCCTTGCCAGGTTGGATCACGGCGATGCGGAACTACCTCGACCACAACTCGCACCAATTCGCCACCGAGGAATCCAAGACCAGATACGCCGCCGCCCGACTCAAGGACAAGGCACTCAAGTGGTTCACGGGAACACTGAGTGATTTCCTCGGCGGAGCAATCCACAAACCCTTCACCAAAAAGGTCTTCGAGAACTACTCCGAGTTCGAGAGTGAGATTCAGAAGGTGTTCGGTGACAAGGACGAGAAGTTGCACGCCCAGGAACGGCTAGGACGGCTGAAGCAGACTAGGTCAGCCACCGCCTACGCCACGATTTTCCGACAAGACTCCATGAAGGCAGAGATAGACGACGAGGGGCTGATGCACCTGTTCTACGGAGGACTGAAGGAGGAGGTCAAGGACGAGCTCTACAAGGAGAGCCGACCTGACACGCTCGACGAGTACATCGCCATGGCTGTCACGATTGACGACCGACAGTTCGCCCGCAAACAACAGAAGAAGGGCAGCGAGACTCAGCGATCCGCAGGCTACCACAAGCCCAACGACAAAAAGAAACGCCAGCACCAGAGCACGGCGTACGGCACGCACTCGGGACCCATGGACGTCAGCGCTGCCCAGGCACAGTGGGCAGGAAAGAGAGATGGTGCCAAGGACAAATCAGGCATCACCTGTTACAACTGCGGGAGGAAGGGTCACTTCAAACGTGACTGCCGCAGCAAGAAAGAGTGGAGACCGGTTCCAGGGAAGGAAGCCGCCACCATCGACCAAGACACGGTCGGAAGAAGAACCCGATTTCTGGAGGTCGCAGCCGCCAGCTACACGCAGGACGACCTCGAAATCGACATTGACCGAGTCATCGAGCAGGACGATGAACTCACCGACTCGGATCAAGAAGACTTGATGAGCAGCAACCACCAGGAGGGAAACGACACCGCCCACCATGCTTTCATCGAAACGGATGACGAGGGAGAACTGGCTCCCCCGCGGTACATCCGACAAGTCGCTGAGGACTGGGGCATCACCCTGGTTCAGCAAGAGGACGGGCAATGGCGAACCCACGAGGGTGAAGGAGGAGTCAGCCCGAACCTCATTTTTCTGCAACAGAAGGTCCTAAGCCAACGGCAAAGGATCGAGGAGTTGTCAAGAGAGAAAGAAGAACTCGAGCAACTTCTCCAAAGAAGGAACGACCAGTACGGACAACTTTGCGCGGAACTCGATTTCGCCAGAGAACGAGTCCAAGAGATCACCAAGGCCAACAACAGGGCCGGGGATCACGTCGAAAAGACATTAAGAGAGGCACAGGCCTTGCAGGACGACATCCGCCAGGCACTTCCGCACCACACACCGTGGGATGGACCCACCGAAGAGGCGGAAGGATACGAAAACGGAGTACGATACCCCGAGCAACTTTTCGACTACGCACAGGAACAGAATGCGGCGAAAGGAAGAAAACAGCAGAGCTGGGAAGAATACTGGACGCGACATCAGCACATCGTGCGCGCCGGACGACAAACCTCCGACCTTGAATGGTGGGGTTTTCGGGGCGAGAACAACACGGAGGGATTCCAGTTGTTACCAGAAGACCACGAGCGGGTGGACCCACGAAAAGAAAGTCACATCTACCTGCCCTGGTTCCAGTGCATCGCGCACGAATGTCGGTACCACTTCCAGGACAAATTTCGCAACAGTTTCTGGCCCACAAGAGAAGAAAAGGGAATGCAACCCCTGCCCATCAGATGGGTATACGACAGCGGCGACGCTCCCGCAAGCATGTTGTGGGACACCCAACGCACTCACGAGGGCAGGCTAAGGGTCAAGCCCAAGGCAGCCTGGCCCCGACGCTGTATGACAGGCGTAGGAGTCGACGAATGCCGAAGTGCAGACTGCCTATCACACGCCGACGAGAAAATCTGGGGATACATGGAACAGCAATCCCAGAGGAAGCCACACCAGAGGACAAGAGCGTTCCGAAGGAACGAGAGACGCCCAGTTGAGACATGGGCGGCCCAATGGCTCCAAGAACACCAGACGATTGATGCCGCAAGCCAAGGTGCGGACAGGGACGCCTTGAAGTACTACGCGAGCTTGGGAAACGGCTCAGGGCCCTCCGAGGGGCCCGGAAATCTCTAACTCCACAACAACGGAGACAGGCTGCGCAGTACAGGAAGAACTGGCGCAAGCAGAAGCCTTACAACGACCTCCCAGCAGACGAACACGAAGTAGCTGCTGTACGAAGCACCAAGCCAGACAACAGGCTCTGGATCACAGCGCGATGGGGGAAGATCGAAGCCCTCGCGTTAGTGGATGGAGGAGCGCAGATGGATCTCATTGCGCCCACATTTGTGAATCAACTCAGAATCCCATGGAGGATCAAGAAGCAACCACACGTCGTCAAAGGACCATTCGACACGCAATGGGTACGACGAGAAACAGAACCACTCGACATCGAGGTGGAAGGAAAAACCACCCAAGTGGTATTCGACATCGTGAACATGGGACCAGAGAAAGATATGATTCTCGGACGCCCATGGCATGAGGATTACGACCCAGACATCAGTTGGAAGGGAGATGGCCATCTGCGACCGCGGGAACAGCGAGAGCATCCGACCAACTCGATGGGAGAACGCGCAGAACAGGAGCCACGGGAGAGCAGCGGGTCAGAACGAACCCCCTCTACGGGCCCACCGCAGGAAGCAGCCAGTGCAGAAGAACGCACTCTGAAATCCGGAAGAAGCGGCACACGACGAAAGAAGCAGACACGGGAGGAACGAACCATTGCCGTCGTCTCAGTCGACGAGCACGGAATGCTCAAACACGAACAATGGGTCAATCAGCTCGAAGCGGCAAGCATCGAGCTGGCAGCAGAAGAAGTCAGGGAACTCGAAGCAGCAAGCATCGAGCCTGGGAACAACAAGTTCGCGTACTACGAGGGTACAGCGAAGAACGCAAAGACGGGGCAGATCCCAGACGACTACAAGGGGCACCCGGCGTTCACGGCAAAACATCTTGCAGGGCTACCAGACCACGGACCTTGGGATCACGAGATCAAACTCAAGGAAGGAGCCCAGTTGAAGTTTTTCAAGGTGTACCACACCAACGAGAAGCAAGATGCAGAGTTGAGGAGCTATCTCGAAAAGAACCTCGAGGTAGGACACATCAGACCATCGACATCTCCAGCGGGCTACCCAGTCCTCTTCGTCCCAAAGAAGGATGGAAGGCTCAGGATGTGTGTGGACTACCGGCAGTTGAACAACGAGACGGTGAAGAACCGCTACCCACTGCCACTGATCTCAAGGCTTCGAGATCAGCTGTCAGGAGCACAACACTTCACACGACTCGACCTTCCGACAGCGTACGCCCACATCCGCATCAAGGAAGGAGACGAATGGA